TTGTTTGATCACTACTACTTATAATTTACATTTGGCTAGTTTAGACTATTACATTCGCTAAACAGATACCAATTTATTATCAAATTGTTATCAAACCGCGTTCCAAAACAGTGCCCCCCCCCCCCCCCCCCCCCCCCAAAAAAAAAAAATTGAATTTTTTTAAGCTCTTTTCGCAACCAATTTAGATATTGCTTTATGTATCTTCATGTCTCTCAAATGAACCAAACTTAAATAACATTGTGGATTGTATTGGCAAGTCTTGGCAAATTAAAATTTTTCATTTGGCAACTCCTCCCCCTTACAGACAGAGAGGAAAATTTTCATTCTTTGATAGATAAGATAAAAATTTCTTGGTTAAATTCTTTTCTGATACCTTATTCCCAATTGTTTCTTGTCTTGTCTTTTTTTTTTTATTTTTCATTCCCAACAATTCTTCCTGAACAAGGTTCTAATTATACATTTTGTATTGTAATTACATAATAACTTTAAAAAGTCTAAACCCCCTATTGGTTTTGAGGGAATATTTGAAAAACTTTAGCTGGTTAATACTGTTCATGAATTGGATCTGGTAACGAAAGGAGAGATTAAGGATCTCTGCAGGGTGGGGGGAAACCTTCCAAGTTACCAAATCGTGATCGCTTCATTGTAACATAGTATATTGGTACTTGCAATGATCAAATAAGCGTACTGAACTGCCGTTGTCAAGACTTGAGCATATTCGTATTAATACCTTAGCTGTTAGTTATTAGCTTGTAGTTGTCTAAAAGATGGGCTAAAGCCGCATCAATTTGTAAACTCCCGGTTTCACTATCCCTAAGTTTGAGACATCAGAATTTACATCTAATCTTTTCTTCTTCATAATTACCAGGATTGTATTCATAGCATTGTCTTAATAACAAGTTAAAGATACTTTGCTGAATATTTTGCATCCAATAAACTATTATTGCATTCAGAGTCTGTCGTATTTCAGATGTGAATTTTAAAGCGGTCTTTTTGAAGTTTAACCAACGTTTTTTTTGTCTTTGTTTAAACAACACCTTACCACCCACTTCAATCAACCAAATCTTAACTATCAATCAAAATCAATGAATCTACAACCAGACAACATCCTTTTAAAAGATAGTCGTCTTGAAGATATGACCTTAGATGGCTCAATTAACTCCACAATTGGAAGCAGTAATAACAATACCATAAAATACACATCACCACTATCACCAAGTATGCTTGCATCTTTAAACGCCAACAACTTAACACAACCACAGGACATCGAACTCCAAAATAGATTCTTCCTCAATGATTTCAACAACATATTACTTAAATTTGCCAATTTATTTCAACAAATTGACTTGTTACCTACAACTACTCGTTTAGTTATCGGTTGTACATTGTTCAGAATTGGAAGATTTGAAACCGCATTAAGAGAGGTCAGCACTGCTATTGAGAATGACATCAATGAAGAAGAAAGAGGTGCATGTCTTCATGTCCTAGCTCTGATGCTTAAAGATTCCCTGAGGATGGAAGATGCGGTTGGATGTTTGGGTGAGATGATTGATTTATGGAAACGGAGATTGGATACGCAAAAAGATTTTGATGAGTTGAAGGCATTGATCATGTCTGCTCAAGAGGATATCGAGAAGAAAATATTTGATATTCCCGGAATTCCTAAGCTTGAGGTTCAATTAATGGAATTGGAGAGAATGAAGTTACGTTTCCCGATTGATTCATTCACGGGTCAATGTCAATTCATATTATCTAAAATTAATGAAGCTCATAGTTTATTGATTGAATGGGATAATGATCATCAATTGGAGTTTGATAGGGGAGAAAATGATGACGATGATGGGAATCCACTTTCATTAATTCAAGATGCATTTTTATTATTGGGTCCAATTGAAATATATAATTCTGTATTGGAATTTGAATCAGTGCTTATCAATTATCTTTGTCATATCAAACGATCCTCAGACACCCATCAACAGCCAACAATTGTAAGATCCCCCAGTGTTAAAAGAGCTATGGCAAGATTTCTTTATAAAAAACAAGTGGAACCTATCAGTGACAGACATGAAAACCTTTTATTACATTGTACATTCATTGAAGGATTTCTTGCCATGTTACATCATGATTATATTTTAGCAGCCAATAATTTCGAAACTGTGTTGAACAAATTCGATTCCATACACCATCATGGTACTTCGCTGAAAACTCTATTTAGCAAGAATATAAATATTCTATTAATCCGATGTAAGTTAAACTTAGAGCCCAATGGTAACAACAAGAAACAGTTGGAAAGGTTATTATCAGATTTAGCTAATCTTCCATCCTACCAGAAATGCAATAATTCATATAAGGTATATATCGAAATGGCAATCATACATTCAAGACTTGCAAAAATAGACGCAGTACCCATCACAATTACATTCCCTAATAAGAAAACCAACAGAACTATAACTGGATTAAGACTCCAGAGTAGATATGTCCAAGAGGCATTAAAAGCTAATATATCTGCCGTGACCGCAATGTATGAAGATGACCAATATATCCCAACTATATATGACAAAATCCTTATCGAAATCTTAACAATTGGTGGAATTCATTGCAATACATTTATGTTTTTCAGAAGGTTACGGGATTATTTTGCCAGGAAAGCAGATTATCAATATCTTTATATCCCTAAATCAAAACTGATAATTGATTATGAAAATATTGGAAATATCATGAATTATATTTCTCAACAATATAATTTCTTCAAACCAAAACTAGAAAACACCACCGGTGGGAGAAATGAATTCTTATTACCCCAAATATACATCACCAATGAAAATGAATTGTACATATTAGAAAAACAATATTTCGCATCCGGCCCCGGCACAACCGAATTCTATTGTGATGGAGATTGTGAAGATAACGATTGGGGAGGGTATGAATATCATATATATCCCGTCAAGAAGAGTAATATGAAATTACCAATCAGTTATTATCAACAACGAGTTGAACTTAGTATTGGATTGATTGAACAATGGATTACTTGTTATAAAGAGTTTCATAATTGTATACCTGATGAGATTCAATTATGGTATGATCAATTCGTTGGAGGGATTTAAATTCCCTTGCACTTGCTAGATTTTCTTTAAAAACACATATATAATATCTGTATAGCTTACAAAATCTATAGAAGTAACTATCCTTGATTCTCCACACTGAAGCTTGACCGGTAGATCCAGATTGATATTTGGTGATCTTGGATACTTGGAGATTTGTACTGTACAATAATTTTTTTCTGCTAGCATTACCCGGGAATTTCGTAAATATTAGCGATTCAAGAGATCTACTGTAGATACAGTTTGGTACCTGATATTTTAGCAAAGGAAGAAGTCACTATGAAATAAGTATGAACTATACGATAAACGATCGAATATCCACAATCGACAATGAACTAGCAACTATCAAATACATCGGTCCATTACCAGCCTGGGGTCCCACCACAATTGCACTTGGACTCGAATGGGATAATTCCGAACGAGGTAAAAACAACGGTGACGTAAATGGTATCCAATATTTCCAACCGACTATACCCAATTCAGGCTCATTCATTAAATCTACCAATAAGAAATTACAACATGAACGAAAATCATTCATATCGGTTATCCGATCAGAATATTTGGATGTTGAATATGAGAATCAACAATTATCATTTAGTCAACAGAAAGTAGTTGAAGAAATTGGGTTTGATAGACATAATTTAATCTTAGCCAATTTGACCAATTTGAAATCAATTACGTTGGATTATAAGTTGATAAATAGAGCGTATGATATGGAAGAGGATTACCAAGATATATTTGGAAGATTTGAGAATTTGGAAAGGTTGGAGATTAGTTTTAATTTATTTAATGATATTGAAGAAGTGTGGAAGATTGTGAATTGGTTACCTAAATTGAAAGAGCTTAATATTAATGGGAATAGATTTTCGAAGTTTTCTTATGAGGATGAAGTGCATACTGGACTTGTTAGTTTGAAATTATGTAATACTTTGGTTTCAATTGATACTTTGAATGAATATATTCTACCTAAATTCCCAAATCTACAAGAACTTTGTATTGCTGGTAATCATTATACAGATAATGATATTGCCCAATTGAAGCTCCCTCCTAAATTGAATACGTTAGATATTGCATATAACAAAATCGAATCATTCCCACAAATTGATCAAATCTCAAAGCTTAATGTTTCCCATAATAATATAACCCGGTTTACAAATGGGAATACTCTCCCACAATTGAAAATACTCGATATGAGACACAATAAGATTAACAATTGGGATGATATAGATAGGTTATCCAACTTAGCACCCATTTTAGAATCTTTAAGAATTAATTACAATCCGATATTTGACAATATATCGGTCGATGAAATGACTTTACAATTAATCGCACGATTTTCATGTCAAGATTACAAGAACCATTCACCAGGCAAGATTTATAAATTAAATGAAGAATTGTTAAACAATGCTGAGATTGAAAATTTTGAATTGTATTTTATATCAAAAGTTCAATCCGGGGTATATTGTATGAGTAACCAGCTCAGATGGCAATATTTGTTAGAGAAATATCAACAACAGGAATCGAGAATGAGTCTAGAAAGTGAAAAACTAAAGAGGTGGGTTAGATTACAGATTAATATTCCGGGGAAAGAACCCCAATCTCGAATATTCCTGAATTCAAATTCAATTCTAAGACTAAAAGGTGTGATATCTCAGCTTCATTTAGACAATTTATCAATTCTTGAGTTTGAAGTGTATTATTACATTAATCACCCTTCATCAACAATACAAATCAAGCAAGAATTAAATGATTATCTAACTACATTAGACATGTATTCCTTGCATCAAAATCAAAATATTTATATTACATTGCTATAGATTTTTTATGTATGTATAACTATAGATTATTCCTATTCGCTATGATTCCATAATCCATCACCCAAGTAATGTAACAATTCTATACCAATACCTTTATTCTTACTCTTGATATCATCAGTACTCATCAACAACTTCCCAATTGCCAAAGCATGTTCTTTTCCTTCCGCATAAACCGTGACAACAGTACCTTCCTCAAAGTTCTCTTCTGGCAATTTCGCACCTGGACTAGTCAAACCAGGACACATAATATTAGCACCACTTAAAACGAATTTAATAGCCCCACGATCGACTTGTACTCTTGGGAAACAATCAGGATATTTATGTACCGTGGTTAAAGTTGGGATTAAATCTTCATTGAAATGTTGAAACATGACTACTTCATTGTCAACGGCGAATAATTGAATCTTGTCTTCACATTTGATTGAAATGACTTGAGATTTCTTCGGTATGAGAAGATCAATTGCCGGCTCGAGAGATGGGTAGATGCTGACAAAGTTGGATTTAAGACCTCTTTGAACGGAGGACTTGATGTTGGCACGAGTGTGGATGTCTTCTTTAGTGAATTTCTTGAACATTTGATGAATGTGGTTGATTGGTTGGTTGTGTGGGTTGTAAGTGGAATTGCAATTTTTTTCATTCTTTTCATTTTTTCCAAGTGAGATGGTATTCCGTTCTGTGCAAAGCTTAGAACGGAATTGACAATTAGAATTACCACTGGAATCCAATGACAGAAATTTAGTATGAAATCAACAAATCTAAAGATCGAGAGAAAGTACGAATGTGAAGATTTATAATTACAATGCCACCATCCAGTTTTACCCTTGGTGTCATCGCACTCAAAAGAAATCTTTTAAATTACTCTGGCCCCTTACTTTTTATGATTAGATGCTATACACTAGGTGTATAAACATCATGAAAATCAAAGCATCCAGCTCAAGATCCAATTAATGAGAAATTGGACCGAGCGAGGCACAAGGCGTTAGTTAGGATACCTTTACCTATTAGTTAGTAAATAACCACTAGTTTAGAAGGTTAAAATACAGAATTGGAAATGACCACACTTCATCAATCACTTAAAAATGAAAGTTTGATCAACCAATTCTCTTCCCAAGTTTCAAAATGCCTTCAAAGAAGTACATCGTAAGTTGGAAGCATCTCTTCATTGACGAGTAATAGATGAACCTCTTCATCCACTGAAGCTCATGGCTGACAAGTAATAAAAATGTTCCAAAAATTCCCTCAACTGAGGTTTCGTGCTCTGAATCCTTATAGTTCCTCAACAGTCCAATTTCAAAAGTTCCAGCAAAAACATGATCTCGGACGAATCCTCACTGATACACGTAATGCCCCTGCATAAAGATAAGGAACAAGAAAAGAAAACGTGAAGAAAAAAAATTGGAATCATAGTTGGTTAAATACTACGACAGCTGTCACAGAGGCAAGAGCGAAAAAAATTTTTCTCCTAAACATCCGGGTAATACACCTAAAATATCCTACGACTATAGCGACTAAACACTTCCTTCTACGGTCAGAGCCACTCTACAAATTCATGCTCGTTTATTAATCTTCTACTACAAATGAGAAATCTATATCCGCCATCATGTCGTCATTAGTCTTAAGTTGATCTCTGTCAATTGGTTTTGTATTTAAAGCATTAATCAAGTTATGGGTTTTCCTACTATGCGATAATCCACCATTCACAATACTGAACATCCCAGTGTTTTCATTTCTATGTAGGGCATCACTTGGGTTGTAAAAATCTACTCTAAGATCAGGATCTAATGGCATATAATAATTCATATGAAGGTCCATCGTTTCTTCTTCATTCAATAACCCACTATCTTGAGCAAAGTCAAATTGGTACACTCTATCACTAACTTTTGATTGTTTTGTTGGAGAGTCCAGAACCACCTTCGGTCCAGTTACTTTCAAATACTCTTCTAAATCGTCATCAGAAAATTCAAAATCATCATCATCATCAAGATCTATAGGAGACATCGTATCGTCTTTAGCAATATGGCTACTTTCGTTCACTCTTTCATTCCGAGACTCCACACTACGTGCGATTGCAAGAACAGTCTCCTCCGATTTAGTTTTCTGTTTCTTTAATTGATCAACTTATCATTATCCAGAGCAGGCAAAGTTGGGTTCACAAAAGAATCCAAATGGTTGCACAGAATGATTGAGGACTGTACTGGAAGACCCTTGGATCGGAATAGCCACAGTCTTTGCAGGTTCCTTAATGTTCTCATTGATGATAATAGGATCAATATCTCGAGTTTCCTTGACAATGATCGGAGGAGGAGCAACATATTGCCGCTTGACACCTAATGTTTTCTTCGTGATACCTGTCAGGCTTAGGCTTGTAGGTAAGCCAATCGGCGTAGGTTCTCTAGTTGATTCGGGGATTTCAAAGTCGGGTAGTAGTGATGACTCAAGTTAACTTGTTAGTCGTGAACATGGTCGTCACCATCATATCTGTGGTAGAGTCGTATTTGATTTTCGAGGGGTAGATGAACCGATCGCATTTCCACCTGGAATATACCCAGCCAAGATATTACTAGTAGAATTCTCTCTGATTACAGTAGTTATGGAATTGGAAGCATTTTTCTCAACAATAGTCAGAGTATTCGGTGATGAACCACGTTTTGCATCCATTTGTTTTATGATATCACTCATGAATAAATCACTATCACTTTCAGAATCATCCAGCAGAAGGCCCAATCGATTCTTATTTGTTCCTGACTGGTTAGTTTGTTTTTCCTTGTTTCGTTCTTCTAGAGATTTATCATCCCCTACTTTTCGTATCATACTAGTAACACTGCGAAAACCTGTTTCGACGTTATCTGGCATAAAAAAGGTCTTCTGCTTGGTTGGCTTCTTCTGTTTACTTTTCTTGTCTGTTTTACCACCGAGCATATACTGAGTAGCAATCCTAATAATCTCATCTTCATCATCTTCAGCTTTCAATTCAAGATTTTCAGGCGGAATTTCAATGAATTCCTTCACAACCTCCGGGGTATATTCTTTTGGGATAATACGGTTCTGAGGTCGTAATGTGATTAAATCTCCCTTCATTATATGTTGTTGAATATATTCATATCCTCCCATTGCCTTATCAAATTTTGATTCCTCATTACCAGAGAATAATAAAACAACTTTCCCATCACGCTTACGACCTGTTCTACCCATACGTTGGATATTCTTGATAGGGGAAGACGTGGAATCATAACATACGATTAAATCAACTTCTCCAATATCCAACCCTTCTTCTCCGATAGATGTAGCCACAAGGATATTATACGTTCCTTCTTTGAATTTCTTGATAATTTCTTTTTGTAATTTTTGATTCATACCTTTTATCTGAGCATCTTCTGAACTGGTTCTGGTAGAGGACTTGGCCGATTCGTCATTATCGTCGATGCCGCCTCCATTTTTCTTTTTCTTCAGCTTCGTGGTCTTTGCACCTTTTGCCTTTCCCTTTCCTTTTGCAGGCTTTTCAGCAGTTTCGTCGAATCTTTCCTTTTCCGGGGCTTGACCAATGAAAATATGGGGTTTTCTATTATCACCAGCTTTTTCAATTGACTGTACAATTTCCAAGGCGGACTCTCTATATTCTGTAAAAATAATCACTCTGGAATCAGAACTGCTGTTCTCGGCAAAGAAGACTTCCAATTCATCCATAAGCGCCTCAATCTTGGGATGACTATATCCAGAACCTTTTACCATCTCTTCCAGTCGTTTTAGTAACTCTTCAATCTGCTCACTGAAAAAAAAATCGGCATTGAGTTTATTCTTTGACTTCTTCTTATCCCACTTCGATTTGAATTCGGTATACTTCTCATTGAAATAATTGAAAAATGATTTGATACCATATATATTTAATCGTTTATAACATTGACCCACCATACCTAATAACTGCAACATATAGTAATTCGCCCATTTTAAACCGGCAGGCATCCCTCTATTTGCAGCCAACCTTCTTCCAGCTTCCATACATTGAAAATGGTTAATTCTCTTTGGATCTGTTATACTTAAAAGTCCGCGTTCATTTACACTAGTTAGAACAGGTGCTATTGCTTCAGATAATAATGTGACACACTCCTCAATATCACTTGACGGCGGTATTATTCGTCTTTCAATCCGTTTACGTTTCATGTATTTTATGATATCTATGCTTTGTTCAGTTCTGACTTCGACCTTGGAAATATCCAAATTGTCAATAATATCCTGAACGCCATCCACATCAGCAGCTGGAGTGGCAGTTAAGGCCAATATTCTAAAAGAATCATTAAATCTCTTAAGAAATTTGACAACATTATTATATGAATAGTTCCCTCTGGCTCTATGGGCTTCATCAATTACCAACAATGCTATTGACTTGGGATTCACCAATCCTGAGGCCAAGTCGTTCTCAACCACTTGAGGTGTAGTGAAAAATACCTGTTTCGAATCCCAAATATCAGCACGATTCTTCCGGGTCTTGTCTAACAAAATGGCAACTTTTGAACTAGGTATCCCAGCAATTGAACAACATGCTTTAATCTGTTGTGCCACAAGGGGACGTGTTGGAGCCACAAATATGAATTTCGATTGCGGGAACCATCGTAGGAAATTTAGCATAACCGTAGACGCTATAAATGTCTTACCTAACCCTGTAGGTAACGCAACTAATAAATTATCATAGAATGCTCGTTGAACTATATTGAATTGATAATCACGAACTTCGAAATTTGTGGGATATATATATGTATGCAATTTCTGGAAATCCATTTGATGATGGGTTGGTACATTTACACGTGTAGGTAGTGGTATTTCTTCATATTGGTCCTTGGTAATGAGTTCTTGAGGGACTATTGATCCTTCAAGGGTTCTTTGAGGGAGGTGATTCCTGGAAGATGTAGCATTTGTTTGTATGAGTGCTTCGAGTTCAGGGTCATCTTCATCGTTAAAAGACCAACTCCCATCCTCATCATCGTCATCAATGGGAATGACTGGCATGTTGTGTTACTTTATTTGAAAGGGTTCTACTTTGTAACAACTAGAGCAATTGATGATCTGCAAATTTACAACACGCGCGCGTCTTTAATCCACAGGAAATATTTTTCCAAGATGCGTGCTTTTCTCGTCGCATCTTGGTATTCCCATCTCTTTATGACCCATTAAAGACTCAACAAATATGCAATGAATCCAACGTCATCATCTACTACATCTACAGACGAAGATCCTTACAAAGTCCTAACTCAGGGAATGAGGGCCGTTGAAGGTTCGTTAAAGGGGTTGCTTAGGACTCATGATGAATTCATGATTCAGAATGTGAGAATAGTCAACAATTTATCTTCAATGTCGAAGCTTAGCGAAGAAATAGACTCAGCAAAAGCAAAGCTGAAAGAGAATAATCGTTCGTCTTAGTTTTCCAAATGTATGTTTATATATACTAGTCTATATGTTACAAATTAAGTTATTTACGAAATATATTTAATGCCTAATTAAGACCAAAATTATCACCCAATAATCCATCTAAATCAAATTCCTTAGCCCAAGCAGAAACAATAGTGGTTTGTTCAACCTTAGGAGGTTCTTTTTCACCTCTTAATGAACTTTTTGGTGCATCTGGGTTGGATTCTTCACTTGCTGCCTTAGATGCCTTTGGCAATGTCCACCCAATAATCCTACCATCTCTCCAATCGTTCAAAACAGACATAGCAGCAGATTCCATATTTGGAACACCACCTCTGCCTAATCTCCCCTTAGTTCTTGCAATGTGGATCAAGAAATGTTTGGAAAATTCTTCTAAATCACCAGAAGGTAACGGTGGTAATTGATAATATTGCTTTAATCCATCAGCCATTTCAGTATCCTTTGAAAACTTCTTTAATAGCATTTGAACAGCAGGGATTGGATCAATGATCTGTTTTGGAGGTATAGCAGATAATAAGGCCAATTTTGCTTGTTGTTGACTGTTTGATAACTTCTTAGTATTTATGATTTCATCAGGGAAGACAATACCTGGAGAATCCAAAATCTTCAATTTGTTATCAATCTTGACTTGTCTCATGGAAGTAGTAACACCAGCTTGATTTCCAACTGGACAAGCTTTAGAATTATTTCCATGTCTGTTAGTTAATGCATTGATAATGGATGATTTACCTACATTTGGATAACCAAGAACACCCACAATAATCGATCTCTTCAAGTTGGATTTACTAGCGTAACTCTTCAAAGCCTTTAATAACGCATCAGCAGTCATGGTAGAAGTCATGTTCTTATTGAATGAGGTAGAACCACTAGCCCCTGGTGCAGCTTTTACTGGAACAGTTGGGAATGATGACTTTAAGAAATCAAGCCATTGGTTTAATGCATTAGTTGGGATTAAATCAACCTTGTTCAAAACCAAGATTAACCTCTTGTTTGGGTTTCTTAATACTTCTTGCTCAACCTTTCTTGATCTTGTGGATTCTGGATCTCTGGCATCTAACACATACAAGATAACATCAGCATGATCTACAACTTTCTTAAAGATTTTGTCATATGCCTTACGTGATTTATCCTGTTCGGTAGTTTCCTCATCAAATTCATTATCACTGATAATTTCAGATTCAATATCTTCATCGGAGTCTTCCATTGCATCATCGTCACTTTCTTCACCTTCATATTCCCTGGCGGCCCTTTGTGCAGATTCCATTAATGCTGCTAACCCACCTTCTTCCTCGTCATCTTCATCTTCTTCAATATCATCATCTATGATCTCTCCTCTAGCCAACGCAGCTTCCTTTTCTTGCTGTCTTTGAAGTCTTAATTCTTCTTTCTTTTCCTTTTCTAACCTTCTACTTTCTTCTAATTCGGATATGATCCTATCTTTGTATGGGAAACTTGCAGGTATTCCTGGATCTTTTTTATTTCTCGATTTCCAAGTTATATCTTTTTTAGCAAATTTTCTATCCTTTCTTCTTTTAGCTGAGGCCTTCTTCTTAAGACCTTCTCTCATTCGAGTAGTAACTCTCTTAGATGTTGGCTTCTTAACTCTCATTGTGATATATATATGGGTTGATACTAAATAAAACTAGTAACTGGTAAGATGAGATGACTTGCCTGAAAAAAAAATACAACCAAAAAAAAAAATGAGAAGAGCTTTGTAAAATTCAAACAAAAAAATAATGTCGCAGAATAAGATAAACCTTTTAAACGACATTGTTTGGAAACTGGGGAGACATTATTAACTACGAGGAATCATTTATTAATGGATACTATATCTATACAGTTAGATGGATGATACATTCGTAACATACTCATTAAAGGCTAGGAGCCTTAATTATTTATCATAGAAAGGGTCTTTCTTTGCAAGACTGTTTGCCTCGTAATATTTAACTCCAAAGTCATGTTTCCCATTCTTTATCCTAGAAGGAACCAGGTATCCAAGCTTGCCATCATCTTCTTCATCTTCTTCATCGTCGTCCTCACTTTCATCACTTTCTTCTTTGTTTTTCTCGTCTTCTTTTTGTATTCCTACAACTTGAAAGCTTAGCTCTTCGGTTGGTGAAGGTCCTTTTAAGATTGAGTTTACAATTCCGTTTGCTTTTACAGTATCAATTTGAATTGCCTTGATAGGTTTTGCTATAGGTAGTTGCATTTGGACATGCGTGTTGGCTGGATTGGGTTTCATTTGATTAGTATACATTGGATGATTGATTATTTGATTGGGCATTGGAGGTCTGTTCATTTGATTTAGCATTGGATTTGGATTATTATTTATTTGATAAGGAGAGCCAGGAGGGTATAAACCTGCATTCGGATTCGCTTCTTGTAATTCTTTAGTTAACATTCTATTAAGAACCTTTTGCTTGACTGTTGTTTTCAAATTATCTTTCACAACCGGAATCTTCCATAGTGTATAATCAGCAGCATGTTTTAGATCCTGTGGAGTGAACACTACTTCAACTGAATTCTTAAATGGAACTGGACTTGCACTGATGAATAAAGATGGTTGACAAGCTGCAATTATTATTAGTGACAATAACTTCATTTGAAATAAGGTGGTGTGTTAGCAAAGATATCGTAGCATTAATTTGGAGAATGGTGCAAAATCACAAACAGATAAATGTTAGTCAATAAAAAATGGTTGCAAAAAAAGTTCTTTTGCATAACAAAAATCTTACTTTCACCAGGTTGCAAAAATTATCAAATAGTTAAAGGTCGGAAACTGGAAAATTTCCTAAAGGCGGAAGTGTTACTATTTGTTGCCAACAGTGAAATATATCTACTATTAAATCATTTGCATGTCAGGTAAACTCCAACATCCGAAGAAATGATCTTAACTTTTACTACGGAATATTGACACTTCAATTTCTGTTTTTCATTTAGAATCAGAAAAGCTTCCAAACAGAAGTCAATGAATCTGACGAAACTACAAATCCGTGAATATCCAGACTGTTCAACTTGATAATACAAATGACCCACCGCCCCAACACAAGCAATCCCTTAATTGGAAATACTTATGATGGCTTTCTTTGGTTATTTTCTAACATTGGCAGGATATAAAGAAGTGAAGGCTTCTAGTGTCTCTTTTCTATAATAATATGAATTCCACTCGAGTTGATTGTCGTGGTAAAAATGAATTTAAATATTTCGAAGGGATTCTAATATTTGTCCTTCGATTCTATATTTAACTGTTGAAAAAAACAAGATTAAATCTGGTTGTAAAAGAAGTGTTGCCAAATTCTTTAATCCACCAAGTCAATATGGTTAATACAAGATCTATAATTAAAAAGACATCTCACTTGATTCGATTGGGGATCACAGGGTACTCAGCAAGGGGTATTCTCTTAGCTCATTGTGCCCCAGAGAGTCATTGCATTAATACTGAACACTTGAGATGGATACAAAGGGAACAACAACTGCGAGTTAGAAAGAAGAGCGGCTTTACACTGGTTCCTCTTATCAAAAGGTGAAGTTTTATTGACTGCTCCAAAATAATGGTTGTAATAAACTAACTCTGCATAGCAAAAGTTTTCAACATTGTTCCATTTTACGTGGAAGAATCCCTGGTATCAGTTGATTCATTTGATATGGATCAAATGCTTCTTTCTGCGATATACATTTGTTTTGAGGTTGTTCCTGTTTTCCATATCAAACTTTATTGGATACGATGTCCATCCCACAGCCTTCAAAACCTTCAAAAAGGGGCTTGATTTTGAAGGACCATCTAATCATAAAACTCTGCTTGCGTACTCATTTTTGCATTCTTGTAATATTTGATAATCCGTCAAAGGTCAGCATGCAAACTCCATTGTCCAAAGATGTTTCACATAACAGCAGAGATGACTGCACCTTACAAATTTCGATAACTCTACCCAATATACAATGCCAGGTGGTTTCGAAAGGAACACTTACGGATGATCATCTAGAAACGCAAATTGCCGCCATTACAAATGCATTACAAAAAATGGCCAAAGCAATTATTCCAAGCCTGCCATTGAATACCAACTCAACTATTCTTGATCTTCCACCGGATGTTTTAAATATTATTCTAGGGTATCTTAATCAAAGAGACAAAATCAATTTATCGAAAACTCATTCGAAGTTTGGAGGCATATGCAAAGCACTGTTATTCAATTCAATTTATGTTTATAATGAATTTGATAGATGGGGGACCATAAGTATTCCAAAGACTTACTATACCCCTTTCTATATGAATCATACGATTATCCGTCAAAGTAATTTCTTCCTAATGATTACTGGTGGTTACTATAGATCAGATTTAATAAAAGAAATTATATTCGTCGATGATACGTTTGTGACCAATAGAGGTCTAAGCTTGATTGCTAACCAGTCCAATTGTCCAATAAGGTTTATAAACTTCGAACGCGAGGAGACTAGAGATTGGTTCATGGAGAACCAAAAAAGGAGCAATTCAGAATATTATAGATTAGGAAGTAATACGCAATCAGAGGATATCCAACCCTTCAAGAACTGTATACGGTATTTAACGATTGAGAAGGCCACGAGTTCTTCTATTCAAATAAATTTACCCCATTTCCAAAATTTGAAGAGAATAAACGTTGTGAACCCCCCATCATTTACGATCACTAGTCCGGTTCTATGTAGTGAGCTACACTTGGATATCTTCAACCAGACATTACTAGGGGATGTACTCTCTTGGTTCGATTTGCTGGCAGTGAAAATATTGAAGATAGCTACCAATCAGGATACATACTACGAAGGAATTCAACCACGTTGTGAGAAATTTCGGAGCCTTGTTGCTTTGCAGATTCCGTTTCATCCTATTGAGCAATGGACAAGGATAATTCGCTCGCTAAGACGTGATTCTTTAAAGGAGATTTATTTAGATGTTTGGGCAAATAGATGGGAAAGGACTACGTTTGATAATGCTATGTCTGGGCTTACCCATCATCAAAATTCATTGCGTATACTCAGCTCGTCGAGAATGGAGCACGCATTTAGAGGTTCCTTACTAATAGAAGATTTGCCAAGACTAAACGTTGAACTATTTCCCAAGTTGGTATATGTGGTGTGTAATCGGGAAGTTATCAGGGTGTGTCCATACAGACGGTTTGGAGCCCTCCTTCCGGTCGACTTTTACTAGCTATCGAAAGATAAAAAATGCTTCCTTGTTTTAATTGTCAAATATCGAATAATCTGGGGAAATTTGATCTTGACTTGTCAGCGAGCTCATTTACTACCACCTGCCGCGAATTGTTTATACATTTTCGTAGAATTCTATAGTTAGTTTAAGAGATATTTACGAACTCTAAGACTGTAGGTTCATGAAGGAGATTTCGTAGCTTGGTTCCTGGTAAAGGAAAGAAAAAAATTGTGGGTTCCTTATCCCCTTTCCATCTAAAAAAAAGCACCTTTTGTTCATCCCCTAACCCCCCCTCTCCCCCTACAAAAAAAAATGGAGACTTTGTTTGTCTATTTCGTAAGTAAATTGGAACTAGTTAGGTTAACTCCTCTCCTGATATTACGGAAGCCTTGATGGATATAGTACAAGCTGCGTGACTCTTTCAACTTTGTCTCATTCCGAGATAATCAGTGAAAACGAGCCGCACAGTGAATCTAGACTGTATATAACAAGATAGAATTTCCTTTAATCTGTTGAAGCACTACTGTAAGTCTCAGTCATTGTGCCATACACTCCGCTGAATAACTTAGATAAGGGAATATTTACAATTCCAGATGACTTATTGGCTCTTATTTTGGACAATTTAAATCAAATGGATGTATTTCATTTAGCTTTAACCCATCGACATTTTGAGAAGGTATGTAGGAGAAAATTGTTCAAATCGGTTTATGTTTATGATGATAATGACCCAAAGACAAAGATAAACATCCCAAAGAAGTTTTATTCTCCATTTTATATGAAGCATACAATTATCGGACTGAATAGATTTTATGACTTCATCTCCAGTGTTCATTATGACCCTGATTTAATCAAGAGAATACTTTTCGTCCATGACAGCTTTATCTCGGTTAAAACCTTGGATTGTGTTGCTAAGCAAGCTCCTCGCTGTGCTATCAGATTCCAAGATATCAGCTTTGATGATACGAAATCTTGGTTAAAAAGTCATGAGCAGAACACAATTGATGATTATCATTTGTTTGGCAACGAATTGGAGGAAAGCTACCCTTTGGAGAGATTGTCTACGACAACACATTTGATTATTCTTCAAGCTGATCCTGGTTGGATTGAAAGATATCTACCAAAGTATGCAAACTTGAAGAGCGTCAAAATTATTGATCCTCCATCATTTGTATTGCAAAATCCGATGAATGTACCTGAATTATATTTAAAATTCAGCAACAGGACTTTAGTAAGAGATTTATTGAAATGCTTTAACGTTCTGAGGATTAGACAGCTATATATTTGCAGCAGAGATCAGGAAACATACTTTGATACTATATTTTCTATGGCTGGAGATTTCAATTCACTCAGAGCGTTGAAAGTTGATGGAACAACGATCGAACAATTGTGGAAATTCGTTGCAAATTTAAGATGTGATTCTTTAAATGAGATGTTCTATACTCTCTCTGATCCCACACAAACAATAGAATTTACCGATGAAATTGTTGAAGCATTATCACATCATAAAAATTCTTTGAAAATAATTTCCTTATCACCAATAGAAAAGGAAGTATTCCGAGTTGGAAAGTTACCGGAATCAACATTCGCCGAATTTGACTTACTAAGTTTTGTTTCTTTGGAAAACTTTGTAGTGGATAAACAAGTTTTGGTTGTTGACCGAGTTCCGAGAAAACCACGGTTGGTTCCACTTGAATTCTATTCGAAGCAGGAATTCTAGAGAGATATCAAACTCCTTATTTGTAGACAGTATTTGCTGTATCATTGCTCGAACTACCCCTTCTGGAAATGAATATTACAATTATATGGGGACTTGCGATCTTTTGGTTTTGATCCATTATTCTTTAGTTATTACAATTCTTTATGATTTTTTATTTTCTTCAGCACATTATTATTTGTGTGTATAGTTATGTTTATAATGAACTCAAATCGAATTTCTAAGAATATCCCCTCCATCATCAAAAAAAAATAGACCTCATCGATCTTATCATCATTTACAAGTCTGGAAAAGTCATAAGCACAAATGACTCTCCATCGGTGTCTAGTCGTTTGCGATTGATCTTCGTTTCAAAGAGAGGGTCTCTGATTCTTTTAGAAGGAAAGCTTACTTGGAAAGCTGGTTGTTGGTTTCTATGTATCACAGATTATCTTAATTCTCGTTTGGAAATGCGCTGGCTTAGTATAGTTGTGCATCTCAGAATATTTATTTGCCCAATTGGCTACAGACGAACGAGGGCCTGATCTTCATTATGTATCTTGCCGTGTTTGTGGGGTACACTCAGGAAACTTTCTTTACTCTAATAGCTGCAAGGTGAGATAAAAACAGCAGGCTAATTCCGTATTCGTTCCCTCCCGACAAACATCGCTCTGAATTTTAGAGAAGACCCATGACAACTTAATAGTACCTTTGGCTCAGGAAAGCTAGTTTAAGGGAGCAGAACAACTCCGAATCCAAGATGAATGGCTTTAACATGAAAGGCACTCTCTATAACATCAAAATAGCATTAACAACACTGACGTAATTTTACTCCAAACTAGGTTTGGTAGCGCGGGTTTATGGAAAATCACATCAAACAGTCTTTGGTAGCGCCTGCTCGGTCCTGAGCAAGATATTTATACCTATTATTATGGTATGAGATCATTTATTCTATTCGTATTTATCATAAATGCCTCTAAAGATGCAGAAATTCCGGTTGCTTTAAACCGAACTATTATTATTCCTCAACAGAAAGGGGGTAGGGGATTTTTTGACATATGTTGCTCTCATCAGCGGCCCCTAATTAATACTCGAATAAGGGGTAGTAGGAGAAAAATAATCCCCGTTGGATTCAGGGGTTTATTAATCAACTGATATTCTCCCACAAATCTCAGGAAATAGAATAACCAGCCATTCAATCTCAATCTCAATCTATACTCATTCGCTATGGCTGAATTATTTAAAGATTGGACTGATACTCCTGGTGGGATCACTATAAATAAATTGGAAGCGCAGCTAGCTATTAACAATGCACCAAAGGAAGAATCATCCCTTGAAATTCTATTAGATGAAGTTAAACAACTACGTATTCAAGTGAATGAACTATTAAAGCCCAAAAATGATATGAGTAAGGGAATATTTATCCTTCCAAATGAAATATTAAGAATCATTTTGCTGTATTTGAATCAAATGGATACAATTCACTTGGCTTTAACTCATCGGTCCTTTGATAAAGTCTGTAAGGAGAAATTGTTTAAATCACTTTATGTAGATGAAGTTCCTATCTTGATAAATATTCCAAAAAAGTTATATTCCCCATTTTATATGAAGTACACGATTATTCACCTGGATAGATTCTTCGAGTTACTCTCGAGTTTTCACTACAAACCCGAGTTAATTAAGAGCATACTTTTTGTAAATGATGAGTTTGTGAGTTACAAAACATTGAGTTATATTATTAAAGACGCCACTAATTGCAGTATCAGGTTTCAGCATATTACGGCCGCCGACACTAAAATCTGGATAATCGCACATCAGAAAACTACACGTTCTGATTATTTCATGTTTAATTATGGTTCGGCAGATGTAAATCCTCGTGAGATCCCCGAGGGAGCAAGGCTTGTATCCGCGCATCAATTTCTCGACAGGGTTGTGAATGAAATGGCACTCTCGAAAATGAAAAGATTGAAGAGCATCACACTAATTGACCCTCCGTCATTTGTTGTCGATGAACCGATTGTGGTAGACGAATTATACTTGACAGGAACCACGGACACGCTATTACGTGACATTTTGAAATGGTTTGCGCTTCTGAAGATTAGGCGATTGCAAGTCTGGTGCGACGAGCAAACATTTCCAGATACAATGTGCTCATTGGCGCCTGAATTGCAATCACTTCGTGCATTGGAACTTAACTTTGAAAGTTGGGATGACTGGCAAAAGTTTACGGAAAAGTTAAAACGGGATTCAAATGTTCTTTAAATAAACGGCCGAGACAAACGGAGTAATGACGTCAAATTTCTCGTCACGAGGCTTTTTCCAAATCATAGCTATTCTTTGAAAGTAATTAGCTACTCGCTGATGCGTGAACATATTTCTTTTCGAGGTGGGTGGGACTCTTGGAAGAGCCTCTGTGGATCTGTAGGAGGACCAGAAGAGGTATCGAAGCAAGTTATAGAAAGCATACACAAAAGTATCTTCAATGCATTGGACTTTCACTTTCCTAAGCTAGAACAAATGATTATTTCCAGGCAAGTTTTAATTGTTGATCGAGTGCCTAGAGATCCTCACCTTGTTCCTGTTGAATTTTATGGTGGCAATTGATATTCAAAAAGGGTTTGCGCGTAGTTTGTATCGAACAGTAAAGAAAGGTTTGGAAGATGAATCGTTAACGCATGGTTGTTATTGTGTAGTACAAAGTACGGTTTATAAAATGGCTATTTTGAAAGGGTCTACGACTGGAATCTTTCCTCAATAGAAATTCTGCTACCAATTTGTGTCTATTATATACGCATGTGCTATTTGCGAAATGAAGCTATAATATGTACTTAAATTAGTTTAATCTATTGAACTCTTTGATCGTGGAATATTGTTTCCTCTGGGCAATGATTCGCGACTATCAGCTTCGCTCTGATAACTTCCCTGTCCATTCTTCTTAGGTACCACAAATGGCTTATTCATAAAATTATTCATTCTAGGGTTAGCAAACTTCGAGCTTGGCGAAGGTACTGAAGAATTCTGAGTATCTAGATGTGGCGCAACTTGTTCATTTAAGCTTATTGTCAGTCTAGTTCGCAATACTGATGCGTCTTGAATTGTTCCTGGAGCTTGTTTTGACATTTGAGGTTGGATTTCTAATTCCATTAATCCTTCTTCTAAGGTCATATTAGCTTGGTCGAGGTTGGAATAAATGAATGAGTCAACATATCGACGGATTCCGGGTATTCTGTTAGCAACATACTCTGCTGGTTTTCTAAATTGGATTGGAATTTGTATTCTTCTAAGTTTGTATGACCATTTTCCAAAGTGTGATTTCCCGAATCGATAAATAAAGAAAAGAAGTAAAAATATGAATAGCAATGAGTACATGAATTGACCGAAGCCAACTCCATTGTCGTCATCATCGTCACTATCGTAACTCTTGGAGCTTAATGATACACCTCCAGGAACAAATTCCTTGTGGGAAATTTCACTTGGATAAATTCCAATTTCTAACTTATCATTATTCGAAACTGGTGGGATTTGAGATGATGCAAATAATAAAATCTTCCCTAATGTCCATGATAATTCTTCTCCTCCTATTGAATTTGCAGATTTGAAAGGAACATGGGCTTTGGTTATATCTAAGACGTCTGTACTTCTTTCTGAATTTTTTATATCAATACCTAAACGAGGTAATTCAAACCCTTCATGCAATATATTCATTACCCAACTTGCCTTGAAACATGCATCTTTCAAAAACTTATCAGGATCTAAATTCAAATATTTTCCAGCTTTCCCATTTTCTAGAATCACATCCCAGTTACTTTCACAGTATTCTTTCACCTTTTTATTAAATGCTTTGAAATTATATTCTCCTCCGCTTTGAAAAATATCATTAGCTGTGTACCAATATTCGGAAATGCCAATGAATTTATCCTTTTCGAAATTAAGTTGTGGTCCATGAATACCATTAAATAAACAGGGTTCATCTTCACAGGGGATACTTTTCATTAATAACGGATATATTGTCTTTACACAGACTTCATAATTCCCTACCCCTTTAATCACATAGTTCTTTCCTTCGTAACTATAATTCATTGTAGCCCCTCTTTGTAAACAAGGATCATTGACTTCATTGGACACTTGTACATTGACATTAATTGATTCAATCAATTGGTTCAAGAATCTTTTACGAGCTTCATTAGCACCAAATCCTAACCAAGTTGCCACGAATACATCCCAACTTTGGGTCTGGCCATTGATATTTCTCAAAGTTACTTTTGCTAAATCGTCAGAATGCTTGGCGATTTGTTCTTTTGAAGATGGAACAAACGCAATTTGGGTAGATGCACCTCCCATATCCATAAACCCAATTGACTCATGTATGGATTTTCCGACGTCATAATTATCGAATTGTCCCATTAAATAATTCAATCCCAACCAACCATAAATACCTTCAGTTGATCCATCAATAATTTGAACAAAATTCTTACAATCGGGTAAATAGAAGTTTGTATTTTCTCTAATACTTCTACAAGTTTCTTTGAGAATCTTCTTTTGGGTTTTTTCAGGTAATAATCTCATTCCAGCAGTACTTAATACAAATACCGGAGTTTCTTTATGTTTATCAGCTGGGATGATACCTTCAGCAAATGTCATCAAATCTGAATAGTGACGAGACCATATTTCTTTGATTTTCAGCTGAGTATTATATTTTGAAATACCAGGAGTAGTCTTACGAGTCCAACCTTTCTCTTGGGTAATCTTTGGTGGAGATTGTAAAATTGTACTATCTGGTGAATCTTGTTGTAGTTTTGGATCTTTCCATTTATAAATCTGGATTCTAGAACCTGAAGAACCAGAATCTATGACAATCCCATATTTGTCATTATTAGACAATTCTGACTTTTTAAGCGTCATCTTTATACTCTTATTGAGTTTTATCAATTCGGTCTTTGGCAACACCTTACTTGATACGATGAATTGAAATTTTAAAATTCATTGCGTGTCAAATGGCTAAACCTGAAAACGAAAAATTATGAACTCCGTCGCTGTGGATCTAGAACTCGCGCCGCACGTCTCCAAATTTGATTCAATTTCCCACACTCTTGTCGAAGTCATCCTACAAACTACTAGACCTGGTAAACAACGTTATTCTCCATTCGCTATGCTTATTCTACCAAATACTCCACCATTACCACTTCAGTTCAGATCTTCGCGTGGTCAGTCAAAACTTAAGGCCAATCTTCTTACTTTACGTGCATCTTTACAAGTCCCCACATTATCCAACTCCAATGATACAATCCGTTATGCCGTCATATTAAGTGACTATTTGGAGCTGATTATAAGATTCGCTCTGGATTCGAGTAATTCTACACAATTAAGCCAAGTCCTCCAGTATGCCAGTGAACATGAAATATTATCAACAGGGGCTGATATCCCTTGGCTGAATACAACATTTCTGGAATCTCATGGTAGAAGTGTACTTGGAAGAAATGGTGGTGATAAGATTAAGAAAGTTTTCTTAAAGGCTGGGGGCTCAGGTACTCCTAAGGCTGAATATTCTTGGAGATTGACTAATGAGATTGAAATGGTAATAATCTCCCTTGCGTTGATTTATATTCGAATTGGTTCAGAATTATCTAATGAAATTATCGATAATGATGAAATCAATCCCAAGGAGATTCCTCAATATAATGAAAAATGGAAACAAGTTGTCAATTTCTACAAACAGGCAATTTCATATTTGTTATTGGGGACTCAGCACTTATCCAATGTTTCAAATTCAAATATGAATGACATGATGTTTAGTTTTATAATGAAACTTGCTGAAATCTGTATACAAATGTCGATATTATCAAAATCATCCTGGATTAATCGATGTAATTTTAATCATACCGATACGATCACCACCACCAATAATGGGACCTTATCCCGAGTTGCTATTTATATTCTTAATGAAATCAAAAGTGCCCAAACGATGTTACAAGGATTAAAGTCAATAGAAGGGATTAGATTGAATTTCACTAGTTGGGGGGAATACTTATCCGTAATTGAGAGTTATTCAAGTGCATATGCTGGATTATTCTTATCCATTGAAAACTATCAACAAGATAAATTAGGTAATGCAATCGGATTATGTCATTTTAGTCTTGTTTGTTTACAGGGTAAGAAAGTGTCAGACAAGGGTACAACTAAACCATTTGATAAATTACGTTCAAAAGTTAATAAACGAAAGAATGAGCATATTTTAAATCATCTTAATTCAGTTTCAAGTTTAAACATTAATAAATCGGTATTTAATGATAAATCAGGGATTGTGTTGAATGATTTGGTTTATCTTTTTGATACGTTAATAAGATTAAACCTTAAATATGAAAAAGAGAATAATAATTTAAAGTTTGATAAGGTTGTGAATTGGATGGATATTAATAATGATTCAAAATGGCCAATTGGGTCAAAGATTCCAGTATCCAATGTGAAGCCGTTCGTCCCACAGATATTACAAACTGCAACAGGAACAGATACAACAGTCCAAAATGAGTACGCCGGTCGTGGAGCTTATTATTAGACGAACGGTGGTAGTGGTGGTGGTGGTGGTAGTAGAATATATCTTTAGAAATTTAAATGCAGACAATAACAATACGTATACTAATTCTAGAAAACAAAATAACTCAACAAATTTAATAACTTAATAACACAAAACAATTAAAAACAATACCATTGCAAAATTCATCTCAAAGGGCATACCCAAAGATCAAAACAAAACAAAGTAATAAAAACCTTTTAAGAAAACCCTTTAGCAACTCTCCCCTGAAGAATACCTAGATATAATACATAGTATTCCTAATATTAGCAGCAACATTATTTCCAAGCTTAGCCTTGGCCTTTTCAACAGCACTCTTATTACCTCTTTCCTTTTCAGCACCAGCAATATAATCTCTACCTCTAGTACACAACAAGTCAGCATAATAAGCAGCAGGAACGGTCTTGATAGATTTAGTAGCACGACCAAAAGTGTGACACAAGTTGTAAGTAATAGTTTGAATTTCATTGGATTCATAATTATTTTCATCGTGCAAGACATAATAATGGGCTGGGATACCACAACCTTGTAAGGCTTGTTGTGATTGGATGTAGAAATCAAAGAAGGCTGGATGGGTGATGTCTCTGTCAACAACAGTACCTGGACTTACATTATCATTTGAAGTAACAGCAACGAAATTCTTCTTTGAATCTGGTGCATTTTCATTAAGTGGAATGAAACGGGTATGATGTCTCTTAACAACAACCATAAAGGTAATCTTTGGACCATAGTGGGGGTTATTCTTTCTCTTACCATATTCAACAAAAGCTCTTTTAATTTCGGTTAATTCTTCCTTCAAAACAGTATAATATTGACCTTCAGAAACACCATCACGGTAGAAAAGAACTTTATTTGGTAATTTACCAATCTTGTTAACATAATTTTCAATTCTTTCCAAAACCATACCAAATATATCTTGAATAACTTCTTGACCACCTCTTTGGACACTAACAGATCCAGGGAATTTATTGAAAATACCATCTTCAGAACCAACAACTGATGCCACGGAAATGGATTCGGCATTAACTTGTCCAGTAGGATGGGTAACATCAGCACCAAGGATAAATACAGGTTGTTTTTGGGCATCAAATAACCCTTTGGAATCGGCTGGGGATAATCTATGATTAGAACCACCTAATTTAAGGTTGATCTTCATGGCAATTTGAGAATAACATCCAATATCAAACCTGTCAGAGCCACGAAGTTTCTTGGTAAAGACATTAAAGACAACACAAGTATTGATAACACCAACCTTCAAATCACCAACTCTCTTGACAGCACGATACATGGTAGTATCCTTCTTATGTAAGATAACAATAAGGTAATCAATCTTGTCTTTGGTTTTTGCTTGAGTGAAAATTGAAGTCAAGGCTTGTTCCATACCATGTTGATCAGAAACTGATGGATGATCCATATCTAACGAATATTTCTTAAAATCACGATTCACATTAACACCTAATCTTGATAATTCACCAAAGAAAGCAATACATGCCCCTTGTAAATCACCAAGTTTATTATTTAAGAATCTATTTTTCATAATACAAACACCGAAATTGAATGACTTAGCTTTCTTAGTTGGTTCAACAAATCTAATTCTTTCCAAGTTCCAATTACCCTTTTTCTTTTCGGTTCTTCCATCATGAGCTTTTTCTTGGAAGATAATTTTCTTATTATCAGAATATTCAATAACTGGGGCAGATAAAACTCTTGAAGGAACAACGGTAAATTGACTATCAACTTTACCGAAATCAACTTTACTAAATAATTTACTGTTTTCCTTACTAATTAATCTAGCCTTTTCCATTGGTTTAGTAGATGTAATTCTAATAAGATTACGGGTATCCCAGACTTCACCATTATATTGTTGTTGTGGCATAATGTATGCTAATTCCATAGGTAAGTAAGCTTCAGGGCCAATCTTTAACAATGGAAGATTTGGGAATTTAAGATTAATTTTCCATTTATCTTTAAAGTATTGACGAACTGAGGTTAAATTACCATTATCATCCTTAAATTTTAAGGTGTCGGCATTTTCTCTAAAATTGAATCCTTGGATGGCTTTACCAGTTTTACGTTCAAGGTAGGCACGGTAAATCTTAACCCCCTTCATAAAGAATTGCGCCTTCTTGATGTCAGCCTCTCTTGGCATACCTCTCATTTGCAAGAAATCTTGGATTAAGTCCAAAGCATTCATTGGAGAACCATCAGGTTTAAATGACTTGTAAAAAATAGCAGTTGTTGGATTTAAGTTTAATCTAATTGAATCAAAAGAAGTTCTGACACTAGCAAAAGTACCAAGGGCGACAAATAACCCTTTTTGGAAAGGTTCAAATTTGGCACCTTTATCGAAAATAAAAAATTTGTTTGAACCTAAACCAACGACATCTTTATTTTCTAAAACTTTAGAACCAATAACGGCAACTAAAGCATTAGTATATTCTTGAATTTCATTGAAATCACAGGTATATCTTTGTAATTGAACATATTTGACCAAGTCATTAAAGTTTAATTCTTTAACATATTTAACTTTAACTTCAGCACCTTCAATAACAGGATAGATAACTTCGTTTTCGATAGGTAAAGGAGTTCTAGAATACATCATATTATGATCTCTATAATAGATATGAGATCTTTTACTTTTAAATGGTTCCTTTTCAAGTAATTTTTCAACCGCACCTTTAATCTTAAGTCTAACTCTTCCACTGACTTTTACATCAACATGGTATGAATATAATTTTAAACCAGCAACAGCATATTTGAAGAAATTAACACCAACTTCGGTTGGAATACCAACGTTACCGTAACCAGGTCTTAATAAGATTTGATGATCATCTTGAGAAATCTTTCCGGCGAAATCTTTCTTAAATTTAGTGATTGCTTTCGTAGCATCTAAGTTTGCCACTTGAGTATCGAACTTTGGTTCACCAGCTTTAGGTGGCATGATTGATTAAATTTGATTGACTAACTTACAAAAAAGTGTTGTAATTAGACTCTCGTGTTTTTCAATGAAAAGGGGGAGACTCTGAGAATTGGTTGTAAAAAAAAAATAAGGAAAGGGAAAAACTTAAAAATTTATCAACCAGTTGGGGGGATTACCCGGTCAATTGTTTTTTAAATAAAAAATTAGAAAAATTTGGAGATTTTGAAAAATCTATTTAAAGAATAACCGTTTTAATATTTTCATTTTGAAATTGTTCTAAAATTTTTTGGTTAATTAATGACCCGTATATGATTAGATGTTACTGATTATACTGATCTTCTATTTTATCAATTCCAATACCATTGGTTTTGATATTCAATTATTTTGGGGTGGCAGCCAAAATTGCAAATAACCGGACGGAGCCGGATTGATTTAATACAGTTTATTTTAACTACACCATAAAACGTGCTGCCACTTGTCTTATTTGAATTTACTAGTTTCCCTTGGCAATAACTATTTCATTCTCATGTGTCAGAATAGATAGGATGTTGCGCATTCACATTCTAAAACTAGAAACTTGTATTAATCCGCTAGAAGTGGCATATCATTTGAAATTTTGTAGACTGCAATTCTTCTTAACCTTTCCCTTTTCAATAACTCTCATTGTTTTTTGTGTAGTGAATACACAACTAGCAATTTTCTTTGCAATTCTACACATATCTTCCACTTTATCATTTTGTAAGATACTAGAAATCCGCATAGCTAATATTACCAGAGAAGACGTACTGTCTAGTCTTGGAAAGAAAACAAAGTCTTAACGATTGACAGGATATTTACATTTCCTGGGGTTATCGCTATGTTACCGGAGATATACTATACTCTAATAAAATATTATATCGGTAGTTTCTTTTTTCAATGGCACGGCTGGAGAGAGTCCCGTCTTCATCTTCAATACCAAAGGTCTGTATCAAGGTGCTATCAGTATCTGCACCGTTTAACAATTATTTCAATAGTAATCACGTGATTCCATTTTTGTTTTTTTTGCCATGAAATTTTTTTCGACATCAAAAAACTTTGAATTTCAGAATTACATAAAGAGCAAAGGGGTTCTCTTTACCTTATAGCAAATAATCATCGTGTTAAACAAATGTCATTTTTTGGATTCGATCCTACTGCACCTCCACCAGGAGTAAATGCAAACAAGAATGATGAAGCTTATGATTTTCAGGATACTTATGAAGGATTAGGTGAATTAGAAGATGACGCATTCAATCAAGAAACGTTTGCTACCAATACTGCTGATATTAGAAAAGATTTCGATTTTGGAACTGGTACAGGAACAGACAATGTAACACAAGCCCCACCTCCACCTCCACAAAATTTCAGTTATGCTCAAGTAGCTTCTTCCAATTTGAATGATGATGAATTCATGCAAGATTTATGGGGATCTTCAAATGCTCCTCCAGCACCAGCTGAAAATAAGGGTTCAGCACCATCAGGGGAAAAGAAGATTTTATCATTGGAAGAAATTGAAGCTCAATTGACTGCAATTGATGAATCCCAAAAACCTCCTCAACCTCAACAGTTCCCACCTCAACCTTATCCAATGCCTCCAGGAATGATTCCTCACCCTCAGTTTGGCGGATATATGATGCCTCCTGGAGGCTTTATGCCACCACCACCTGGTCAATATCCCCAGTTCCCAGGTTTCCCGCAACAAATGCCACCTCAATTCCCAGGTCAAGTCCCACCTCAAATGCCTCCACAGCAACAACAACAACAACAAGTTGGTCAACAACTCCCACCTGTCAGTGCCTCCGCTGCTGTGCCAGCCCAACAACAGCCACAAGCTGTTGAAGTTGCTGGCCAAACGGGTTCTCCTGCTCCTCAAGAAGTACCAGTTTCTGAGCAACCTGCTGACCAACCAAAGCCACAAAAGGTTGATTTATCTCAATTCCCAGTTTTAGGATCTAAGGAAGCCCAGGAACAACAGCAACTTCACCAACATCAACAACAACATCAACAACACCATGTTCATCAGCAACAACCTTTCCACAGGGACCATCATGGCTATCACCGTAACCAACACCAACACCAACATTACCATCAACAACACCAACACCAACAACCTCAAGAAGAACTCACTCCTGAACAACAAGAAAAGGCTGCCAAGAGACAAGAAAAGGTTTCTCGTATTATGAGATATTCTGGTATTATGAATCCAAAGGATAAGGATTTTGTTACTCGTTTCCAATTATCCCAAATTGTCACTGAAGATCCATATAATGAAGATTTCTATGCGCAAGTGTTTAAAGTTATTCATCCAAAGAATGTCAATGGGGCTGTCACCATCCATCAACAAAAGAATAACTCGATTGCTCAGGCTTATTTGGAACAAAGTGGTCATAGATTAGGTGGAAGATATAAGCGTGCTGATGTTGCTTTACAAAGAATGCAACAACAGGTTCAAAAAGCGGTTACTGTTGCTAAAGAAAGACCTAAATTGACTCAATATGCTAAAGAAGGTGCATTGGGTAAGATTTCTTTTGGAAGTGGTAAGAAACCAAGACAACAATTGGAAATTATAAGTAAGGCTGCTGAACGTCAAAAGAAACAAGATGAAGGTAATTTAGAAAAGAAAGAAACTAGTGCTGGAATTAAAAAGTATTCTAAGAAGGATATTTTGAGTATTTTGGAAAATGCCATTACTGAATTAATGAATGTTGAAAGTGAATCAAGAACAAGTTCTGATGTTGATACTTCTAAATTATGGAAATCTTTGAAAGTGTTAGAACAAACATCTTCTTCAGGTGATGATGAAAGTGAAGTTAATCCATTTATTCAATGTTTGAATTATAACAAGATGTTGAAGATTTTATCCCGTTTATTCAAATTTTTGAATCGTGAACAAATTTTAACTATTGTGACTTTAATCATGTCCAATTTGGAAAACCTTTCCGTCATCAAACATGGTTCATATACCACTTATGAAGATCACAAAATCCCAGAAACTTTCGCCAAATTAGTCGATAATTATTCAATGACCTTCACCAAAGTCTTGATGAATGCAGTTTTGGATTTCAAATTCAACGAAATTATCGGATTATTAGTCATCTTAATCGAACACAATAACGTCTCCTTCGTCTCAACTACCAAAATCGGATTAACAATTCTTACGACTTTATTATCCCGAGCAGAATTGATTATTGGAGAAGGAACCATTTCCGCCACCGATCTTTCCGAATGGTCCTCATGTTATGACGAACTTTTCACCTCCCTCGAATCAAGAATCGCCGCTATCTTCCCACCTCATGACGTCGATGATGGATCGAGTAAGGAAAACTATGTCTGGCAATTCTTGGCTACTTTGTCACTTGGTGGGAAATTATCTCATCAGAGAATTATTGTTGATGAAGTTAGAGATGAGATTTTTGGGGTCATGAATAGAGCAAAAGCGGTTAATGATGATTTGTATAAGAAGCAGAATTTGTTGAATAATTTGAATATGTATTTGGTTGTCATGGGTTTAGTTGCTGATGAGAATGAAATTAAAGAACTTCAGAATTAGGGATTGTCTGCATATTTGTTTGTACTATAGTGTTTATATAAAGTGAAAATTAAAAAAAAAAGAGAAGGCGAAGAATAAAGGCATATGAAGATGATGAAGTCTTCGTTTAGTTTTGGGTGATTTGTGTGTTTGAAGAGATTCTTACAAAGTGTGTTTTCTTATAAATACGTTTTTAATATTAATACAATTGTCCTTTTTTTTTTGAGAGAGTAATACTTATCTAGCTAATATTTCTCCAACAATTCAGTGATAGCTATACTAGATGCATGAGACACTTCAGACGTTTTCCTCTTTTGACCAACTTGATGAGAATTGCTCATAATAGAAGAAACTTGTGAATCTTCCGATTGTCTTCTTCTAACAATACCAGTTATTTTATATGCATCTGCTCCATTTCCATCACACACACCGGTGGACGGAGAAATAAATGGAGGCATCAATCCGGCAGCCGATTGTACTGTCACTCGTTGCTCTTCTCCTTCTTCCCCTTCTTTCATATTGTCCTTCACGATATCAATCGGGATAAACCTAGACCTAACTTTATGTTTTGACGGAATTGGAGAATCGGGAGATAATTTCGTAGTCAATGCGCTATTCAATTGTTTTTGATCATTTAATAATCGCTTCAATTGATCGATCTCCAATTGTTGTTTCGAAACTATTGAGTTATATTTTTCAACCAATAGATTCATTTCTTGTCGATAAACTTGTTGATTTGCATTATACAAAATTTCATCCTCTGATTCAATATAAACCAGTCCTTGTGGTGTTTGAGGCAAGGGTCGTTGTTTTTGCTGTTGATGTTGTTCAAATGCACCTCCCGACGGGGAATTTGGACAACTTGCACTACTTCCATTTGAGTTTATTATGAATGGTGGTTGCAATTTACTGGCAGGTTCTGGTTTTTCTTCAACTAGTCGTAAATCGGATATATAAGGTCTAAATATTTGAATATTTGTATCGGTTATAGAAACTGAAGACTGGGTCCACTCAGCCGAGCCATACATATTACCACTTGGCTTTCCTTCTTCAAAAAATTTCTCTTCGTCATTGCTGGAAAACAGAAAGAACATATTATCGTCAAAAGAAATTGAATCACATAGTATTGAATCCTTCTTGTTGGATAATGGTGTGCTACAATCAAAACCCGATAGCTTCACATTTATAGGAGTCTTTGGCATTTTGGGAGTATTATCAGGTTTATAATTTCGAAGTGCTGATGGGGGGTGTGTACTTATCGTTGAGGACCGTTGTCGTGGTCGTGTCTTGCATTCCTCGGAAGAATCTGGCTGCAAATTGCATCCAATCGCTCTAAATGTATATGGCGATATTATCTTGGGGGTTAAATGTTGTAATTCACCAACTATTCGAATCTCGGGTCTTGGTTTATCTTTTGTTGATGATGATGGTTTTGATAGTTTTGAAAAGATACTTCGATTACTCTTTGATTTTGGCACCTTTGCGGTAGATGGATTTGTTGTGGGTTGTTGGATTGATGCATTAGGATCGTTTCTTGAACGTCGAAACAATTTCCGTTTGGATTTCTTTACTCTGGTAGGTTGGGGGTTCTTGGTTCGTTTCGTTAGGAACCGTATGTATGCTAATATGGAAAATGCCGACATGCTTATTAAAAAAAAGCGCGTCACGATGTTATTCAAAATCAAATATGCTAAAATTGGATCAATAGATTACTATTAGGTGGTGTTTCAGTAATTCAAATATTCATATAAAAGTACAGTATAGAATGGGTTAATTGGAAATAGATAAATAATTAGAAGTGAAAAAGTGATATTTATTTATTCAAAGATATTTCCTGGGGAGGGAACAGGAGGAGGATGATGCGACATGATTTAGTTAAAAAATAAAAATATCAAACATACCCAAAAAATCAAAGAAAGTGAAAGGAATAAACCGAAAGCCACACATACTACAGAGAAAGAGATAACAAAGGAAAAAATACCATGTTTTTGTTCGAGCGCTTTAATTAAATTTGTGGGTGCTTGAATAATATTCTTATTGTTCCCAATTTAGTGATCGAGATACCTGATTGAATCAAGTTTGTGCGATTTTCTAAAACAAGAAAGCATAAATTATACTATGACTTTTAAACACTTTAGCTTTAAAGTTTAGAGTATTTATAGACAGAGAAGATAACCTCATCATGCTTTAACACCCATAAGAAATTGATAATGCTCAAAACATCTTGGTAAGAAATTGAAAAGATGCCCTGGGAAAAGGAAAAAAGAGACAAAATTATTCATGGGAAAATATCGCCAAGGAATTGCAATTAATGAACAATGTTAATAATTGCATCACAATCGGTTCCAGAATGTACTGTATTAATCCCGCCCTCTAATATTCGTAATAATAATTACTCTTATTGTTTACTTATTTTAGTCCTATTATTGACACGTTCCAATCAGGTATGACTAAGCCTGCTAGTGGTGTCACAGTTTACACTTGCAGTTCCTTCTTGTCGTCGGCTTAAACTTTATAGAACCTTTCCCTCTACAATTGTCTCCGAAGGTTCAGGTTATCTTTTCTCATTCTATCCACGAAATCTTCTGAGAGCTTTTCTAGTGAAAGAATGAACTCGCCATTTATTTATTTTTTGGATGCGCTTTTTTTTCAATATTTACGTTTCTTCCCAATTGAGTAATATCTCGGTTTATTGAATCAAGAAAATTTCATTTTTCGAGTCAATTGAATTTAAGAATTTCTCATAAATTGGGGTTGGTTGGATGATGCATATCAAAATTCGCAAACCACTTTTGTGAAATATGCAAGCCGCGGTCAATTGAGTCATACTCAGGACCCTGTTTATAGTAGCCAATTTCTGTGAATGGAAAAATCATTCCTACGTGTCGCTTACCTAATTTCCAGTGGGTATTTACAGAGTGTATTTCTATTGCAACAAAGGATCGGTTGTAAGATCCTGTAAACGATCAAAGTTCTTTATTTTCTTTTCGTAAATACCAAATACACAAAATTGGAGAACAGTTGTTAAATAAGATTCCGTTACAGGAAATCACAAAATCAACACAATGAAATATTTCGAACTTCTTTGTAGTGCAATCTGTATGGAAATTAGTTTTCCTTCGGTGCTCCCAGACCCTGCCTGACACGCCTAAAAATTGCGCTATGTTAAGAGTTATGGAACCAAAGGCAACTATCGAAGTCAAAAAAAGAAAGAGCTTCGGGTTGTAAATAAATTGTGTCTTGTTGATTAGGTGTTAGTCACTACCCCTTCACTGTTAAAGATATGTTCATTTGGTAGTCATTAGATGACCAAGGAAAGCTGTGCGTATGTGGGATTTGGATTGTTAATTAAAACAATAGACAAGGCATAGTTTTTTGTACCACAAAAGCAGATTCATTTCAAGCAAGGTTGGATTTAGACGTTGAGAAAGGGTAAATTTACTATTCGTTGACTATTTTTAGGATTACTTTCATTAGTTGTATTGTCAGTTTCTCTTGACACTGTATTCTACATTGCAAGATGCTTGCAACTACCTAATAAATAATGTACATATATACAAGGTTGCAAACGCTAAAAAGCAACACTGAAAAACTATTGATATTCAAATATAATCATAGATAATAGGAAGAATATGAAATACAATATCAAATAGGAATAGGTGCATGTGGACCATTTCTAATATAAATATCTGAACTTAGGATTTCTATCACCCGCAATAATTTGTTCACGTTCAGACAAAGAATTAAATTTGTCTCTATAGGCTTCAGTTTTCTTAATCCTGTTCATCCTATAGCAAAGGAAGAAATACGCAATCGAGCAAATAATGGAAAACACAGTCCCACCAAGGGAAGCACCCAACCCTTTCTTATAGTAAGGGGCATCTGTGGCTAAGAAAATATAGGTTGCAATGATACCACCGATATTACCAAACCCAATTTGCCAAGCAGTACCAACTGATTTACGAATGTGTGAACCAAAATTGATTGCAGCCCAACATACAACTAGGGGCATGGAACTGAGCAAACCCATCGAGGCCAAGAAACACCCGGCATAACGGACTTGGGCGTTATCGGTAGCACCCAAAACCATACTAAGGCCAGCAGCAGCTATGACACAACATATAACAGCATATGGTAGTCTCTTCCCCGTACAATCTGACAAAAACGCTGAACCATTCATCAATCCAAAAGCACAAAGATATGGATATACCGAATGCTGCTGGGCACTGACAGCAGTATAACCCAATTCTCTAATGATGGCTGGTGAGAAATAAGCATATCCATAAGAAGGAATGATTAATCCAAAGTATGATAAAGCTGGTAACCAAATTAATGGATCTTTAAAGCAATTAACAACATCGGTGACTCGATTCTTAATTTCAAATGCAGAAGCAGTACCCGATAAAATTTCTAACTTCGTTTTGATAAACTTACGTTCTTCTTCATTCAAGAACCTTGCTTCTTCGGGGAAATCAGCAATCAGAAGGAATAAAATGAGAGCACATCCGCAAGTAACTGCACCTTCAATAATAAAGATCCATCTCCAACTTTCAATTCCGTGAACACCGTGCAAATCATTTATTCTATACGCAATTGCACCTGAAGCAGCTCCCGCTAAAGCGGTACAGGAGAAGAATGCAGAGAACCTCCTTTGTGCCTCTGCCTTGGAGTAATAGGTGGATAATAAATAAAATATTGATGGGAAGGTTGCAGCTTCAGTAACACCAATGAAGAATCGACAGGCAACTAATCCCCCAAAGTTCTTAACAAATCCAAGGACAATTGATAGCGCACCAAATGCAAAAACAACACAAGATAATAAAACGTGTGGAGTAATAATCTTCATTAAGTAATTAGCAACAACTTCAAAGAATATATATGGAACAAAAAATACAAGCAAAGCAATATTATATTGATCACCTTTCAAATTCAAATCATCTGACAATCCATAAAGGTTGGCATTTCCAATGTTAACTCGATCAAGAAATGAAAGGAAATATAATAGACAGAATGGAGGCACAACCCAAAGGTCAATCTTCCACATAAGCTTCCTATGATTTATATCACATTGTTGAGCCAATTCTTCTACTTGTGCTTGTAGTGATTCTTCTGATTGTGGACCATGCTCATCAGTCGAAGCATCAACTTTAAGGTGTTGAAAATTTTCTGGTTTCAGGGTATTGGATTCCTGGGACTCAGTATCTCCTTTTGTTGAAATGGTAGGTGGATCTCCCAATTTCATGATGCTTATAGCTGCTCGTGTTATTACAGAATGAAAATTTTACGAAATACATTAAAATACAGGATCCCCCTAGGGGCTTATGTAGTATTTATAGTGCTGAATCATCTGGGGCGGAAAAGTGAAAAATATACAAGGGGATAGGTTATGTGCCATTCTATTTTGGAAGTTCTGCAGAATTTTAAACTTTAAGATTTCACTGCTATATCTTACGATTGATGAACGCTTGTGAATTTCCTGATCTTTCATGGATTTGGGATGTAGGTTTGACGAGTTACTAAGATTTGATATGCGTCAAACTGATTGGTTCCCAGTGTTCAGCTACGGACAAAGTAACAAACCATCCCAATTCAACCCTTAAATTCTTGGCATTTTTCACTAATACAACACCTCCCGTCTTATAAATGTACTTGGCAAAAGGTTAAGTCTGTTGAACTATGCAAAACTATTCTTTTTTTGGCCGGTATAGGAGCACTTCTGCCGGTGCTGCACAATTACTTTCAATAGGTCTCGAGACCATAAAAATGGCTTGGTCAAACCCCGATTCTTCTGTATGAGACTTCCGCTAAGTGATTCCTCTTTGTCATCGAATACAGCAGGATAGCTTCACTGCAATTTAGCAACAAACCTTCCTGTAGTTCTCTTTCACCTATTGTTGATTCAAATATGTGTCAAAGGAGCACGGCGAGTATTAATTGAAACCATCGGAACAATTTATCTCTGGTTTGTGAACAGTAATACTGGTAAAACGTGCTGCCTTTCTCTATTTACTTGAATTCCTCGTTGCAGAGGTCTCTGTGTGCAGAATGAAGAAATGTAGTATCTCGTTCAACAAAATGAAGCGGAGCTACCAATTCTGAATCAATTTAACTAATGCTAATTATACCTTAGCTTGCAACTTCCTTTGCAGTTAAGCTTCGGATATCATGGGCCATCCTGATGATTCATTTGGAGAAACTCTTGCTGCAAATTGATGCGAAAAAAATCTTGACAATAATAATTAATATTTTTCAAAATAATTACTGTGAAGCTCATGCGTGTTTATTGCTCATTGAAAGGAGAAGTGTTACGGCCAAGTAGCTATGTCAAGATATAACTAGCTATTATATCTTGTTCTAGCTTCGTTGCCAGTAATGTTTCTTCTGGTTTTGTGTTATTTACTATTTATGTTTACCGTTTGTTTCCGTATTTCCGTATTGCCGTTAAATCCCTCAACGCCTCGATGGATTTCCCGAGAGTATAAATATGGTTAACTTTCCCACTTCTTTTTATATCACTTTCTTTTAGAATTAGGCATTTCTTTATCCTCATTTTAGACAAATGTCTCTATAGATTATATTACTTTAGTTTATCGCTACATAGGTGTGAAACCCCAAATATACACTAGCTGGTATCTAATAGCTCTTTATAATTTATACATGGAGCCCAATCACCGTGTACTCCCTTCCTTTTGCCAAGTTTTCCATTCCGGATAGTTATACCAACCCCAAGGTCATCGCAACTACAACACTTGTTCAATAGATCATTCCAGGTACATTTTTTTTTTTTTACATTCCTTCACAGGAACTGATGGTTATCGAGAGAAAAATTTTCATCCAAATAATAATTTTTTAGATCGGTTACATCGAACGTTTGTCAAGTTCAACCTCGCGGTATTAAACAACTTCGACCAAACACCATGCTGCTTACTATCAAATACGCTCACACCCCCTGATGCTATATTTTGGTTAGTTCTTGCTGTTACTTATTTTCCCGGTTGCTACTTTGTTGCTGCTTTCCACCCCAGGTTATAAACACCAGCTTCACAGTTCGTCTTCTAGTTCTGTTGCTCCCTTGCTACTACACGAATACTGCTTATGGTTGAATCGTTTTAACCGCTGATAAACTCCCAATATTTCAGCTTGGTTCCCTTATGTTGTTGCTTCTTCAGATGCAAACGCTGCGCCCCCCTATGCAGATATTTTCAACTTTACGATTATCATGACAGCTTCGTTGGTATCTTTGGTGTCACCGGTTCTATAGACACTCAACTTTAATTTTATCATTTTTTTATTTGACAAGACGCTGCTGCTATTTACGTCGCTATGTTGCTACTTCAGCTATCGCTTCCCGCATACTACTGAACGAGGATTACCACTACACCCCATCCTGTTGGTCGTTCTTGCCTTAGATTGTTGTTTTCGGTTTCTGAGAGCTGCATCCCCTGTTGATTTAGTCACTGCTGTCCCAATCACACTTTCGTGTCACGAGTATCTAACAACCCCATGTCCAGGTCTCAAGTGCACATCTGGTTACTTTCCATCCGATGAACTTATCCTTATCCTGCGATTCCCAACTGCTATTAAGATAGTTCAGGTCTCACTTCTTCAATTCGATGTGTTCCATTATCACTCCATTGCTGGTCACCATCATTGAAAGGGGGGCGGAACAGTATATCAGGCCCATTCAAGTCTTTCTTGACTGTACATACCCGATAACAGAAATTGTCAGCTGATGCTCCCCAGCTATGTTCCCCACGAATTTAAAAGCTTACTTTTCGTTGTTGCCTTACGGTTTTGTCGATTTTGGTTACGCTCCTCCATCGCTAATTATCATTATCGCATAGTCAGATTGCTTACCCTTTGTGATTATTGTCTACCCCACATTTTGTTGTCCTTCCAAGAGAGGCAGTGTTACGGCCAAGTAGCTATGTCAAGATATAACTAGCTATTATATCTTGTTCTAGCTTCGTTGCCAGTAATGTTTCTTCTGGTTTTGTGTTATTTACTATTTATGTTTACCGTTTGTTTCCGTATTTCCGTATTGCCGTTAAATCCCTCAACGCCTCGATGGATTTCCCGAGAGTATAAATATGGTTAACTTTCCCACTTCTTTTTATATCACTTTCTTTTAGAATTAGGCATTTCTTTATCCTCATTTTAGACAAATGTCTCTATAGATTATATTACTTTAGTTTATCGCTACATAGGTGTGAAACCCCAAATATACACTAGCTGGTATCTAATAGCTCTTTATAATTTATACAAGAAGAGAAATAACCATTCATATCTGTTAGCTATTTAAGTGGGCCAGTGGCGTCTTGTTACTGCGTTTCGATGATGCTACAGTGACCCATCAATGAAAAGACGAGTATTGATAGAAAAAGCTTAAGAAATAATAGCATACTTGTAATATTTAAAATATTGAAAATATAAAAATAACACGAAAATAAGTGGGAATATCAAACTGTACTACTTTCATAGGAATTTAATATAAATAAGTGAACTTCGGATTTCTGTCTCCAGCCATTATTTGGTCACGCTCGGATAAGGCAGCAAATTCTTGTTGATAGGTCTCTGTTTTCTTAATCTTGTTCATCCTATAGCAAAAGAAGAAATAGATATTCGTGCAAATAATGGAAAATACAACCCCACCAAGGGAAACACCCAACCCTTTCTTATAGTAAGGGGCATCTGTACCTAGGTAAATATATGTGGCGATAATACCACCAATATTACCAAACCCAATCTGCCATGCAGTGCCAACCGATTTACGAATGTGGGAACCAAAATTAATTGCAGCCCAGCATACAACCAATGGCATAGCACTAAATAAACCACTACATGCAAAGAAGCATCCTGTATAACGTACGCTAGGATTGTCTGTAGCTGCTAAAACCATAGAAAGACCTGCGATTGCCACTATGGAACAGAAGATGGCATATGGTAGTCTTTTTCCCATCCTATCAGACAAATAAGCTGAACCATTCATCAAGCCAAAAGCACAAAGGTAGGGGTAAACCGTATGCTGTTGGGCGCTGACAGCAGTATAACCCAATTCTCTAATGATTGCTGGTGAGAAATAAGCGTACCCATAGGAAGGAATGATTAATCCAAAGTATGATAAGGCTGGCAACCAGATTAGCAAGTCTTTGAAGCAAGTAACAACGTCGCTGACACGGTTCTTAATTTCAAAAGCAGAAGCGCTACCTGATAAAATTTCCAATTTGGTTTTGATAAAGATGCGTTCGTTTTCATTTAAGAATCTTGCTTGTTCAGGGAAATCAGCAATCAGAAAGAATAGAATGACAGCGCAACCGCAAGTAATTGCACCTTCGATAATAAAGATCCATCTCCAACTTTCAATTCCGTGAACACCATCCAAATCATCTATTCGATACGCAATTGCTCCTGAAGCAGCCCCGGCTAATACAGTGCATGAAAAGAAGGCGGAGAACCTTCTCTGCGCCTCTGATTTGGAGTAGTAGGTGGATAATAGATAAAAGATTGATGGGAAAGTTGCAGCTTCTGTGACACCGATAAAGAAACGACAAGCAATTAATCCGCCAAAGTTCTTAACAAATCCAATTCCGATTGATATAGCACCAAATGCTAAAACAACGCCAGATAATAATATGTGCGGAGTAATAATCTTCATTAAGTAGTTTGCAATGACTTCAAAGAATATGTATGGAACAAAAAATACAAGCAAAGCAATATTGTATTGATCACCTACCAAGTTCAAATCGTTGGACAAACCATAAAGGTTAGCGTTACCAATGTTAACACGGTCTAGAAATGAAAGGAAATACAAAAGACAGAAAGGAGGAACAACCCAAAAATCGATCTTCCACATGAGCTTCTTCTGGTTTATACCATACTCTTTGGCCAAAGCATCAACTCTGTATTGTAATGATGTTTCTGCTTCTGGGGAATACTCATCAGGCAAAGATTCAAGGTTTATAAGGTGTTGACTTTCTCGTTTCAGGGTTGAATCATGAGATTCCGAATCTACTTTGGCTGCGATAGGAAGCGGTTCTTCAGTTTTCGTATTCATCGAGGAGGCTTTGATTATTTGAGGATGAGATGTTTACATAACTCATTCCCAAGCCATGGGAAACCCCATGGGACCTTTGGGATATTTATAATCCTGAACCACTACTGGCGGGGAAGTGAAAAATACCACTGAAACTTGAACTTTAAAATCTACTTGCTATCTTCGGCGGCAAAACATATTTCAGCTTGTTCCTTTCGAGGTATTAGAAACTAGAATCGGAAGCAGCGTAAGTTACTTTCAGTAAGAACTCTGGTTACCACACACATGTAATCTAACAGTATGCATGTGTCTCATTACTCAGTCAAACAAGTGCTCCCTCACATCAAATAAGCTCAAGGTTCAACACGTTCGTAATAATGCTTCTCCTCATATAAAGTTCCAATAGCAGCTGGGCAGAAAGTTAAAGTAATTTGGGCAAGTTTTTTTTTTGAAAAATTATACTTTTTCTAGTCGGGGGTGCATTTCGGTTTGTATCACGATTGGAACACCCTGAATGGACATGATCAATTCGCAGACCTAATTGAAGATCTGATGGCAAATCGCTTATCAAAACTTGAAACTCATAACTGAATAGGTGATCTCTTAGTCATTGAGACATAAATGCTACCTTTTGTGGCAGTCTCGAAGTTGCCAACAAAAAGGTTAGATGGCTCAGCATTTAAGTTAACAGTCTCATGTGAAAATAATTCTTTTACATTTGGTTATTTTCAGGATATAATTTCGGTTTTGACAAAATCTAGACAACTCCAGTGAAGGTATCTCTTAATGTTGTGGCTTTCTCTCTCTATTTTATACTCCATGAAACGTGTGCGAAAGGGCTGTAGGTATACAGAAATTGTTCACAGTTGTAAAAGATTCCATTGTGCTTCTTCTTTCATACCAGCTTGGCTGTTCTTAAGTGGTCAAACAAATCTAAATATAGAAAAGAAGCTAGATACCCCCCTGGGAAAAGCAAAATGGTTTGCAGCTGCCATCACGTGATTGATTCTAATCTAATTTTTTTTTTGGATTGCGGTTCGAACAAACCAGAGATTCTATTTTTCTTGATTATAAATGGCATAACCACCAAGGTCATTTTGCAACCCATCATTGAAAAATAAATTTCATACACCTGTTTAAATTAACCCTGCGTTAACGGTAAAGTACAACCGAACTCATTTCTTTTTCAAGTTGAGTTGATTCTTTGATTTGATTGTAAATAACACACGAAAGTGTCCTTTTCATCCTTTGAGAACCACACAAAGGAACTTATCAATTCGAAATGCAACCTGTCAATAACTATTCTTTGTTCGCAGAGAACGGGTCGCCACGCCACACTGACATGAATGCAATGTCATCATCCACTGATAATAATAAGTCAGGTGGCAACGTGGATCAGCAGGTATTATTAACACATGGCTATGTTCATGGACACATACATAAACATAAAGACCACACACATATTCACGGTCATATTCACAACCACGATCACGATAAGATTCAACTACTACCACAGTTTACCACTACCACCGCCAACAATAATATTCCAGATTTGTCATGCTCACAGTTAGATTTATCATTCTGTGACGATGTCTTATGCGATGAGCTCGATGATTGCTTCTTTTTAAATTGTGATGGTAGTGAGAAGGGTGCTTCCGAATGCTGTGACCACGATGATTGTTGTATACAACAACATCCATCTCAACAAGAAGCTTCAACCTGTGACAAAGGAAGAATAGATGAGATTTGCTGCACCGATTTTCATTGTGACGCTGATGGTTACAAATCCGAGGAATGCTGTGATGATCCCAACTGTCCAGACTTCAATGAAATCAAGCATGACCACACGATAATTTGCAACGATCCTGAATGTTCAAGTTCGAAATGCTGCAACAAATCGACTGTACAGCAACATGAGAAGAATCACCTCTGTGAACTCCAACTATCAAAACAACCCATTTTTGAAGATTTGATAGGCAGTTTAACCCAACTTCAATCCCAGAATAACCCTCAAATGTCATCGCCACCATCAAAGAAGCAAAGGTTAGATACGAGTGGGTTTGAAATTCATTTCCCACATGAATGTCATCCTGAAGATAGTGCTGAATCTGTCAGCTCGCATCGTTTCCATCAATCATGTTTTCATACCACCATTCCTGGAAGTTCTACCCAGTCTGACGAAGAAAGAAGGATGTCCGATTTCGATTTTGTTATTCAATTTAACAATTTCAATCAGCTTTTGAGAGAGGGTGATGTCGGTAATTCCAACTCCATTGGAACCGGGCCCACTACTGATTCCTTTAATAATAATGTTCACACTCCTGCTGCCTCGGCTTCTTCTAATAACATGCTGTTAACCCCAACAGGTGATCATATCCACAATGATGAATTTTCATGCCAGTGGGAAAAGTGTTTCAAGAAAGTCAACGACGACACATTCCTCAATCATGTGCTTGGAGAACACGTTGTGCAAGATCAACTCGGTCTGACGCCGAGCAAGCCAGAATATCAGTGTGAGTGGAATGATTGTAATTTTATGGACACGGATTTCAAGGCCCTAGTTGACCATTTAAACTCTCATAAACAACAAGCAAGTAATTGTTCCCATTTGAACCACAATCACAACAATAATGGCATTCCTACATTGTGCAGCCAGCCGCAACAACAATTTGCGATCACTCCCGCTTCCACCGGATCTATCGAAACATCTCCTAACGATTTTTGTCAGCACAATCCCATGATAATGCAAGAATCAACATCATTATCTTCTCCCAATGTGAACATCACTTCCATTAAGATTATGCCCAAGAAACGTCCGTCTTCAAGATCAAGAAACATATCAGAATCCCCACCTGATCCAGAGTTTAAATGTATGTGGGAAATTGGAGTCTCTCCAGATGGGACCTATATTCCATGTGGCAAGACCCACCAATCCGCAGGGGAACTACAAGAACACCTTATCCAAGACCATATTGGATCCGGAAAATCGATATATAACTGTAGTTGGATAGGTTGTGATCGACACCACGGGAAATTATTCAATCAGAGACAGAAGTTATTACGCCATATTCATATACATACCCGTTACAAACCTTTCAAGTGTCTGATTTGTGAGTCTTGCTTTGCGGTAGAAGGAATGTTGGAACAACATTTACGTATTCATTCTGGTGAGAAGCCGTTCAAATGTTCGATATGTGGGAAGCAATTCGCTACTAGTTCTTCTTTGTCGATTCATAATCGTGTACATACTGGTGAAAAACCATTAGTGTGTAAATGGCCTGGCTGTGGGAAGAGGTTTAGTGAGAGTTCGAATTTGACTAAGCATATGAAGATCCACACGAAGTGCTTTGTGTGTGAGGTATGTGGGAAGGAATTTGATAAAAAGACGTCATATAATCGTCATATTAAGTCACATAGTACCTAGTATTAATTTCTCTATTTATAAGTTTGTTTTTGGGATAAATCGGTTTTAGTGATAAAGCTTTTAAATGTAAATAAGTTCTTCGACTTTATGAATTTTGCAACTATACGACATTTACACAATGTCGTCTTTTTGTTAGTGCGACATAATTTTCTATAAAAAAATTTTCGTTTTCCTTAAAATCAACTTTCACTACAAAGCTATACTCTCATCCAATCACAATACCCATAGCCAGTATAATAATATGAGAGTCTCCCAAAGATTGCTTATAACAGTCAAGCGTGCCGACGTTAGAATTATTCCAAAGCAACCAATCTATGAAATCCCATCATTGTCATCCATCACATATAAGGATTTACCAGATCCAAAATTTGGGAACAAGACCTATCATGTTCCTATGACTAAATTCAAGCACTGGCCAGTATATCCAAAGATCCAAGGTTCAAGGAGACAAACCGAGATCAAGAGAGTGCAGGGAGATGTCGTACAACTCAGTAAAGATTTATTGAAATTAAATCCAAATTTGATTATTGCTAAAGTGAACACAACAGCTGGATATATAAACATTAAGGGGGATGTTACTGAAGAAATAAAACAATACTTTAATAGAGAATTAAAGTAGACAGTTGAGTCTATTTTATATTGTACATAAAGAAAATATACGCCGTTTTGTAAATAATACAAGAATGAAAGTTCAAAAATCCATAATATTAGAAATATATACACACCGAACCCGTATTCTATACATCATTTATCTCTAATTCATTGTCTCAATAAGACCACCAGTTTCTGAAGATGGCGTACTACTCAGCATATCACCACTTCCAGTACCAAACGCAAGCTGCCTAATAGAAACCATCCAAGGATCACTCAACAATTCCACCGCACTAGGACGTTTCATTGGATCATGCTCCAAACATCTTGCTACAAAGTTCCTACCACCATCACTTAATTGATCAGGCGAAGGTAAAGGCGGTTTGTGTCCTGCAGCAATGTGATACATTATTGCCCATTCGTTATCCAAATTAGCCCAAGGTCTTCTTCCAGTAGCCATTTCTAATACACAGCATCCTAATGACCATATATCAATCACTCCACTACGATCAATGGCTGGAGATGAGGTACCAGTAATTGCTTCTGGTGACATATACATCGGTGTACCTGTCATTGAATTAAGATGATTGTTGTTTCCAGGGTTGTGGGGATCTGCTAAGGACGTACGTAATGATTTAGTAGCCATTCCTGATCCACCTCGAGTACGACCAGTATTGGCTATGACCTTAGCAGCTCCGAAATCAACAAATTTAATGACACCATTATGATCAAGTAAGATATTTTCCGGTTTGATATCACGATGAACTACTCCTGATTGATGTAAATAGGCCAATCCTTCCAACATTTGTAATGTGTATACTTGAATAACCATCTCGTCTTCAATTCTTCCATGAGTCAACAATCCCGAAAGTGATCCACCTTCACAATATTCCATAAAGATATACACTTTATCACGATGGACCTCAACTCCAAAATACTGTACAACATTTGGATGATTCAATATTTCTAAAACATTCATTTCTTCCTTGATTGAAGGCACGATATTCTTGATTGATTGCGAATCATGGAATCTAATCTCTTTAACTGCCATAACTCCACCAGTATCTAAATTGACCGCCGAAAATACCTGTCCAAAAGTTCCACCTCCTATAAATCTCCCCTTTTGCCATCTTATAGAAACACTAGAAAACGACGAGGCTAATAATGTGACAAATTGATATTCCAGGTCAGTAACATCCAAGACTCGTCCCACCGACAGTAATTGTTCTTGCAAATCTCGTCTATATTCTTCAATCTCATTGATGTGAGACATTAATTCTTCGTGATACACTTTGGCGATATATTCATCATCTTCTGAATTACCAATTCCTTGTTGATGTCTTTGACTAGTCCATTTAAGTAATTTATTCTTTTCTGCCTCACTAGATCTAGCTCCCATAATATCAAAGTGGGAAATTAATAATGACATACATCTGGCAACTTTTGCTTTTAATTTATAAAACTGTGCTTCATTTAAAACCAATACATTAAATCCTCTAGTCATATCCATGGCAAATTCCAATGCAAGAACACACCATCTGAATGTTTTCCGGTCAGTATGGATACAATCATCACAAATAAAACTGACCCAATCTATAGAAAGTTGAATTAATTTCATAATAATGGTAGATTTTCGACTTGAATCTAAATTTCGAATTGTATTTTTCCCATAATCTCGAGCATAAATAAATAAATTATTTATCAAAGTTTGATATTCACCTTCACGAGGATTTAATTTCTTAACTTTTTCTTTCACTATCTTGACTGAATCTAAAACAGCTAAGCCCATTTTGAAAAAAGTCTTATTAGTTCGTGTTAATTCATGATGGACTTTTGCTAATGAACATCGTTGTTCAATCGGTTTCATCCCTCCAGGAATCATAAATACTTCATTCATGAGATCTAAGAAATGGTCCCGGATAATATGTAGTTCGAAATAAGGTAATCTTGTAATAAGCAACAATTGACCATTTTTTACATCAGTTATAGGTACGGAATCAACTGTCACGTTCACAACAGGACCTTCCCAAACAATAGGTTTCAAAGGACACAAAGCCACCACATATGAATAATATGCATTCATATCTAATCTATCCAAATCTTCACGACTATCATCATCTCCACTATTGATGGAATTCTCAGAATTAACAGTAATCAAATTCAATAAATTCGAAAAATCAGGCAGTCGTTTATTATTCAATCCGATATATGATCCATTTATCAATTTCAAAATTTCCAGTTCTTTACCCAACAAATCAGGACTAGCAAAGAAATATGTCCCTTGAGTTTCTAATGTCCCCGTATATACCAAGAAATGATTACTTGATTTCAAAATCTCCAATAACGTCTTTGTATTATTATTAAGTGACAGATTGGGTATATCAAACACCAACGAATTTGTAAAATCCCTCGAAATCCCCCCTGTAAATCTCGCCAACTTTCTTCTCAATTGTCCAAAATTCTCAGTAGTAGAACTATACCATCTCATTAAATCCTGGGTCCCATTAGGTGGAGATCTGATCTGAGTGTTGAAATAAGCCAAGAGACGATGGATAAGTTTCAGAGTAAGCAATGTGATTTGTTCAGCCACCACCACGCTACCACCATCAATATGGAATCCAAGGGGTTGTAAGAATTCCCAAGCTTCTTCTAATTCATCCGGTTCTTTGAATGTTCGGAAAGTTGTTGGAGATCGGGAACTATCTAATAATTTTCGATTTAATAAAATGAGGAAATATCTTACACATCGAAGGACCACGGTGTCGAAATCGGTGATTTCATTGTCAAATAAGTCGGTAAGTATCCAATTTCGCAGTTCGTCGGTTTTGATATATTCCAGGATTCCAGTCTTGACTTCCAATGCAATGGTGATGTATGATTTAAAATCGTCAATCATTTGATCAATCATCATTAATGTAGGATTATGTAATTTCATGGCATAACTTAATCTAACATTTATAATCTCTTTAATTAATTTCATCGGAATAATACATATTTCAATTAAATCATGAATATAATCAGGTAATTTCAAAGTTTCAAATATCGTTCCAAGACGAATATATGTATCTTTAGATTTTATCATCCATGGGGATATTGGTTTAAATATTCTTTTCCGGAAAATCGTATGTACATCCTTCTCTTTCATTAATCTTTCAGCTAATGATTTATTATCCTCATCAAATATCTTCTTCATCAGTTTGCCACCACTACTAGTAGAACTACCACTTGAAAGTGGCTCTACTGGACTCTTTGTAACATCCAATTCATCATTCCCGATCCATAATTTCAAAGACTTAGTTTCTCTCATAATAGCATCGGTAATGGATAACCAAGCAGTCAAGGCATCTATTCGATTTTGAAATTCAATACTACGACAAGCAGGTTTATCATTTCTCATATCTTCCAAAGTCTTCCATAAGGAACATGATTCATCATATCTCGATAATATAGTTTCAACTTGGTTTCGTACTGGTTCTTGATAATTTATTTCGAATTTCATCACATCTTCAATCAATTGATCAACTAAGGTTCTTCTATAGGCGATTATTTTCCGTTGATCATCCTCGGTACGATTGAATAATTTGGCATTTATACCAAACCAAAGACTATCCTTAAATGTTGCATGGATGTATGATTCCTGGGAACTGTCGGGATTACTATTGTTGATTATTTTGGTTTTTTCCGACCGAACAACGTCACCTGTTAAAACTGCAGTTAACATTGATTGCCATTCCAAACGTTCAATAACCGCCGGGTCGTCAGTATCATCCTTACTTAATCTTGAAAGCGGTTTTGATTTGTTGCTTTTATTATTGGATATATTGTTAAGATTTGTGTTCTTCATTAATGAAAGTGCCAATGAATAATCAATTTGATCTTTCTCATGATCATCCATATCAACTAATAATAAACTTGCATTATTATCATTAATAGTTTCATTCGAAGTATCAAAATCAACCTCCTCATCATCATCCTCATCCTCCTCGTCTTCTTCTTCTCCATATTCATATTCTTCATTATCATCGTATATCTCATTATTCCGTTTTCTTTTTCCCCCCAATTCACGATCATTAGAAAAATCACGAAGATATTCATTGGCTCCACTTATCCCCTTCGTATAATAATCATCCACGAATTGATTCCTTATTTTACGTAGATATGCCTTCTCCTGGGCAAGATATTGCGTATTGATTGAATGAACTCCCGAATGAGGTTGTGTTAATGAACGAGATCTGGATCTTGTACCGGTTGGAGCTGAGCTTGAAGAAGTTGCAGATGTAGGAAGTACATTATTCCCACTCCCAGCGTTCATAGTTGCAGATGAAATTGATCCGGGTGATTTTATAGATGATGGTGATGTGTTTGAATTGCTATTTCCATGAGACGATTTTGGAGGGGTTGCGATTGTGGCGTGTTTTGTGCCGTTCGTGGAACTTGTTAGTTTCTTCATTCGTGATGTTGAATTAGAGGGTGAAATCGTCCTTAGGGAGGAAGTTGTATTATTGGTCATGATGGCACCTGAATTATTCCTATGTTGTTGTGGAGTTGTGGGTGTTGAAGTTGAAGGTGGATTCCCACCAGAAGCCGGGGTTGAATTCGACATTTAGACGTGAATATAATACGCAAATTTCTAGTACTGATAAAAAATGAATCAATCCAAAGGTTCTGTTAGATTGCTTACACGATCTTCTGTTTAGATTAATGGGATTCTAAATGAATTGATTGATGTTACTGTAAAAACTCCTTTCAGCTTGTTGTAAATATTTTGGTTGTAAAAAAGATGGCCGCCTTTTTTTTTTGGTAAGACTTTATTGATTACGTAATCGGAACATGTAATTAAATGGTGAAATATCACATCTCAATGTTATTATAATCGGTCTAAATTGTAAATTCACTTCTAAGATATATTAATCTGAAACTCTTAGGTCCTGTATTAGAAACTGGAAAAGTTAGGGAAAGGTGCTGGAACCTGAAATCTCTGGTATCCTAATCAATAGATCAGAGGTGCTACATGAACAAGGTACATTTTCTAGATACAAAATGAGTTTCAAGTAAATGTAGAAGTAGATTTCGCATGGGTAAGATTATCCATCAGTGAATACTTAGCCGATTCACAAGAGCTCTTGCTAACCCTAGGATGTTGTTGTTTTGAAAATAAATACTCCCATTATGAATGGGGTATTAACTCTTGTGACCTGAATCGATAAAGATATGATGAGAGGGAGCACACTAAGAAGCCAAAACTGTAGGAGTCGAATCAAAAAACCCACAATACGATATTCACGTTTTAAAAGACTCGTGAAATATCAGATGAATCCTGATTACGTCAATACTGTAATATTAATTATGTTGTTGGTTTTGTGATTCATTACTGATGTCAAATTATTTGCAGTAAAAAGTCATTCAAATTTTGCGACAATTATTTAAGTTACAAAAGAATATTAGAGTCAAATGGGATGGTTTAATTTTTGTTCAGAGTCTAACAATAGAGAGATTTTGAAGATTATGGGGCACAGAGGTTTGTCTTTCCTCGGAGTTTTTAAGAGACTAAAGGAAGCTTTAATGTTCTTGATATATTATGTGTCAGCAGCTTAGTCTTCCATAATTCTAGATGGCAGTTAAGACAAATATACTGAAGGCGAAACTTACGATCAGTGTGAATCAGGTGGCTTCCTCTACAAAGTTCTATTTTTTGTTGGGATCCGTATATATGTAGAACTTTGCAGACAGATAATAAGTTGCAGCCAAACTTTCGGCCGGGACTATCAAACAGTACACACTATCCGAAACATCAACACCCATTATCAGCCCATCAGTCACCCTTCTGTAGTTGCTTCTTTCAAATGACATGTGTCGAAAATATAATAATATGCTGTTGAATATCAAGGGGGGTCATCTCATGGGGGAATTTCGAAGATCTATTCGAGGCGATGTAGCGCAGAAGAAGCGCCATCTATATTTTTCGCGCTTCTCTCCAAACAATAAGGATATTCGTTACTTTTTATATTTACGTTTTAGACAGGGCGGGGATGTCATAAAAATTCGGGAGCTAGGTATGACCAAAATGATATAGAACTTGTGATGGCATATAAGATTAGGTGTGACAGTATAAATTCCATGAATTGCTGTTTTATTTTTTTGGCTGGCATCATAAAAATATTTTAATTATTTAAATAAAATTTTTAACCGAGAGAAGAAAGAGAAAAAAAGACAAGAAGGTAAAGTTTAATATTGTGTAACAAATTGTAGAATGTTTGATATATTTTTAGTTACAAAGATTGGGGGAGAGATGGGATTTTCATCATATGCATTTACAATACAAATTAAGTTTAGTTTAAAAGCAACGATTAGATCGTGCCTTCGCTTGTGATATAAAATATCTCTTTACTGAGTAATTGGTCAGAAGATGGTGTCTTGGGCTTGTTAAAGAACCGTTATTTGTTGTTGACAAAAATTCGTTAGTGACAATCCACGTGGAAAACGACACTGAAAAATATTTTGTCAACCAAAAGAAAGTTAAAAAATAAAAATAAAAATTTAGAATGGATTTCCTAATTAGGATATAACATTACATTTCGGTTAGTATCTGTATAAGTCTGTTATAATAGTTCAACTTACTGTTATATGGAGACCCTTTGAAGTATAGATAGATCTGTCAGAAAGATTGATTTATAAAGATTGAAAATTGGCAATGTATTTGAGAGTAACGCTGAAAATAGATCTGGAAGCTAAAATCATAAATCAGCCACCACCACCACCCAACGGCCCTTACAGTTAACTAATTTGTTTTTCTTCATAGTAGTGTACACAGTATCAACCCATACGTTTTTCTCCATAATAGAATAAATAAATAATATTATAACCAGTTTAAAATCAAAAATGCACTACTGCATAACTTTTCAAACGTATTTCCAGAACTACCCGATCGAAATATTTCTTCATTTATTCCCATTGCTATTGCTAATAATTATTTGTAATAACAAATTCTCTTGATGAACGTGTAATTATGAACAAAAAATTTTTTTTAAGTTAACAAGAGAAATATTTTTTTTTTTGGGTTTTAAAAAGAGAGTGGGAAAAGGCTCTAAAAAAAAATAATAAACCACGTGGGTATACATTATAATATGAGTGAGTGAGTACCCTAGACAATCTTTCCCTGTTCTCTCTCGTATCTTTATTGGTACTGTTGTGATTGTAAAAAAAATTTTATATAGAGAACTATAAACCAAATAGATCAAATTTCGATCAACAGCTTTTTCTTTTCTATTCTTTGATTTCTTTGAGTTTCTTCTTCTTTAAATTCACTTTAAATAGAAAGATAGAAACATTAACAGAGAGACTCAACTGATTCATATTTTTGTTACCCAATTACTTCCAGAAAAAAAAAAAAATAAGAAGCCCCCCCACCACCAATATATCCTACATATTCCATTTTCAGCTGCTGAACTGTAAAGTTTGAAAAATCCTTTTTAATCACCCTTTATTCCTGAGATACACGTATATCCATTCTTGAGACTAAATACTTTAGAAATGGAACTGACTAGTTGGGCTACTACATTCTCACCTAACCCTGATACTACAAACACTTCAAATACAACTCCGGGCAAATCACCTTATTATCCTGAAACTATACCGCATCTGACACCACAACAGCCACAACAACAGCAACAGCAACAGCTCCCTTCAAGCAACAATAGTAACAACAGTAACAGTATGAGGTTCGATCAACAACCTTCAAATGCATCAACTCCTCAACTACCAAATACCGGAAATACCCCTACGGCATTCACAGAGTCTGATCAAATGTTTTTGCACCAATTTGATTCAAACCTTTATGCTCAACAACACCAACACCAACACCATCAGCACCAGCAAGAACAACAACCATATCAAAGCCTCGAGCATCAACATCACCATTCTCATACTCATCACCTTCCTGAAAGTGCGGCTGGTGGCCCTCCACTGATCCCACCACCACCTCAAGATTATGGATTTGGACTTGAATCTATTAATTTTATCATTCCCGATGATTATAACTTTGATGAATCTACTTCGTCTGCATTCCCTCCTACTCAACAGCATCAGGAAACTCCAAGTCTATTAGCTGTAAATAAACAGCAGGGCCAACCAGGTCAACAACAACAACAACAACAACAACTTCCGGCAAAGACAACGGAACAACTTCACCACAGTCATTCAAGCCAGTTATTCTCACCTATATTGCCTGGTCAAAATGATAGGTCGTACAATAACCAACATTACTATCATAGACAAAATACCAAGATTTTCACAGGTAGTGCAGCAGGTTCTACAATTCGACCAGATGTTGTATTCACACCATTAGCTTCACCCACAGTGACACCACTACAAAAGGCAGCTGGAAGTAGTGCCAGCAGTAGTGGAGGATCGAACTACCAACCACCAACCCAAGTTGCTTTTGAACCTTTGACTTCCCCCGCTTTAACCGCACAACAATCAAGCACAACCAGTTCACATGATAGAAGAAGATCCGCTAGTTCAACATTCGGCCCTGTTCCTGGTGACGCCCTGGGATCATCTTCTGGTTCATCATACAAGCGCCGAACCCCACATGGTACACCCATCCTTGCGGCCAACAACAATAGTCTTAGTGCTGTTGCCACAGCGAAATATTCTCCATCAATAAAACCCCGAATGGAAAAACTTCCACTGTCATCATATATCGAAGAAGCTGGGGCTAGAAGTAAATCAACTACACCAATGTTACCACCCAGTGGCAAACCACCAGTTCTTAATGGATCAAACACATCAGCCATAACCTCGGCCACAACAACCGCTCCAAACCCATCAGCAACACCCTTGATGGGATTTACTATGGGAAGACTCGCCGAACAACAAGAGGAAGAAGACGATGATGATGAAGATAATCAAGATGCGATGTCAATGTCGCGATCATCGACTTCAAACACTTCGCTCAACCTTTCTCGAAAATCAAGCACTTCGGGAATAAAGAAGGAAAAACCAGCTACCAAGAAGGCATCACATAAATTGGCGGAACAAGGGAGAAGAAATAGAATGAATATGGCGGTGCATGAATTGGGAAGTTTGATTCCTCAGAAGTTTCATGATGAAGTTGCTATTCCTAGTAAAGCTACTACTGTTGAATTGGCTCTGAAATATATTCGGGCACTTTTGAATGAGATGGAAGGTATGAAGAGGGAATTGGGAAGGTAAAAGAGGAATGAATTGTTTTGTAAAAAAGAATGTTTACGATGGTGGTTAGTTGTAAAACATGTGTATCGGAAGTAAAATTTAGAAGTATGGAATTAATACCTTAATATAGCTAATTTCTGATAACAATAAAATGTTGTATAGAAATGTTTACATAGAAATAGATTCATATTATTTATTTGTTGTATCAGTAAATTCACTGACGTTGGATATAAAATTACCTTCCAATCTCTCTTTTAATTTGGAAGCAAGTTGTAATATTACACATTCTCTCGTTTTCCCACCCAATTGAACAATTGTCAAAGTACTTTATGAGAAAAGAATTTTGTGTGCGTATTTTTTTATAAAGCTTGTCCCAGATAATGTTTTCCAACTGTTGCCAAATATGTGTCTTGCCAACGGGTCAAACAGGGGGCTGCCAACTTGTCAAACTAAAATGTGCAAATGGGCAAATTTATGAATTTTCCCTATAACAAGCTTACAAGTCTAATGGCTGACTTATACTCAGATTTCTGAATATAATTTATTAAAGGAGTGATATATGTTTGTTTCAAAATTATTATGGTATATCCTTGTTTAACAAATGTACATCCAAAAACTGCGACAGCTTTGAAATTTATAAATTTTGACAAAATTATTGAGTGCCAATTTTTGGAATTCCCATCAGGTTGCAGTCATATTTACGACTTTCTAATCAACCATTTTAAAAATCACATGAATTGTTTTTAACCAATTTTCTGAATATACTTTATTAGAGGACCCCAATACAATTGCTAACAAATTATAATGGAATTTCGTTGATAAAAAGTCTACCTAGTGAATTTCGTTCCACAAAATCGCACAGTAATAAAAATTGATCCTCAGGTCCAATTTAATTAGAAATTACACATGGTTACTCTAACAAATCCTGCTCGAGTTAGATTAGATATTCTCTTCAAACCATCTAAACTATCATTTCTGATAAGTTATATAATTATGGTATGGACCTGATGTTACGTTTCTAAAACGATTTTTTCAACTAAGCGATGGTCCCCACAATCCGCACACAACTGAATTTGGGGCAAAAAATAAATCAGTTGCAACCATTTTTCCCTAGGAATATTTTATCAATCAAAGATCTCTTTTGCGTGAAGCGTTAAACTGGAGTGCAAACTATAGCTTGTTTCTTCTACCCTCCTCCAACTATAGTCCAATAAGCCGCAGTTATCTCTAAATAATTATCTACATATGGATCGCAATTTCGTAAATTTCCCAGTTCTAGATGAAATGATGATCACTCGAGGTGGTTGTAGTACGCAAAACAAAAAGCGGAATTGCATTTAGCAAAAAGAGATAGCGATAATACCCGAGCTACGATTGCCTTACTCCTACCTAGGGTCATTAAATATTACCAAAGAGAAATTCTTGTTTAAAACTATAAATTTTTATTGGAAACTTAAATAAGCATAATATATATAAAAGCATCCTTGTTCATCCTCCCATTTAATAGCATACCATTATAACCACCTGTGTCGCCAACCAATACATATTTGGATATCAGATATATATCAACATAGTCTTTCTCTTATCCCAAATTCCATGATGAATTTAAGGAATCAAAGCTTGGATAAACAGACCTTGAAGATCGAGAAGACACAATGGTTGGAAAAACAGACTATGAAGATCGATAAGCCTCAGGACTTGGATAAGCAGACAATGATGAAGAACCATAATCAACTTCCATATCCTCTAAATCTGCAAAATATAAATCCCAGGCCCTTTCGAACTTTTCCCAAAGATTGAGGGATTCTAAGTCGTCACAAATTTCGTCTGCCTTCAAAGTATTGGTAGTGATGGAGTGATGGGATGTATATGGAACTGGACTTGTAGCGGGTTTACTTTGGGAATTTTTAGTGTAAATATGTGGATAGCTAGAAGGGAATACACTAATTGGATCAATTCCAATGTCATTTCCATATAATCTTTGCTCATCCTTAATAGCATGTTGGAGAGAATCGGTAGGTCCACTAGTTATATCATCAAGCCCAACTTCAACCCCCAATATATCCCCACAACTTTCTTCTTGACTGGACAATTCAACAGTCTCCACCACACAACCTAGCACTTTTTTTCTTGCAATGGACTTCCCAAATTTCATGATTTTTTTAGCAAAGTTGATTTTCATCCTTGTGCAATTCATTTTAGTATTGTACCAGTTAATATGAATTTTAGTTCGGAATGATGTTTCGATGGTTTGTATACTATGAAAGTCAATTTCTTCTAGGTCTTCTTCATCATCCTCATCATCCTCATCATCCTCATCATCCCTGTAAAACATGATATTGTTATTAGAAGTAGCAGCGGTAGTAGTAGCTGCAGCAGCAGTAGAACCAGCAGCGGTAGAAGTACTAGCATCAGCAGCAGAAGTAGTATCAGTGTTGGTAGGAACAGTAGTAGCGGTAGTGGTAGGTGTCTGTAAATCAGTTATTGTTTCGGCGGTATTTGTTGCACTTTCTAAATCTTCATTCATAGCAATAGACACAAATTCATGTGCCTTGCTTGGTAATTCTTCTTCTTCTTGATAACTTTGTTTCAAGAAATCAATCATTTTTATTGGTGTGGGAGCTGTGGATTTGACCTTTTGATATTTGGCGATGAACCTGGCGGTTGACTGATTTTTCTGGAAGAGAATTATTACATCCAAAAGTTGCAACCGTTTTTTCCTAAGAATATTTTATTAATCAAAAATCACTTGCATGAAGCGCTAATAACAAAACTGGAATGCAAACTGTAGCATGTTTCTTATACCCTCCAAATATAGTCCAACAAGCTGATTATCTTGAAGACAGATGGGTAATGATGTATTGGCGACCCCTTCTTCTACAATAAAAACAAAGAATTACAATTTCTACAGTCTTAGTAAAAGGTCAAATTGGTGATTGTAAATGTGTATATTGTCATAGAATATTTTTAGAAATAAGTAAGGTATGTTGTGGAGAATATTCATTATGGTAAGTTTTGGTGATTATTCTTCCAGAACTGACTTGTCCCGGTAATTCTGGTTTGAAAACAAAGTATTAGTTGCCAAACTTAATGGTATCCTGATCAGGAAGGTATCCCAATGGCATAAAGGAGCTATTAGATACTTTATTAACTTAGAGCTTGAACGAAATTTGGCATAGTTCATTAAGACAAGTGTTTGGAAATTTATTAACGGCTGCAAAAAATATCCCAAAGTCACATGATGAGCCCATTGTAATCACGTGGGTATTAATTTTTCATTTTCTTGGATGTGTTGTCCTCTTCTTCGTCTTTTTTTTCTGTTGGTTCAATTTTACACGACCTCAATCAAAAATTCAGTCGAAAAATTTTGAACTAAACAAACCACACAATCACCAGAAATTGGTTACCCCAAACTTATTGTTTATCCATTTAACCTAACCCAACACTTCATAGATAAACTAAAATACAATTCAAACACATTTCCAATGGACTTTGAAGCAACTGAAGATATCAATGGAGTACGTTTTGCCTGGAATGCATTCCCTTCCACTAAAGTTGAAGCAAGTAAAATCGTTGTTCCAACTGGTGCACTTTATACTCCTTTAAAATTAAGAGATGATTTACCAATTGTAGCTTATGATCCTTTCTTTTGTGGAAGTCAAACATGTAAGGCAATTCTTAATCCATACTGCTCGGTTGATCCAACTGGTTACTGGCGTTGTCCAATTTGTTCTTATCGTAATCCATTACCTGCTCATTATCATGGAATATCTCCTGACAATTTACCAACTGAATTACAACCTGAAAGTTCTACTATTGAATATATCACGGCTAGACCAGTTCAAAACCCACCTATTTTCTTCTTTGTTATTGATTTATGTCAAGATGAAGATAATTTAAACGCATTGAAGGAAACTTTGATTGTGTCTTTGAATTTATTACCACCAAATGCATTAATTGGTTTAATCACTTTTGGTACTATGGTTCAAGTTCATGATTTGGCTTCTGAGAATATCGCAAGATCTTATATATTTAGAGGTGATAAAGAATATACCGATAAACAAATTAGTGAAATGTTAAATCGTCCAAGAGCAATGATGCCACAACAACAAAATTTACAACAACCACAACAGCCACAATTTGCCAATACTTTAGCTAGATTCTTCTTACCAGTTGAAGATGTTGAATGTCAATTGACTCAAACTTTAGAAAAATTAGGAAAGGATCCTTGGCCAGTTGCTAGTGGTGATAGAGCTTTAAGATCTACTGGTAGTGCTCTTAATGTTGCTGCTAGTTTACTTGGATCAACATTCCCAGGATTTGGTGCTAGAATTATGTTATTTTCTGCTGGTCCAGGTACTTTAAACCCAGGATTAATTGTTGGTCCACAATTAAAAGAACCAATTAGATCACATTCTGATATTGATAAAGATAATGCTAAACATTTCAAAAAGGCATCTAAATTCTATGATTCAATTGCCTTAAAAGCAGTTAAAAATTCCCATACTATTGATGTCTTTGCTGGTTGTTATGATCAAATTGGGATGTTAGAAATGAAGAATTTATGTAGTTCCACAGGTGGTACATTATTATTATCAGATGCTTTTACGACTTCGATTTTCAAACAATCATTCCTTAGATTATTTAACAAAGATAGTGATGGATATCTCTTGATGGGATTCAATGCGACTTTTGATATTAAGACATCACGAGAATTAAAAGTTAGTGGAATAATTGGTCATGCATCTTCTTTGAATGTTAAATCGGCAAATGTTTCCGAAAATGAATTAGGTATTGGTGGATCCTCACAATTTAAAATATGTGCACTTTCACCTCAACATACATATGCAGTATTTTTTGATGTTGTAAATGCAGTTCAATTACCTCAAAGTTCCCAAAGTTATATTCAATTCATTACTCATTATCAGCATGCTTCAGGTAGTTATCGTATTAGAGTCACCACAATTTCTAATTTCTTAACTGGAGATGAACAAACGTTAACCAATTCATTTGATCAAGAAGCTGCTGCAGTCTTAATGGCGCGTGTGACACTTTTCAAAGCTGAGCAAGATGATGGTGCGGATGTTTTGAGATGGATTGATAGAATGTTGATTAGATTATGTCAGAAATTCGCCGATTATAGAAAAGACCAGGATGATACATTTAGATTAGGACCACAATTCCAATTATATCCTCAATTTATCTATTATTTAAGAAGATCACAATTCTTACAAGTATTCAACAATTCTCCTGATGAAACTGCATTCTATAGACATGTTTTATTGACTGAAGATACTAATAATTCGTTGATTATGATTCAACCTACATTAACCTCCTTCAGTTTGGACGGAGAACCAGAACCAGTATTATTAGATTCTGTATCCATCAAGGAAGATCGAATCTTGTTATTAGATACATTTTTCCATATTTTGATCTATCATGGTAAAACCATCGCACAATGGAGAAAAGCAGGCTATCAAAACCAACCAGAATATGAAAACTTTAAAACCATGTTGGAAGAACCAAAACAAGAAGCAGCGGAATTATTGGTGGATAGATATCCATTACCTAGATTTATTGATACCGAAGAAGGTGGATCACAAGCTAGATTCTTGTATTCGAAATTGAATCCTTCTACTTCTTATAATAATCCTGAGTATGGTGGAGGTGCAAGTGGTGCGATTGTTTTGACTGATGATGTGTCGTTACAGGTATTCATGACTCATTTGCAGAAATTGGTCGTGAGTGGATCTACTTAGATTATTACTATTTTTACTTAGATGAAATAGAAAAGAAGTGGTTTATATTTGAATATATAATAATTTTCGATGTAGAGACAAAGTAGTGGAGAGTATTTAATATCAACTCTAAAATATACGTTCCTCCTTCTAAGTTTACTATTAAGTAAGCCTAGACTCTATGGATCCTTGTACAGATCTAGACTTTATGCCAAGACAAGGATACTGTTTCAGAGTCGTAAAATGCCGTTTAAGAGATCTTATTGTTTAGGAAGAATCTTCCAAGATCTTCCAAAGGACTCAGATATAATGGCTAGTATCAATATAGTCTACCCCACTCCTTCCAATTAAAGTTAAGATTTCCCGGGAAGCCATATACGAAGAATAGAAGGCATTACTCTTTACAAACTACATGTTACGTGACCTAGTTGGGGAATCGAAGATTAACTACATCTGACTCCGTTGAAAAATGTTCTTGGGGGACTTTTCAGATCGGGACTTCCGAGTTAGGTAAGTCCCGCAACAAAAGAACAATGGGGTCCTTAATCGCTGCCAGTGACCCTTACTCCACAATGAGTCACATTAGGACCATATAAACTCCACAGTTCCTCCCTCCTTTTAATTCATTCAAGAAAGCAGTATATACTCCTCCAACTATCAAATATGACTGGACCTGTTATTCCATTTGGTAAAGAATTTCGTGAGAAATATTTCACATTACTTGATCCAAAAGTCTACCCCGTAAATCATGGATCTTTTGGCTTAGTACCTACTCCAGTATATGAAAAATACATAGGAGCAATTGCTGGACATTATACTTATCCTGATAAATTCTATCTTCATCAACGTGAAACATATATAAAACCGTTGAAGGAATTTAGTAGAATTGTGAACTGTGATTATAGAAATCTTGCCTTTGTTGATAATGTCACCACTGGGATTAATACTGTGTTAAGAAGTTATCCATTTAAAAAGGGGGATAAGACTGTTATTCAAAGTACTGTATATGGTGCTTGTGGGAATACTGTCAAATTCTTGCAGGATAGATATGGAATTGAATGTATTGAAGTTCCATTGAATTATCCTATTTCTGATAAAGAGATCTTAGATAAATTTTAAGAGATATTTAAGAAAGAATCACCTAAGTTATGTATGTTCGATACAATTTCTTCAATGCCAGGAGTCATTTTTCCATTTAAACAATTGACTGAATTATGTAAAAGATATGATGTACTTTCATTAATTGATGGAGCTCATGGAGTTGGATGTATTCCTCAAGATTTATCAGAAATTGATCCTGATTTTTATGTTAGTAATTTACATAAATGGTATTTTGTTCCATTTGGATGTGCTGTATTATACGTCGCTACAAAACATCATAATAATATTCATACTTTCCCAATTAGTCATTCTTACGTTTCTGATGAAACTGTGCTCGAAGAAGAAGATCAACTCAATCATTTAGTTGATAGATTTTTCTTTAATGGAACTAAGAATGTTGCTTCAATTGCTGTGATTCCTGATGCAATTAGATTTAGAGAGAATGAATGCGGTGGAGAACAAGCAATTTTTGATTATTGTCATGGGTTGACAAAACAAGTCGCAACTACGATTTCATCTAAATGGGGTACTTCATATTTAGAACAAGAAGATGGTCCAACATTAATTAGTACTATGGTAACTATTGAAGTGCCAACAAAAGACATTGGTCTTGATGTGGACAGCTTGAAGAAGAATTGGAATAGATTTATTGAAGTAGTTTATACAAAGATGTCAGATGAATATAAAGCATATACACCATGTGTTATTCACAATGATAAATTATATGCTCGTTATTCATGTCAAATTTATAATGAACTTAATGATTATGAAGTTGCTGCTGATTATTTAATCAAAGCTTTAAAAGAATTTGTTGAATTAGAATTACAATTTAAAAACTTAAAGATTTAAAAATATTCTTCTTTATTTACAATTTATATAATTCATTAGACCCTTTCCAAAACATCTAAGCAAGCGTTTTTTGCTCAATAAATAGGGCCCTCTTCTTTTGGAGCATTACACCAGCAACCCCCTCATACATACACACATACTTTGAATACAGCTTTTGAGTAATACTTATAACTTCAGAGAGAATAGAATCGTTCAAACTACTGGGAACAGGCTATTATTTATTTAAATGTTAGACTTGGACAAAGGAGGGGCTAAATAGTGATAACCAAAAAGTAGATCTTAGAATCTATAAATTGACAATTTCTCTCCCAACTTTCACACGGATGAATAAATACGAAAACCGTCATAGAGTATAATTCCATGAGAGTAGTTTACGGTTCTTTAACGTAACTTCGGATGATCTATTTGAATCATATATTGGTCATTAGAGACTACTAGTAAATAACCAATCAAGATAGCCATATGTTACTTGTTAGAGACTACTACTGGTAAATATCCAATCAAGATCCCCCGTAATGGATTTATATCGTAGAGTACAAGAAATAAGTTACATTTTGCGTTCCATTTCATATGTAAGTAAAGTCTGGTTGGTAAAATATTCTTAGCGGGAAAAAATGGTTGCAAATTTTGGCAGTATAAATTCTCCAATTGCGAAAAAACACAGAACTTAAAATTTAATTGTACTCTTTTCTTCTTCACTTTATACACAAAAATTACTCCAAACATTATTCCAAACATTATTCCAAAAATATCAATCAATATGTTCTCCAGAATCTCAGACAGATTCCACAAATCCAACAATCAAAAAGCCAAATTGTTGAACTTTACAGAGTTCTATGAACTCGATAATCCAATAAAAAAACAGTATTTCCGTGGATTATTCCACAAACACCAAGCTGGAGCCAGAAAAATCTCCCAAGAGTTTCACCAACAACTAACCTCAGATACATCAAGTTCAATTTATTCTACGGAACCATCAAGTTCAATTTATTCCGATGTTGCTCCTGCTAATTCCAACAACATTTCCCCATATACTCAAACTGACTCATATTCTATTGGAAACAATAGAAAATCAAAATTGGCCGCCTTCAAAAATAAGTTCATCAAGTCATCCAGATATGATAGTGATACCAACCAACCAGAGCGTTCGTTCAAAGTGTTGAGAGTTAGGAAACATGTGTTCGAGCCAAGCAATGGCATGGATTACTATATTGATTTATATGCACCTGGTGCAACTGCTCCTATCCGTGCTACTAGTAACAATAGAAAACTGTTTTACATGCTTAACAACGACAAAGAAGAAGAGGAACTTATGTCTCAAACAAGAGAAAAAATCACGTCATTCAGAGACTATATGGACAACAAAGCCAAGAAACCTATCAGAGTGGTAAGAGTCAAACGTTCTAATCCTGCTGCTACTACCACTCCTGTTACTGCTACTAATAAAATACACTTATATTCCGTGGAAGATAGGTTCGGTAATTCATCCAGATATCTTACTGAAATCGACATAACCCAGGGGCCTATCGAAGTGGTGGGAATCAAGAGTCAAAATCAAAATCAATTCAAACCTCAGTTTAAGATCTCGAAAGGTGAAGATCGTTTGGCCGACATTGAACGTTGCTGGAAACAAATTAACGTCATGATGGAAGATGAAGATCCATTTGATCAAACAATATATGGACCTGGCCATGCGTCGCTCCACTCAATGCATTGCCATCGAGATATGCCTAGATGTCAACTTCCGAACTGCATCCGAACCCACAGATAGTTCCGTTCCATTTTCGTAATAATGTTTCTCACCACTATAAATACTCCGAACCAAGAAGATAATTGTGCTAGGTGGTATCCATCATAGATTTTCATTTGGAAATTTTTACATAGATTAGAGAATTCATATTACACTGATTTAGAGGATCAGGAAGTCAAATATGAGTCTCTGCATTCTTTGTGTTCAAGCAATGGGTATTGACATCCGAAGAAAGACTATATTGATTCTTCGGATATGGTTATTTATTGGCGAAACGGATGGTTACAATGGGATGGAACTTAAGTAGGAGGATGCATTAGGTTGCTATCTATTTATTCACTTATAGATTTTTATAAATTTTATAATTTTAAAGAATAACTTCTCTTTAGTAAAATTTCATTACTCTGGCTAGGAAATTAAATTGGCTTTTTTTCGTATTTATGGATTCCAATGGCTTAAATATAATTGGGTGGCATATCGAGATAAGGGATACCCTTCGGTTATTGATCCATATCTCATTTGAAACACGTTAAACGGTTGTTTTTAAAGAACCCGGTGTTGTATTTTATTAATTATCTTTCTTTTCATGCGAACTTGAAGCTTATCTTTTAAGATTCCCATTGTCTTAATTGGCTTTTTTTCGTATTTGATGAATTCCAATGGCTTAAATATAGTTGGGTGGCATATAGAGATAAGGGATACCCTTCGTTGTTGGTCCATATCTCATTTGAAACACGATAAACGGTTGTTTTTAAAGAACCCGGTGCCGTATTTTATCAATTATCTTTCTTTTCATGTGAACTTGAAGCTTATCTTTAAAATTCCCATTGTCTTTCCTGCATATGGCTTATCAGCTTTTTTTTTTCTAATTACCCTAGCTAGGCTTAACACGGATTTATTCACTACGAAAATGAACAAAGAAGGTTATATACACAACTCGAATAAGCCTGTGAGGAAATTTCATAGGGAGGAAATCCTGAACAGGATAAAACCCCCAGTAGATATTAGGGGTGAGGGAAAAACCCTCAGCAAATGAATTATATATTGGGGTGAGGGCAAAATCCTCAGGCGATAACTTGTATTAAGAAATCGTTAGCAGCGCCTAATTAATGACACCAACCGTAGCAATTTTAGTACCTGCCGACCTAACTCGACCTACCAGCAGCACGGGAAAATAATCATGAGAAAAAAAAATAATAACCTTTCTTTTTTAAAACAATATTTTGCATCTTTAAAGCCTTTTAATTGGATCAGATATTCTTTAGGTTTTAAGAAACAAAGATCTGTGCTTTTGATAAGTAAGCGAAATTAGATTTTATTATATCATCAATGATAAACAATTCTTCTCTTATCTAAAATGGGGAGAAGTGGCTTTCTTCAAATATAAAATGTCCTTAGTTTCCTTCAAATAAAAATCTTTCATTCTGAATTTTCAAATTCTCTACACAATCTCAACAACCAGAATATAATCAAAAATGTCTGATAGCGGACTTACAGGAACAGGAACAGGTGGTGATGTGTTCAAAGTCAATTTAAACGAACAATTTCAAGGAGCAGATATGGCATGGGTAGGTATTTCCTCAGCCTTAGTTTGGCTCATGATACCGGGAGTCGGATTACTTTATTCCGGTATTGCCCGTAAGAAACATGCTTTGTCTTTACTATGGGCCTCTTTAATGGCAGCATGTGTAACTGGAGTCCAATGGTTCTTTTGGGGTTATTCTTTATCATTTTGTCATGATGGTTCTAGTTTTATCGGTACATTACAAAATATTGGTCTTAAAGATGTATTAGGTGCACCAAGTGTGGTTTCTACTATTCCAGATATTTTATTATGTCTCTATCAAGGAATGTTTGCTGGCGTGACTGGTGTTTTGATGGTTGGTGCCGGCTGTGAAAGAGCTCGTTTATTCCCAATGATGATTTTCTTATTCATTTGGTTAACTGTTGTTTATTGTCCAATTGCTTATTGGGCTTGGAATCCTAAAGGTTGGTTAGCAACTTTAGGTTCTCTTGATTATGCTGGTGGTGGACCAGTTCATGAAAATTCCGGTTTTGCTGCTTTAGCTTATTCATTATGGTTAGGTAAAAGACATGATCCATTAACTAAAAGTAAAGTTCCAAAATATAAACCTCATTCAGTTACTTCAATTGTAATGGGTACTGTATTCCTTTGGTTTGGTTGGTTCGGATTCAATGGTGGTTCTACTGGTGATGCATCTATCCGTGCTTGGTATGCTTGTGTCAACACCAATCTCGCTGCTGCAACTGGTGGCTTAACTTGGATGTTTATTGACTATTTCAGAACAGGTGGGAAATGGTCAATGGTTGGAGGCTGTTGTGGTGCCTTAAGTGGTCTTGTTGCAATTACTCCAGGTGCTGGTTACACTCATGTTGCTTTCAGTTTAGTATATGGTGTTGTAGGTGCCACTGTTTGTAACTTCGCGGTTGACTTGAAAGATATCATTGGAATTGATGATGGTATGGATGTTTTTGCTCTTCATGGTGTTGGTGGATTTGCTGGTAATTTATTAACTGGTATTTTTGCTGCTGATTATATTGCCATGATTGATGGAGTTAAAATTGATGGTGGTTGGATTAATCACCATTGGGTTCAATTAGGTTATCAATTAACTTCTTCGGTTTCAATTGGGGCATATTCATTTGTGGTTACATCTATATTATTATTGGTAATGGATAAGATCCCACAATTAAGAATCAGATTACATGAAGATGAAGAACTTTTGGGTACTGATTTAGCAGAAATTGGTGAATTAGTATATGAAGATGGGGATGATGTTTCTTCAGATCATCGTGCTTTTGTATTGGAACCAATTAGATCCACTAAACCAGTTGGTAGTAATCAAAACAAGGAACAGAGTATGCCAGCAATTGATGGAGTTTCAGTTCCTGATCATGGATCAGATGTTTCAAATGATAATATTTCTAAAAATTAGATTTATTTGTTTGTAAGTAAAATTTGTCTTTTGTTAATAGCTTTCGTTTAATAATAATAATAATTATGTTTTCGCTAATCATCTAATCATCATATGTATTCTCTATAAAGAAAGTGTAACTGCAAATTGGTTGGTTAATGGGTCGCACGAAGGTTATAAATTAGTAAGGAAATAATTATCTATAAATGACACATACCCTTCCCCCCCCAACGTCTAATCTAGCCGATTTTATGCAGAAACTGGGAAGCAGTAGACCACCTGCTAGTACTCAAAAACTTGAAAATGTGTAATTTGCAGCCAAATTATGATCATCATTTACTGAGACTCCCTCTTTGAAATTCTCTTAGATTCTTTTTTTCAAAGGGTATTAACACACACNAGACTCCCTCTTTGAAATTCTCTTAGATTCTTTTTTTCAAAGGGTATTAACACACGAGACCAGAAACACGACAAATAAGTTGAGATGTGTGATTAATATAATTTACTTGTATAATCGATATTATAAAATCTTGTTCACGTATTATATTAAGACGCACCCCCCCATGTGTGACGAGTTTCGAGATATCCTATCCTAACCGGTCCCAAAAAATGAAATCCATTGTTCTGGATATCATTTTTTTTGGCCCAATGGTCCTTCTCTTTCATCGATTCGATTCATCAAAAGTTTTTCGAAGAGCATAAAAATTGAATGGTCCTACTGTTTGAGTAAACTTAGGTTTGTATATAATTTTACTTCATAGATATTAACTAATAATTAAAATAAACACAACTATTTACACATCCTTGTTTTTTCTTTTAATTAATTACAACATAAAGTTTTTTATAAAAATGACAATATTAAAAAATGCTATACAAAACGTATTTAAAACCCTAAGCAGTTGGCATAGGTTCATTTAATATATCCTTTATTTGATCACTACTCTTTGATTTTATAACGGTATTACTTATAGTCTTTTCTTTATTAATTGGTTCACCCTTGACGATTTTTTCCATTTCATCTCTTGTTAAAGTTTCATATTCCAATAAACCTTCTGCCAATCTCTTCAATTCCAATCGTTTATCATACAATAATTTCCTAGCTCTTTCTTCACTTTCAACCAAATAATCACGAACTTCATTATCTGCCAAATTTCTAATTTGTGGAGACCAAGATTCCCAATCATCACTCAATCTAACTGGACCAATCTTATCACTCATACCATATGAAGTCACCATTGCTCTTGCAACACTAGTAGCATTGGCTAAATCAGAAGCGCAACCAGAAGTAACATTTTCTTTCCCATTAATCATTTCTTCTGCAACTTTTCCTCCCATACATACATCCAATCTGGCAAAGCATTCACTTTTACTCATATCTACTTTATCCATTTCTGGTAATTGGAAAGTCACACCAAGAGCACGACCTCTAGGTAAGATTGTAGCTTTATATAATGGAGTTGCACCTCTGGAAAACATGGCCATAATGGCATGACCGGCTTCATGATAGGCAGTATTAGTTCTTGATTCTTCAGTGATGACCATCTTTTTCTTGGCGGCACCCATAAGGATCTTATCTTTAGCCCATTCGAAATGATTCATATCTACAGCAGGGGCAGAAAGTTGTGAAGCATGAACGGCGGCTTGATTGACTAAATTCATTAATTCCGCTCCTGATAATCCTGGAGTCCCACGAGCAATGATTGAAGGATCTACATCATCCGCAGTTTCGACATTTTTCATATGATGTTTCAAGATATCTACACGACCTCTAACATCAGGTAAATCAACTATAACTTCTTTATCAAATCTTCCTGGTCTTGTTAATGCTTTATCCAAGGATTCTGGGAAATTGGTAGCACCAATGATTATAATCCCCTCGGTTTGACTGAAACCATCTAATTCAACTAATAATTGATTTAATGTTTGTTTAGCATATGCTTGATCTTTTGGATTACGTTTTCCTCCAATTGCATCCAATTCATCAATAAAAATGATTGCTGGAGATTTTTCACGAGCTTGACTAAATAATTCTCTAATTCTTTTGGCACCTACACCAACATATAATTCATCAAATTCAGAACCAGACATAAAAAAGAATGGAACACCTGCTTCACCAGCAGTGGCTCTTGCTAATAAAGTCTTACCAGTACCTGGAGGACCAGTCAACAAGACACCTTTTGGTAATTTCCCACCCAATCCAGTAAATTTTGAAGGATCTTTCAAGAATTCCACAATTTCTTCCAATTCTGCCCTGGCTTCATCACATCCTTGAACATCGGTGAATCTGACAGTAGATTGAGATACATCAATTGATTTATCTTGAACTTCGGTATTTTTGAAAATAGTTCCATTCTCAACAAGATAATTAAATGCATTAGTTGCTCCATACGTAATTAAAGCTAATGGGATTAACCATTTAAGCCAACGTGATATTATAGTTAATGGAGATTCACTTACAATGACATGTACTGGTTCATATCTAGATCCGAACCCATGAGGAAATGATTGTCCTGCCCCCCCAGCAACTCCAGCACCAACAATACCAGGATTACCGGAATAGGCACCTGAGCCTTGCGGGTATTGTTGTTGATGTTGAGAAAGCTGATGGGCAACTTGTTCTGCTTTTCCTTTTTTACCAATTTTATTTAATGCTGAGATGTATAAATTTGTACATTCTGGATCGGCAGCTATACCTGGAGATTCATATCTTTCAACAACAACATGTGGATAATTATTTGCTAATAAAGAACGATAAAATTCTGCTTGAGCAGATGGATTATTCATATCATTATTGGCTATTTGTTCTTGAGATTGAAGTAACGTAAGCGTAGATGAACTTGATGCGAATCTTTTGGCTTGTATGTTGGTCGATCTATAAAGTGGTTGGTTGTTGAACCGATGGCGATAAATACCGCCATTGATAAGTTGGGGTTGTCTTGAAATTAATGTTGAAAGACAACGTAAAGTTTGAGTAAAAGAAGGATTCCTCGTGACTCCTAACCCACTACTACTACTCTTACTTGCAGTAGTGGATATTACTCTTGAGATTGTATGCATTTAGTTTGGTGTAAGTTGGGTGATCGTATGACAAAGTTTAATTGGTTGTAAAAAATTGACTAATTTGTAGCTCCTCCGTTTTAAAATTGAAGAAGGGAAAAGAAATTGAAAGAAGTTTTACCAAGGAAAAAGTAGTGTATTAACCAATAATATCCATCAATACTTCAATAGTTAACTCATAAGTATTTTAGTATTTGCTGCATTTATCCGATAAGACAATTTAACACATTTCAAGACTAAAAAAACTCAACACTCCGAGATGACATTGAAAGAGTCGAGTGTTAAATAGGCTCGTCAACCAATTCAGATCACTTTGGGGTTTGTATCAAGCTTTCACTAGTGAGGACAATTCCCCGGAGATTCGTAGTGAAGATCGCTTGATGTAGTTGTAATGCTCTCATGAAGGGGAGTATACATTAAACCACTTTCCATTTCAAGACAGCATGGTTTCCATTTAGGGGTTTATCGTGTTTTCATGAAACTATACAACACTTTATTACTGTGGTTAGCATTCAAACCCCGATATTCGCAACCGATACATGAAATCTGATATAATAGAAAACTAATATGCAGTACCAAGTAAATGTCGCAAAACAAACGACACATCAAACTTCTTACGACATTCACTCTCAAATTGTTTTTTTTGTTTGTTTTGATTTTTCTCATTTTAAGAAGAAATTCCCTTCATTTTACTTTGCAACAGGGCAATATCCATACTCAGAAGAAGAGTATACAAGCAAAAGGAAGCAATGTCACTGATATTACCGAAGAAACGATCTAAGAATGGAGCAGCAGACAGAAGATATGGAAGTGTCAACAACAATACTGTGTCAACGACCATCACCTCCTCACCTACAGGAATGACAATAGCAGGATCCAATAGAGTGATCTCACAGAATAGAATGATATCTCTGTCAAGACATATAAGTCGCTCATTAGCACATGATGTAGATGATGACCATATAGATACTTCATTTGATGAAGGTGGTGGTATTAGATTCAATGAAAATAAACATACAATTTTATCAAATTTTGAAGAATGGATTAAAATGTCAACAGATAACAAAATTACTCTGAAAAATTCATGGCAATTTGCTTTAATTGATTATTTCCATGATTTGAATGTTATTAAAGATGGTGATAATATTAATTTTCAACGTGCTTCTGCTACTTTAGATGGTTGTGTAAAGATTTATCTGTCAAGAGTTGAATCTGCTGCTTCTGAAACTGGGAAATTATTAAGTGGATTATCAACGAAAAAGAATGAAATGGAAAATGAACAAAATGAAGATGATGACGAAGATGAGGATGGTGAAGATGATGAAGATGAAGAAGGAGTCGAAGGAGGGGCACAAAAGACACAAGGTGAAAGTAATGAAGACAAAGAAGTCGATGGCGATGAAAGGAAAAAGAGAAAGACTAATAAAAGTGTTGATTCTACTTTAGTTGAATTTAAAAATATCAGAATTAAGAAATTGGAACAAGAACTTGCAATTGATCCATTATTTAAAAAGGCATTAGCTGAATTTGATGAAGGTGGTGCAAAATGTTTATTATTAAATACATTAAATATTGATTCGAATGGACGTGTCGTATTTGATGCCACTACAAATCCACATAAGGACGAAGCAGATGAAGAGGAAGAAGACCGAATTGACCAACAACACCCCATTTCCAATCCAGATATTAATATAGATTCATTGAAACATTTCATTTTTAAGAATGAACAAGACAGCTTGGATCAAATAACAATATGTCCTTCTCTTGATGAATTCCATTCAGCAATAGATGATGTCGGTAATGCAAAGAGTATCTTAAACGACTTCAACACCAAAATGAACGACACTACAAATCAAGAAATACTAGGACCCTCCAATGTTCCTTCCTCAGATGAATTTGAAAACGATAACGACATGGGAAGTCAACAATATGGTGACGATTTTTATGATGATATTAATGATAATGATGATTCTCATAGTGTAAAGGATGACGGAGAATCCGTACTCCATAAACTCCTCCAAGGAGAAGAAGACTCGCAAGAGGTTGAAATCGAAAAGTATAAAGTTATGGATGAAGATTTAATGGCATATTTCGATGAAAGAATGAAATCAAACTGGAGAGGTCCTGAGCATTGGAAGGTTGCAGCATTCAAAAAATCCAGAAATCTTGATCAGCAAGAAGAAACCAACTCCAAACCCCAAGAAACTGGTGAATCTACAGCCTCAAACAGAAAGAAGAAAGCGCAAATATTGGTGGATTTCTTTAATGAAGAAGAAGAACCAGATGAAGATGTTCTCTTCGCCATACCGAAAACCGCAGCCTCATTACATAAAAAACCTCAATCAAATCGATCTAATATCTTACCCGATGATATCAAATATTCTTCAGCAAGATTAATAACCCTATTTACAAAACCACAAATTCCAATCATGAAATATATTCAAAAGAAAAAACAAAAACCTGATCTCACCACCAATCAAATCATCACCGATGAGAATTATTTCGCCCAACAATATCAAATCCAGGATGAAGAACAAGAAGCCGATGAACGAGAACGTGAACGATTGGCTCATTCATTCCATCAGGCTGAGAATGAAGATTATAATAATGATTTTGGTGGGATTGATTTCAACGATGCATTTGGATCTACATCGGGTGAAGTACTTGCTGATATTGGACAAGATATGGATATGGAAGAAGGTGGTGGCGACGGCGATGATGGTGGTGACGGTGCTGGTGGAGATGAAGAACCGGCGGTTTCTACACAGGTTGAAACTGCTGAACCCGAGAGTATTATGGGAAGAAGACGACCTGAATATGTCAATTTTTCGAGGGTTGCCAAAAGAGTTGATGTTAAATTACTTAAAGATAATCTCTGGAATGCAATCGTAAAATCGAAACCAAAACCAGCTGTTATTGAAGAGGTTGATAATAAGACCAATGATGAACAAAGTGAAGAACCTGAGATGAAAGAAGAAAAAATAATTCAATTTGGAGATATAATACAAAGCATTAATCGAGTATACAAACCAGAACAAGCTAAGGATATTTCCACGAGTTATTGTTTTATTTGTTTGCTTCATTTGGCAAATGAACATGGATTAAAGATTATTGATAATGAAACTCATAATGATTTGAAAATTAAGGGATTTTAATTTTGTATGTTAGTTAGAGATATAATCATGTAGATATTTATATAAACGTTTCATTTGAGGGTGATGGGTAAGGATAAACGTGGCGCTAAACCTATTCTCTAGGCTAGGATTGTATCGATTAGCTTATCTTGATAATATCAGTTTTTATAGCTGTTGCCAAACTACAATGCTACCATATGCACAACTGGTAGCACCAACAAAACTGGGAATGAAATCTCGGTAGGTTTACCAATTGGGAAGTGGGACTGATTTCTTACTTGTGACTTTGTACTACGAGTAGTCATGCAACAAACACCTCTTTTGATTCAGGATCGTCAGACACTTTTCGTTTGACTATGCATGGAAGCAGGAGGTTGAGAAAAAGTGTCTGCATATTTGATTGTGTCTGTCTGAATTTGCTGCAAAAACATCAAATGTCGCATTTGAATGGTCCCCCAAATCGTCCTCCACCAATGGTCCTCCAAAATCATCATGAATAGGTGAATAAGAAGCGGATTTATGCACAGAGTATGCACAGCATTTTGGGGGAGACGAATTGATAAAGAAGAGGATCGAGGATATGAATGGTCCCCCACGTCTCCCCCACTGATATTCCCCCAAAATTCATTACTGTGGAGGATCAATAAAAAGCGGATTTATGCATAGAAGTATGCAAGGACTTTTGATGGACAAATATACACAAAACCGTTTATACAAACAAGAATTGATGGTAAACTTTTATTACTTATTATACAAACCTATAATCTACCTCTTTTTAAATTTCTTTCTTGAACCACCAATCTTATTTATCTTATCAATTTCTCGTTGAGAAATAATCAAACCATGTTTTGTAGATCTTCCAATTCCATTAATCTTTAAACCACGATCTCTCATTCGTTTATTATTTCCTTTGGTATTCCCCATTCCCAATCTATCACTGGCCGAAGTTGATCCTCTACCAGAATCCAAATCTCTCATTTCTCCCTTCTTAACCTTGGATAACACAATGCCTGCATCTCTAGCCTCTTGTTCATATTTGGCAATCTTATGTTGTCTAACCTTAATCATTCCTTTCCGCATGGCCATTGGCATACTTTCCAATTTCTTCTTGGAAGTAGTTACACCACTCGATAATTCACGAATACGGGAATCCAATGCACGTTTCCTGGCTTTCCCAGTAGGATCTTCATAATCTATTGTTTGTAATGTCAAATCCGCTCCTGAATATTGGAGAGAATTGGCTAATATATGAGACTCTTTAAGCAATCGTTGTAATTTCAAATCATTTTCAAGATTTTCTTCATCTTCTTTTGCTGCTTTGAGTTGTTGCTTCTTGGTGAGTTTGAGAGCTTCAGCTTCACGTTTTTCAATTTCTGTCAAGGTGGGAGCTCGACCTGACTTGAGGAGTTTCTTTTCTCGTTTGGATAATACTGGTGGTGGGGCGGAGTCATCTGTACCATTTAGACGGATAATTTTTGGTTTAACTTCTTCTTCTTCGGACTCGCTGGAATAATCATCCGAGGATGGACCTATATTACCAACGTCGGAATCAGAATCAAATCCTCCAAAGTCATCTTCATCATCTTCACTGGAATCATCATGCGATGGGGAATCTGAGTTTGATTCAGGGGAGTCTGATTGTTGTTTTGATTTATCTTCAAATCCCAATTCTTCTATGGACCCAAACTGAGCTTCAAAATTCCTTCTCTGAATCTCTAATGCTTTTCTGTATTCTTCCTCTACACTCATGTCTGGTTTGTCTATAAAATGCTCTTGGACTTCTTCCTATCAACCTCATTGACAAATCCTAAAAAATATTTTTTTTTTTCAGAATGCCAATGAGATTGAGATTTGATTGACTGCATACAAAATTATCGCCATGTCCAACCAATTGCTTGTTATCTCTTTACAGTTTATTATCCTCCGCCCCATCCAAATAATGACGAAATTCAGAGGATGTATAGACATCCATTCAGGTCAAGTGAAACAAATAGTAGGAGGAACACTCACTCAAGACGACGCAACCCCCACCACAACCACCATAGAAAATTTTGTCTCTAACAAACCATCATCATATTTCGCCAATTTATATAAATCAAACAATATTGTCGGATGTCATGTGATCAAACTTGGATCTAATATTGAGAATGATAATGCGGCGAAATTGGCTTGTAAGACCTGGTTTGAGGGATTACAAATTGGTGGAGGGATTTCTGATGTGAATGCTTTGGAATGGATTGATTGTGGTGCTTCACATGTGATTGTTACTAGTTGGTTATTTACCAAGAATTCTGAGGGAGTGATGGAGTTTGATTGGGAGAAATTGAAGAAGATATCGAAGTTGGTTGGTAGAGAAAAATTAATTGTTGATTTAAGTTGTAGGACTGTGATTGGAGACGACGGCAGTAGGAAATGGATAGTGGCAATGAATAAATGGCAGACATTGACAGCTAATGAATTATCTGGGTGTTTTTTAAAAAGAGTTGGCGAATATTGTGACGAATTTTTGATTCATGCGGCTGATGTTGAAGGGTTATGTAATGGGATTGATGAGGATTTAGTTAGAAGTTTAGGAGAATGGTGTCCTCAAGGATTTGAAGAAAAGATTGTCTATGCTGGAGGAGCAAAACTGATTGATGATTTAGATATTGTTAAGAGATTAAGTAATGGAAAAGTTGATTTAACTTATGGAAGTTCATTAGATATCTTTGGAGGTAAATTAGTTAAGTTTGATGAGTTAGTTCAATGGAATAGAGATCACTAGTTGAAGTAATAATACAATGCATGTAGACTATATAGAGAAATGAAAGAGATACTGTATATATATAAACTAAGCATTCCATGAAGAAGCTCCACCAAATCTACTTTCACCATATGGAGTTCTTCCCATTGGAGAATCATTCCCATCAGCAGCGCCATATTCTGTTCTACCATAAGTAGTAAACCCCCCAGTATTAGCATTACTAGCTTCCACTGATTCCTTATTCAATTCAATAACAATATCAGCAATTTTTCTTTGTAAAGTATCAATTGATCTTATAACCACTTCATTAGGAGGTAAATTCCCAACCGTTTCAACATCAATATAAAAATTAGTTGGTTTTGCTTTATAATCAAATGGAGCCTCAGGGTCAGGTACTTCTTCCCATTCACAATTAGCCGATCGTGGCCATTCTTGTTCAGCATCATCTTCATACCAATAATCAGTATGTTTTAATTTATTCCAAGGATCATATTCAAACCCAACAGCAGCACAGGGAGACCATTTTGCATGTTCTTTGGCTATACCCTTTTTAGCAATACATGTAAGTCTTAATTCTTGATGTTTTCTTAATTTACAAATAAGTGGTCCACGTCCATTATGATCTCTAATCACAGGATCACCTAATCGAGATCCATTATGGAATTTGGCTAAATCAGAAGCATATACATTCATGGTAGAATCAGTATCACATTTTGCCGTTAATTCTAATCGAACTGAACATTTGGCACAATAATTATCACACGTACAATCTCTTGAGTAAGTCAAGTTTTCAATACCTTCACTAACTAAAGGTATTAAGCCCAATCTATGGGATATGAATTCATCGGCCAATACTGAAGTATTGACATCTATTTCTACCAAATCTATTGCCAAAGTTGGCACTTCTGCTAACATTGTTCTTCGAATTGAATTGGCCATGGCTAAATCAACATCTTTTAAAATGAAATTCACGTGATCTCTTTCTGCTTCTCTGATAGTTACAGATGGTCCATGTTCATTTTTATCTATGTCCATTGTTGTCTATGTTACTGCGTATATATATAAATGTCTGGATGTATTGGACACTTTGTATGATGATGATGGAATATTATTATTGTCTGTCTGTCAGGAAGTGTTTTTTGATGATGAAAAAAAATAGTAAAATGGTTTACAGATTACGACAACGAAAACTGTAAAACTATCGTATACAGTTTTTCTGGACTGATTTACATGTTAACGGGACTTGCCGCCACCTTCATTTTGTTCATCATCTTCATCTATAGGGTTACACTGCAATAGAGTTATAGCAGCAATAGATAAACAAACTATAGGCAATAGGAATGGCATCATTTACAGTACCTGATTTACGATTTGAGCAATCGTTTATGAAACAATTGAATACATATGCCGGAGCCCCTACTAAAAAGAAGCAACACCATCATCATCATGATCACAAACTTGATGATATAGCCAAATTAACTGATGAAGAATTAAAACAAATGAGTCAACAAATAGACGAAGAAGAACAACAGGAACTAGAGCAACAACCATTACCAGTGATAACCCCATCGATTGTCATATATGCCATCATTAAAGATCAAATATTGATGCCATTATTACAAGGATTTGCTTGGACTGGATTCTTGATGTTATTGAAACCATTCTTAAGACTAGTGATTAGAAATGGTCAACATACTGGCCATTGGTTGGCTAATCTAATAGGTATTAATCGATTACAAAGGTCAAGTATTGGTTATAGTTATTATGATAATAATAGTCGTATGGCTAATCCTCCTTGGAATTGAGAAAGGCTAGTTGTGTAAATAGATATGTCCCATATATATATAATGCCCCCGTAATAAATATACAACGAAACAGAAGTATCAATACGAAAGTCCATATGGAGAAATATTTTCAGGATTTCTGTTAGATGTGGAAGTTGTTGCGATAATAAATAAATGACAAAAAAATAAAGAAAATGTAAATACCATTGACCTATCCATACCACACTACACACAGACACAGAAACAACAGCAGTAGTGTCGATGGCCCAATATGACCAGGATGAATGAACTCGGCTACGAGAAAAAGTGATGACACTTCAACCAGTTTATAATAAAGGGCGATGAAAAGAAAAAATATTACAAATAAACTGTACCGGCTCTGTTGTTGAGTTACAGTAGGGTTACGAGAGTTAGAGGTAATATTCAGTGGAGTGACAGACGGATCACGTGGACTGGTAGAAGGATGCATGCCAAGTGGATTAGTTAGTGGATTTGCAGGTGGATTATTAGTGTCATCTTCATGACGAGTGTCACCTTGATTTGAAAGACGTCCACTCATATTAACTGATTAACAACAACAATTGATTGATTTCGATGATTAATTGTCTGTGTTCTGGAAACAAACGGCGTTTGCTAATCATCCATCTACCGTACAAGCTAAAAAGAAAACTGTGACATCAATTTTCGAAAAAGAAGCAAATTGTTCACCATAACGAATCCGGCGCTACCATACATCATTATTATTATTTCTATTAGATTAAGAGAAATAATAAATAATAATTTGGTTAAAAATAATATCCAATGGTGATGATGATGATGATGATGACTGACGCATTCTTGACACTCATAGTCATTTATTATTATTATTATTATTATTGTTGTTTATTAAAAAATATCTTATGGCTTTGGAATGGAATCAGTTGATTAGTTATAAAATCCTAATTTTTTATTTTTTTGCAACAATTGTTTATTAAATGATTGAACGGCAAAATGATAATATATATAATTCCTTCTGCACAAGATCATCATCCAGTGGTCATTCAAATATGGGAAGGAAACGTATGATTAATCTTTTACTTTTTAGATACATTCTATAAAGATGGTATACATCGCTGCTATTCAAATAGCTGTTTTGTAAAATCTCTTATTAAATCATCTTCTCAACACAACTAAAAAATGGTGAAATCTTTACTTCTCATATCCTTGCTATTACTATTCCAATCATATCTAAATTGCAGAGATGTGGACAATTTACTTGTTATTCGAGGAGACTATGATGATTCTGAAGGCTTTGAAGTCGGCTCCCAGTCAACATTGTCCCTTGTAGATTGTCTTGATTGTAATATTAAATCCGTCCTTATTGAACCCAACGGGAAATACCTTTTTACAACATCCATAGAAGGGTCCAAGGCAAGACCTGTTCTTACCCATCACTCGGTGGAAAACTATGGGAATTTACAGATTGATATAAGAAAAGACGCCAAATCTGGAACATTCCTGTTTCTGAAAGATATTATAAACTATTCTGAATTTAATATTCTAGCAAATTGTCAGGTAGTTTTTAGTGCTAGCACCTTTGAAAATAAACCAGGAGGAACATTTAGAACTCTAGCCACACCTGGTTCGGTTTTCATTGACTTTTTCATAAATGAAGGGAAAATATGCTTACAAAACACCGCACTCTTTATTACCAACCAATCTTTACAATCAAATAAGGGTTGCATAATCACGAATTCTGACTTACTTATCCCGGGAAATATCGCATCCGATATTTGTCTTTCAAAGGACAGCCGCTTCATTCAGTTTACATCTACTGTTGATTCCGTATACATTGCAAACTTCGGCGGGATACTGCAGACGATTGAAACCGTTGTTTCAATGAACCAAGATACATGTGTACTTAGATATAACGCTCCTTTTGTCGAGGTTCTGGATGAAGCCCAGGGGACAAAATTCAGCCTTAATGTTGGATTTGATTACAAGGAATCTGAATTCGTGGTGTTATGTGAGGACGGATATGTTCAATTATCTTATCCCTCTGGTGTTCCAGATGGGGCCAATTCATGTCCTTGTGAATGTGGTGAACCGGATATACTCGACGTTCCAGGAACGAAATGCGAAGTTTCAACACAAACATTCCCAGGTACTACCCGAACACTTTTAATTACTACCAGTGATTATAGATGGACTACAACGACAAAATACTTTGAGCCAACGCCAACAACATCAAAATCAGAAGAGTCAACCACTTCAAAATCAGAAGAGTCAACCACTTCCGAACCAATAGAATCCATAACTTCAGGATTAGATGCAACAACTTCCGAATCGGAAACAAACAATACAGATTCAAGTGAAACTGAATCCCAAGACTTTACCAGTTCAGCTACGACCACTTCCAAGACAACTAGATCAGAAGTAACAACAACGAAATCCGACCCCCCAGAAGAATCTACTACTACTACAGGTTCAAGCAGCACTGATACTGGAGTAGATGGCACATCGGAATCATCCTCAACAAACCCGGACACGCAAGGCTCAACTAGCAGTAAGCACGAAGAAACGAGTCCAGATCCTATTTGGTCTACCACTGGGGAACCTGAAACAACAGGAGGCAACAAGTCAACTTCAACGACTTCATCAGGTGTTGTTGAATTATCTGAAACTGAAGCTACGGCAACAGTAGAAATGAGCAACACAGGAGAATATACTAATATTGAGACCGAATTCACTAGTTCTATATTAGAATCAAGCGAAATTCCACCACCCATCAAATTTGAGGAATCGGATTGGTCAGGAAATTCATCCACTCGAAACACCTATTATGGTGCCATAACATTATCAATTCCTACCGTGAAGCCTATTACTAGCTATAGGAAAGTCACATCTTCTTCTAACACACACCCAACAAAGGTTTCCTCCTCGCCCCACCAAACCATAGTGTTAACAACAATTGATGACAGATTGACGCATGTTACGTTGACGATTTCTCCAACTAGCAGAATTACAACTGAAAGCAAATCAACCACAACGTCACAACATTCTGCGGTTTCTTCAGAAACATTAACATCAACTCCCCATAACATTCCGACTAGTAATTATAGTGGGGGAGAAATCACCACCCGGAATAGGGAGACTACATCCTTTGACCGTTCCACCGATACAGTATCCACCTCTGATTCCACCAATACAGTATCCACCCCTGATGTACTACTGTATACTATAATTCCTCACCCTACCGTATCGCCTATTGAAGACTCTGGTGAGAGAGTTGTGACTGCAAGGATGTTGTGGTTATCCGGTATTGCTGCTTTTGCCATTGCGATGATTTTACTGTAATACTTTAGTAGGTTGTTTTATTTAAAATTATGTTCTTCATTATATAAGTCATAAATAAAATTTTGATTTCTTATAAAGGTCCAAATAGTTTTCAACATCTTGCAGTTCATTCACTCTAATCTCACAGTTTATAGGGTCATTGGGTTTGCATCTCTTGAAAAAATTCTTCCCAATGAACAGAACAAGTTTCTACGATAATGGAAGGTAGATTATTGTAAGACTTACATACCAATGCATACCCCAACAGAGAGATTAAGCATAAATCACGTGGATATCTTCGGAAATGAAAAATTAAGTAGGCCAGTCTCACGTGATAATTGTATGTCCCCCCTCGTAAGTGAGAAAACAAGGGGAAAAAAAAAGATGAAATTTCCTGTTTAAAATTTACATTAATTAGCAATTTTATAATTTCATAACCGTCATCGTCTTGTTCGTCTCTTTATACCCAATCAATTTTATTTCCTGCTTTCTGAGTACTCACAACTACAATCACTCAATTGATCCAACCACACCACTATCCAATTCAACTAGTGGAGTTTTTACTTATACTAAGAAAAGTATGTTTACCCGAAGAAAGACACGAAGTACTCACAGCACCGCCTACACTGGTGTCAACCATGTAGCTCCTGCTTCTAATCAACCCAATTCAGGAGCATTGGCTGCAGCATTAACAATTGGGAACTCTATGAAACAACAACATAAACCATCTACTTTCACAAGCATAGATAACAGGCCTGCAAAGCCAACAACACCTTCGTCAACAACAGCCACACCCGATAGTAAACCGCTTTCAAGGAGTGGTAGTCTTTTCAAACGAGGGTCAAGAACCTTTAAGAATCCACCTACTACCAATGCCCCAGTAGCACAACAACAACCACAAGCAAATAATAACTTCAGAAGATTCAGTAGTGGGTCTACCGCAACGTCGTCATCTATCGCAAGTCCTCATACTGCCCGTTCAGATAATAATCACAACCATCATCCAATAATTTATGATATTGACGATACATTTAATGATACAACTGAAGATTCCATTTATTTAAATAATCGGTCGAATTTACAAGATTTAAAATTGTCTCATATACCAGCTTCGTCACCATCACAAAAACCAAGACTCTCCACTAAGCCGCCGGCCTCCAGGACAACAACCTCAGCCACTTCCAAGGGAATTAGTCTGCCTGTTGCATCGGGTCCAGTAAAAATGGTAAAGAAATATGTCCCGACTCCAACCGGTATAAAAATCATTGAAGTCCCAGAATCAACTTATCAAAAAGAAGTAGCAAGATGTAATTCATTAAGATCAGGTTCACGTTCAAATTCATTACGTAGCCTAACTAATAAAAGTGCTGGGCCCCCCGCCCAGAACCGTTCTTCTTCATTGCATTCCGGCCGTACTCCACCAACTTCCAAAAGAGGATCAGTAATTAGAGCATCACCCACTCTATCACCACTTCAACCCATGACTGAAAATGTGGACCTAGAAGATCAGCTCGGCAAAACGGATGAGATCCACGAACAAGAAATTAAATTCCAACATCTCCAACATGAGATTGATAAAGAGAAGGAATTGGCTAGACAGATTGAATTAAAGAAGATGGAATATGAGCGATTGAAGAAGTTGAGATTGGAGAATGAAAGAAAATTGCATGAATTGGAAGAAGAAGTTATTATCCATAGGACTTCGTCACCTATTAGTGAGTCAACTGTGACTCGTTCACCTGTTGTTGACGCTAACAAGCACGGAGATGAATTCGTTGAGGTTCCTGAAATGAATAATAAAGAAGAAGCGGAAGAAATTGGACAGCCACAGGTTATCGAAGAACAGAAGGTTGAAGTGAATAATAAACCAGAGGAGAATGAGAAGGAATACACTCTCAAGATAAATAAACCCACCCTTGAAATCCTCCAAGATGACAAAGACAATGAGGAAAAACGAGAATATCCGGTTGAACCCCCAAGAAATATTCAAGAACTCCCAAACAACTCCTCTTCTTCTCAAGAGAACTTCAAGACTTTAGATCCAGGTGCTGAATTAGGTATAATCTCCGATTATGGCAATTTACAATCAAATGAATTATTAATACGTAGATCATCATCCGTTGACAAAGTTCAACAACCAGTTCCCAGAAGACAATCCAAGATCAGCAGCATAGATAGTGACGTATCAGAAGGACATCTTCACAAACAAGATTCATTAATCGTCCCCACAATGACTCAGACCAATGGCAGTTCCAGATCCTCAATCTATTCTGACGACTCTATCAAAAAGCCAATGAAATCAGCAATGAAACAATCCACCTCGAACCATCAACTCCCTCATCATAGACAACAAGTCAAGAGTAATGCGGCCCATCAAGCTTATCTTTCACTAGCCACCGCTGAGAACACAAGACTCAATGCGAAAATATCCGCCTCGAAAATGAATGCCGCTGCCCCTCCTCCCACCAATGGTGTCGCACATGCACCAGTTCAAAAAACGCCAGTAACCCCACTTGGCGTTAAACGACTCTCACAACAATCCTTACGAAAGAACGTCCACCCACAGGCTGTTCGTTCATTACGTCCGAATTCCATCCAAGTGGATTCCCATCCAGGCATGAGTGGTCGCACATTACGTTCCCCAACCACCACAGTTCAACCAATAGCGCCCCATCCGGCACTACAACCCAACTATCAATCCCCATCGAAATTAAGAGCCCAGGAATTGTATGCTAAAGCCCAAGCGAGACCCGCGTCGGTGTTTAAACAATCGCAACAACGCAAACCTCCGTTTGCCGAAACTACTGCACCGGGAGCAGCTTCGGGTGGTACCGGTACTACTACAGGTGGGAATAAAATTAAGAGAAGTCCAAGTACGACAAAGCTGGCCAAGAGATTAACATTACGTGGTGCTCCTACAGCTACTCAAAACCAAGGATCAAGACCATTTGAAGGTTCGGATGTCAGTTATCAAAATTCATTTCTGGAATATGAACAATCCAAGAAAACTAATAAAGGGAAATTTAAATCACGGTTTGAAGATTCTGATTCCGATGACGAATATACCCATGGTGGTGGCGGTAATACTACTAATACTAGTACTGGTATATTTTCGAGGTTTAGGGATTCAGATGAGGAAATTAGAGTTAAGTCTACTCCAGCTAGAAAGCCTCCTCCACCAGCCCAACTGTCTGAGACTAATAGGGTGAGTGATATGCATGTATTGGATGTGGATGTGCTTCCTAAAAAGGAAAAGAAAAAGTTCGGAGGGAAGTTGAAGAAGTTATTCGGAGTGAAGTAGAGTAAGAAAAGCGAGAGAGAGGCATTAAAGGTTAATAGGGCCCTTTACAAAGTCATTTATTGTTTCTAGTCATTTTATATACATTTCTAAAGTGTGATAAGTTTTTTTTTGTTTATATTTTATATAATATTTATGCATCGTGTAGTAATATAGTTTAATTAATCTATGATTCAAACTCAATTAAATTCTCATCATTTATATTCAGGTCTTTATGTTTCTTCTTACTTAATGCAGCTGCCTTTTCTGCTTCATGAAACTTTGCCACCTCATCATTCTTGACAGCACCCTTTCTAATTGGATCAGCCAATACTTGTGCCTCAGTAGCCATAAGAAGATCTTTATCACTCTCATCAATTGAAATCACACCAAAATCATCATCTGCCTCTTCATCTTCTTCCTCTTCTTCTTTACTCTTGGTAGACACACTACTTGAATTAGGATTATTTCCAGCACGTGAATCCATTCTCAATCTGACTTTGGTGGCAACTTTTCTTCCATCAGCTACCAATCCATCAAACATATCTCTCAAGTTCCGGATTGGATCTCCCACCTTTGAATCTAAGGGCATATCCAAATGAGTAGCACACCTAAGTGTAGAACTAAATAACAATTCATATGTCTCATCAGCTAAGATAACCATTCGGAAAGTAGGGAGATTAAGGAATACTGGTTTTTGAGGATCCAAAGCGGCATTATGACGGATTTTTTCATCAACAATTGATAATTCCTTGATAAGCACTTCTTCTTCTTGATAAGGCTGGGCATACTCAAAAGCACGTTGAATAAACGTACTTGCTGCTCTTAGATATCTTTCAACTTGTTTATTTTCGAATTTCTCACGATGGATATCAAATCCACCTGCTTGAAGCTTGACTTCAATATCTCCATTATTTTTCGTAGTTGGAACTCCGTGAGCCATGATTTCATCCACGTACTCATTCTCGATTTCATGCTGGGTGAGTTCATCAAACATGATCCCATCCTTCCACACACTGGTAACAAACAATAAATCTTCCGACATTTGTAATATGCCTTCCCGATCCACTTTTCCATCATGATTCAGATCATAAAGCTCAAAGAAATTCGACATCGACGTCATAAGATCAGATTCGACAAGTTTATTTAATCCAAGTAATAAATCTCCAAATGAGAGCGCTTGCTGTTGTTCATTGTCCCAAGCGGTAAATAATCGTTTCATAAAAGTATGTGATTTTGGAGGCTGTGGGATCCAATCACAAATGTCTGCCATAAATTTGAGAAACGATTTATAGTCCATAAGACTCGATCCACTTCCTTTGGTTAAATTGCGTTGCTCTCCTTCAATAACGGAATAGAATCTATCGTATAAAATCTCCAATGTCTGTGCTGGGATATTTGGAGTTCTTGGCAAATTCCTGATTTCGGTTCGTTTGACAAATGTGGAAATATTTTGAAATATTGAATCTCGGTGCTTATTACGATGAATATTTATCATATCCTCATTCACAATAGCGAATTCCCTAAATGCAGTCACTAAGAGTTCTTGGAATCTTGTAATGGACTTAAATCTCGGATTAGGTGAGTTTGGATGACATGGTTGATCTAATGTTTGGAAATAATCTTTAATTATCGAGATAAATGCTCCATCATCTTCGGTTTGTAATAATATCTCCCCATTTAATTTCAAAACAGCTAAAGCTACTTGAAACAATGTCTTGGGTCCTTGCATGAAAAAAACATCCAAAATTCTGAATGCAAACACCAAAGGCATAGAAGATAAATACAATGATAAGAACCAGGGTAATGAAACTATCGATAATTGAATATCGTGCTTGGTGATATGCTCCCATAAGATAGGCATTGTATTTTGAACCAACGATTCAAATACTCGTTGATCCAATAAAGTTCCATACATAGTCTTTGAATAATAACCAGGAACAATCCGATCACATAATAAATTAAGGGCCCAAAAAGCTTGTTCTTCTGACATATAAATAAGTAATGCCGCTACAACAATATTCATCGCTTGACAATATCCCACATCTGGATTCTTCCAAGAATAAGCTGTCAACACTCTTCTTAGTCTTTCGATTCCTTCATTGGATTGATAGGCAGCATATTCTGGTAATGATCTATTTAAATCTTTTTCGATCTCTTCAATTGCAAATGACTTCTTATCCTTATGGTCCAATAAAATTTGAGCATATTCACCTTGGTGTTCATAACGGTAATACATTGATCCACTACATAATTCCCAAATCTCTCCTCTTAATCGATTAGGCAATCCTACTCTTATCAATTTATAAAATCTGGGTGTTTTGATCATAGATAAATTACGGCCCTCAATTTGAAATAAATCAAACCAAAGTTTCATTTTTGCTTTATCTTTAGATTCTTTAGGATTCCCCGGGAATTTAAATACAAGTCCCAATCCACCTGGAGGAACGTGTTCAACCTTTTCATCTGATAATTTATTTTTCACTAACAAAAACTCCGAATAACATGTTTGAATAAATGGTGGTAATTTCCCAGATGATTTCAAATTATTCTTTAATGACATTCGTAAAAATTGAGCAAATCGTTCACTATCAGATCTAATGCCAACTAAATATGTCGTTATATGAATCTTACTATATGTAATAAGCTTCAAGGCAAATCCATAGTCACTTGTGGGTAATCTTTCAACTTTCTTAATTGTGGATAAATGTAAACTAAATGAACAACTTTGTTTATCAAAAGCATCTCGAAAGATCAAGAAATGTTCAGTTAAATAAAGCTTCCCCTGTGGAAATGCATTGCTTTCATTGTTATAAATATCACGTGAATATTCTGATTTGATACCAATTTCAGCAGCTGATTCACATATTATAAGTTCCTTATCAGGTATATGATGTTGTAAACAGAATAATTGTTCTCTAGTTAAACCAGAAGCATTATTCTTATCCAATACTTGATTCAAAGTATTTACAGCCTTATTCTTAAGAGCCTCGAAGAATGCCATGATCGTTCAAAATCTCTTACTCTCTTTCTTCAAATCAATTGGAACTTGGGGCTTGGGGGTTATCTATCTCTATCAATGTTTAATCTCTCTTGTGTTGTAGATTTACGGAAATCTATAATTAGTGAAATATGTGGAGTACACGACCTCCCTACGCCTACTCAAAACTGATTACCCAATTAAAAGGTAGTGTAATTATGGTTAAAAGTTCGTTATACCTACATATAACGGAACACGTGATATTGACATTGACCACCGAACCTTTTCGAATTTGCAACTAAAGGGGTTCATTGACAACTTCTCTAAGGGGACTTGTGAGCGATATTCAAAGTTGACTGCAATACAAATGTTTCTTGAAAATTGATCCAAAGTGGTTGATATTGCTACCGCTCGTTAATTGGAGAGTTTTGTCGTAATCATGTTCTTGGCTCAGTAATTTACTGCCTATGTTCGAGATGGAACTGAAGCTTCTGGGAGGTAGCGAAATTGAATTCAATGGCTAAGCAAGACAATGGGAACATGAAGAAGGCGACATCTACTACGTTTGAATTTGCATTTCTTTATCTTTCACAAACTTCGTTCCAAAATAAAGAGATGCTTCTCAAATTTGGTGGTTTTACTGTGTTATACATATTACTACATTACATTAAATCCGTGCTAAAATACAAACTATAATTACATAATGATAAATTTAACATAAACATTAATATTGCAGTGCATCATCAAATTCTTCGTCTTCGCCGTCATCCAAAGTAGAGTTTCCGGCGAGATATGTAGCATAAGTAGCGTCTGTGGCCTCAGTTTTGGTTATCATAGATTGTTTTCGAGTCAACACGGATTGGGGTGTAGGCAGTGATTCTGGAACTTCTTGAGGTATCAATGAAACTCTTCTTTCACGTCCCTGTTTCTGTAAATCATCCAAAGTCATATACTTACCGTAATTGGAAATCTGCTTCAAGGGCTCATTGACCAGTATCCGTTTCTTGGGCTTAAACTTATTACCAAGGATTTTCCCTGTATGACTGATTATAACTTTAATGATATCTTTCTTTAATCTATCCATAAACTCTTCAGCTGACCAAATCTTATTAGAGTACCTTAAATTGGGCACATTGATCACTAATTTATCAACATCCAATAAATGCATACTCTTGGGACCAGTAAAACTAACAAACAATGTAAAGTTCAGTACAGAAATATCAATGATTGATTTATATTTCATAGATCTTCCAATTATTATGGCAAGGTTATCTTCGTCATTACTATCGTCTAATCTCTTTCTATGCACCTTCATAAACTTGCACTTTGGTCCTTGTCCAAGTCCCAAAGAATCATCCTCTTGAGAAGAAGTACCCGCTGAGCTACTCTGCTCAGATGATGCTCGTGTCTGACTACTGCTTTGTCTGGACAGTGTAGTTGAACCATTTGAAGAATTACTAGAATTTCCACTGGAATTATTGGAAAATGCTCTTGTTTTGGAAAGTAATTTTCTCAAAGGATTTCGAGAAGCTCGAGATGTACCAGACGATTGAATACTACTTGCTGCTTCCTCTTCATCTTCATCAACTTCCTCATCGTTATCACCACTAGAATCAACAAATGTTGCTTCATTCTCATCCGGGAATAAATATGATACCAACCTCTTAGCTGTAGTATAATCCAATTCAAGTCTCAAAGGCTCAATATCCAATTTTGCATCCTTAATTATCGAAATCCCACCAACAGCATCCAACATTGTCCATGCAATGCTCACAATTGGCTTCTCATTTGTACAGCCTTCTCTATTCCTTTCTTGCTCAGATTGAATAACCTTCTCTTCCAAATAAGGAGTCAATAATTGTGGATAAACTGTCTTATTCTGCAAATTAAATCCCTGAACCATCGATATCTCAACTTTGTTAAACTTACTTCCATCTATGGAATCAACACGATGATATCTTGCACCAGCCAAAGCAAAATCAATAAATGGTTCCCTATTATCATCAAGTAAATGCCAGATCACTTGATCAGCAACAATATCCCAATACCTAGCTGTTTGCTTTGCTTTAGACTTATGCCGTAATCTTAACCCCTTCATCAAAAGTAGCAACTCCCATCTCATTCTCTCGACTTCTAATTCTAAAACATTCATACATTGTCGATCTTTTTCATCCAATACAATTCGCCTGACATCAATTGATAATAAAACCAGTTTATATTCACGAATCAGTTGTTGAAGTTCTCGGATACGAATATCTAATCCTCTAAAATCATCAGAATCTGAAAGCGTCATCACTTTTTGTAACCTTCCAGTCATATTATCTTTTCCTGTTTTAGAATACACCAATAGATCAGTAATGACATAATATATACTTGAATATTGCGCTGACGTGGCATTGATAACATACTTCGCCAAATATACTGTTATTTCATTCTCGGGCAATATCGTACCACCACCCACCGAACTGGACCCTGATGATGAATCAAGAAAAAGTGGATTCGGTTCTTTAAAAATAAGCGCCATTGAATTTCGCTCAGAAACCATATAACTATGTACCCACGATCCGTCATAACAAACCTCACATTCAAACCATGGAGGCCAATTATTCTCCGAAGAGGAGTATCCCAGGGTAAATTTAGATTTTGGATTCGTTAATGCACTATCATCCTTACCTACTACAAATACCTGAGCATCGCGGAATAAAACCCCATATCTCGTTTCCACCACTCCAGTCATCTCGACATCACTATTCAATACATTAACCGTGTCTTTAAGATTAATACCCAATATTCTCATCTCGAGGTCTCGAGACGTAATCAAAACACATGAATCAGGGTTCTTATCGCTAACTAACTGGATCTGAGGATTGATCAACTTGACTACATATTTATATTCTGCTTCTTGTTGGTTTGGATTGCTAATTTCATCTATCTCATCCTCAAAACTATCAATTATCTCTTCCGATTTCTTAAACTCTTTATAAGAATGGTTACGTTTCATACTGATAGGTTCACCTGCATTACCCTGGAGAGTTTCATTGATAATACTCTCCACTAAATCAACGGCTGAATTACTCATAAAATATACAGCATTTTTCCGGTCAGATACACTTTGTAAATACTCCACTGCTAGTTCTCGTATTCTGTCATCCCATTTAAGTTGAAGATTATGAATAATAAATCGATTATGGAATTCCACTACCCCATGACTATGCGATATTGCTTCTAGTAAGTCCGATTGTGACCTATGGCTAGAATAAGCAGATAATCCAGAAGCCTGTTTCAGCAACAATGTATTTCCATCATCATCAGTTATATCATCCGCCACTTCCTCGAAACTTCTCCACGCATCGTAAACGACATCCAATTTTTCTTTTAACATCTGAATCTCCTTTTCAGTAACATTTATATAATATTGATATTCGGGAGCATTCTGGATTCTCAACTTCCGAAGAAAATCCTCTTTATTAGTCAAGTCATCTTCCAATAAATCAATTCTTTCTCGAAGAATCTGCCTTTGAACTTCCGCTGGCTTAGTCAAATCCATCAAACAGTCATGGATAGTCTCGTTACCAAATGGGAAAGGACCATCCTTTTGCAATGCAAACTCTCTAAAATAACTAAATCTTGGAGTGAAGAAAAACGGAACAACTTTAATCTTAGGATAGGGAGAAAGAGTTTTTTTAAGTTCTAGTTCAACAAAATCATCATGATCAATCCAGGAAAAGTCATTGTCGGACATTTCAATTGTATCTACCCATCCCAGGAAAGTTTGCTTATAATTGTCTCCACCAGACAGACTACTTGAGGTTGTTGTCGAGGATCCAGTTGATGATTTTGACCCATCTAAATATGTGACCAAGCGTGCAGTTATGCACTTATCAGGGAAAATAGCGTTCAATAATCTAACATCTGCATTCTCTAGATTAATTTCAGCTTGATTCATTTTCAAATGTCTCACTTTAGTCTGTCTATGTAATTTCTTATTCAAATATATCACAGTTTCCTTTCTTTGATGAAGATCAACTTCGAATTTAGTAAATTTCCCCTTTAGACCAGTAAACGCAATCCTATTATTCTTGTCGGGTACATCACTAGTCGAGTGTATATACATATGGGAAACAATAACTGGGTTGAATACAAGTTGATACTTAATAGTGAACAAATGCGGACCCATCTTAACATGAGACTTTTTCACCTGGTTTCTATCCTGAAACAAACTTCCATTTCTTACGGGCATTACATTATGATGAATTAATAGATCCCACCAATAAAAGAAATACTGGAATGTTAAGGGTGATAAATAAATTGCGTTATGTGAGTTACCGGCTTTAGACTTTGAAATAACTGCAAGTGACATATGAATATAGTCAGACCGATATCCTTCATATGAATCTGGGTGATAATCTTCGGCAGGATTAGTGACTACAATTTCATAATGGGGTTTAAATTTCGAAACTCTAATCTCTTGATCCGACAAAGCCTTCGTCGTTGGATGTTTATTCCTCTCAAACATCATTCCGAAAATCCACTTGACCCTATCATCGGACGTTAATTTAATAACTCGTTTGTAGAATTTCTTCGCCTCCAAATCTTCATGCTGACTAAGATCATCATGCTCGTCATAAAATAAACTCCAAATATTTCTCTCTTGGTCCGAATAATTAGGAACTGCAAACATAAAATCATCACTTTCCAAAACAATCAACTCCTTGCTATTGTTCTTAGTAGCATCTATAGTCAACGTCACATTATTCTTCCAACAAAAAACAAATCCACTAGCCCTCCCAACCAAATCATGGGGATCCGTGGAACTCTTCATATGGAGACACAATTCGTTCGGAATATTAAATTGGAATTTGCCATGCATCATTAATGGAACTTTATCCCACCATCCTAATGGACTATCATCAATAGCCGGCTTCGTGAAGTTGTCAAAAGCTTGAAACATCATACTCAAACTTGGTTGATATGATTTACACCAACTTATCATACATGCTCTATCAGCATTTAAATCACAACGAAGATCGCAAGCGAGTTTCACAGGTGTTAATGTTCTTGGGATATAGACCGAATAAAAATTATCAACCTTGTGAACGTTGGGATCAATTGCAGGAGAATAACCTACAAAAATATGTCTTAATTCCTCCTTACGTTCGAATAGCTTTTCATTTATTACCAAATTTGCTTGCACATGAATGGTTGGTTTTGTTGGATCGCTATTTGTCGGAAACGAAACCAAGGGTATCGGATAGTCTCGAAGGAACATATATAATTTCCTGGCTTTTAAATCAAGGGAGAATGGACATAGGATAGAATAGACTAGCTTTGGCTGTTGCTTGGCGTAATCATACAAAAATTTGTCAAGATCCTGCGTATGCGTAAACTTATCCAAGACCAAATCAAAATCACGAAACACAGCTCCCATCAATGGAATTCCAACGGAATGGTCCAATATTTCATATTTATCTTTCATAACTTGACTGATTTCATCTTTTCCCCAAACAGCTTCACCTCTCTTCTTCCACAGACACTGCCTTTCTTGCTTAAATACTCTGAATTTGGAAATCCACGTGCAAGAGAAGTTTTGATACAATCGCCGTTTTGCTTCCTCAATTCTCAATTCGGCATCTTCAACTGTATATCCTCCCATTTCTTGTTCATCTTCTTCAGCAATATCTTCAATTTGCTTATGTCTTCTCCTTCTGAAAATCTTATCTTTAAACAAGGAAGATCCCTGTGACACTTTGGTTTCGCTGCCCAGAGACAGGTTCCTAGTGGGACTTCCGCTATTCTTTGAATTTGAAGTCAACGTTCTCAATGTACTATTAATTCTTGGAGCATTATTTGGAGCTTGCTCATTTGAAAGTTCGATCTTTTCTTCGATTCCTTCATCGTCACATTTTGCACCTTCTAGAATTTCCTCTGATTTCTTCTCAAACTCCTTCAATTTCTTCAACCTCAATCTCTGTTCGATAGCCCCTATTTCATAAATCATCGCCAATTCATTTTCAAAAGGGTCATTCTCCAAAATCAATCCCAAGATAGGAGTCTTTATTCTCACATAAGGGAACTTCACTGCGGAATTTTCACCAGGGAACACTCGATCAAATCTCTCAAATCCAATATGAAAAAACTTAAAATTATGCAGAAGCTGTTTAATAGCTTTGAAAAATGAGATGGAATTGTCAATCACAGTATAAAACAAGAACTGATTTGGAATTTCAAACCTAATTGCCTGTGGCAGGATTTCAAATTTTCCATCGTGGTAAGTTTTTGATACATCAATACTGAAAAGAGGCTGTGATATCACCAATAATCTTGCCCATAATTTAGTGGCTGGGTGAACAACATACAATCTGATGTGATTGATTTCGACCGATTTTAAAACTATAGCATTACGTAATTGTGCTGAATCCACTTCAATTAGAATGTCAACTTTGTTGGGTAAACGTGCCACAAGCGAAACCGAATCTAAAACCACATCCAACTTAACCACTTTTGATGGCCCCGAAATTCTTTTGAGAGCTTCCTTACTACAATTGCTTTCTACAGTAGGGGCGAATTGTTTTAACAATGTCTTAGCGTAAAAGATGCACCACACGAAAAACATGTCAACTCGAGAGTCGATCTCGGAAACCGATACCATCAATCTGTTTGGATCTGCTTTCCTGTCACCAGATTTATTATTTGAAATGGATAAATTTCGAATATGTAACACATTCTTAATTCTCTTGATGCTACTACTTTCTTCTTCCTCATATTCACCAAAATCACCAATTGTCGAACTTGAGATTGAACTTATAGTAGATAAATCATTGAAGTCAGAGTCTAAATGGAAGTCACTCACTTGGTCAAAATCATCAATGTACTCAGACAGATATTCACTTAATGTAAACAATTGAATCGATTTCACAGATGAATCTAGTAATTCTTTGGACCGCGAATAATTGAATCCTACATCTGAAATTTTCAATGACACACCACGACGGAAATCTGCCAAATTAACTTCTTTTTTTAACTTTTCATCAAATATGATATGATTTGGTAATCCTTCTTTACATATGATATCCACAAGAATAGTCTTTAAATCAATCTTCACTGACGAGATTATTGAAGGAAGGAACTCAAATAATTTCACGTACCTAACCTCGTCGTCTCCATCCTGACCTAACCCCTCCAAAATGCTTTCACTTTCATCAGGATATGCTTCAATTTCATTCATGATCTCAGTGTACTTTTGATTAAAATAGATTCTTTGCCTATTTCGGAATTGCCGAACAGTATAAAATATGATATCATTCACAGAACTAATACTCATTGTCTTGCTGGCCACCTTTATAGCTATAGAATTATCTTGGAGATTATATGCCATAAGCGCGTCAATCTTGGAGATTTGCGTTTGATTCCCATCTACTTCTCCACTGAATTCCTTCAATTTGAAATATGCATCTATAGATGGCTTCTTTCTCGCTTTATTCCTACTTCGAAATAATTTCTGATAATTCTTGGTAAAGAGTTTATGTATTAATGCCAGTAACGAGAATGTAATCTTTAGATTGTCCTTCGACATTCTATTAAATTCTGATTCTTCATCCCTTGGTGATGACAACGGTGGAAGATGTATATGAAGTGTTGTATCAACAATAACTAATCTTGTGGAAATTTCTTTCAACATTTTTGAAGCCAAAATAAGCTTAGTGATGATTTCATCTTTCCTATCTACCCCTGCTGCTTTTCTCATCCTCCTCATTCTTCGTTTTGTCATATTATTACGCAATATTGCAAATATAATTTCTTGTTGGTCATAGTAAAAATCAAATGTTGGGTTTGTTAACATGACCGACAAATCAAAATTGATCGTTTCGGTACTGGCTCCCTCATGATTGAGTAGGACCTGTGAGACTTGAACCACCTGTACTGGATTCACTTCATATGACAATGTACCTGACGGCAATTCAAAACATTTAGTGCCTTTATGGAAAATTTTATATGATGCCACATAAATGGATAACTTAAGGTTATCTGAGTCTTCCTTTTCAATTTTTGTCAAAGACATAACAAAGTTAGACAAGTTCATACTCATTGATGCGTTAGATAATGTAGAATCTTCCAATCTTAATTCAGTAAGCGTGTATACCTTCATAATATCTTGAATCATTTTTGAATATTTTGTCAAATCAATGTCCTCTTTCAACCCATCATCTTCAGAACCCCTTCTTTGATCACTACTATCAGTAAATGTCACATTTTTATCACTGTCTCTCTGAAATACAGCTAACGGTATATTTAATCGTCCAATCGACAATGAAATTTTAAAATCACTTAGGTGAACATCAATCAAATTAGTATTATTCACAGCACAAGTGGCAATTGTCTTACAATTTATATAAAATTCCACATTTCTGTATAAGTTTGCTTTTAGTTCTTGAGTAGAATTGCTTTGCAATGAACCTGTTACCAATGTTACTGTAAATCGTATGTCATTATTTGCATCCAATTTAGCCTCCAATCGAGTATAATCTAAGAAAACCAACAAATCGTGATGAAATTTCTCCAGGAAAATTGAACATCTAAATATACGAATATTAATGTTGTTGATGATACCTGTTGAGATAATATAATCGAAGAACCTTTTGGGTATTCTAAAATATAATTGATCTTCTATTGAAATATCCTTCATCTCTCCCAACTTGTCTTTCTTCTTTAACTGGTTCTGGTCATTTCTTTGGGTAACATTAACATCAATGACTTCAAAGTTTATCAATTTCAATCCTGATTTCTTTCTACTTTTCAAAAAGTTGAACCTTAATGCTAATTTCTTAATAAATATCGTCGTCGTATTAAGTTCAATTGTAACATGTCGTATTGACAACAATCCAATATATCCAATGGAAACATGTGGAATTCGATTCAATGCAATCAATACACAAATATAGACAAGTAGACAGCCCACGGCAACATAGTATAAATCAATCATGATATCAATCAGACCTTATTTATATGTTTCTGTGTGTCTAATAGGTGTTCAAATTGATAACGTCATCGAATGATTCCCAGATCTGAAATTATATTCTTTTTTGTCAGGGAACAAAGGGGGTTGTGGCGAGTTGCACCCGTTTTACCGGACTTTCCGGGCTTTCCAAATTGGGAAATCTTTCGGACGAACTAGAGTGCTTCTCTTAAAGGATTCCACTAAACCATGGAACTGAATAATTCATTCTCATTAGTTAAACGGTAGTTATTCTAATCATCCCTTCTACAAATCTTGGAGTTTCTTTTAAAACTTACATTTTCCTTATACTTAACTTTTAATACCAAAATTTGCAGAAAACATACAGAAAAAAGACAACCTTCAAAGACAAGCAAACATTCCTTAATTTTTCATAGCGACAGGAGATACTGGAGTTTCAAACCACTTGGCAGCAGTTAACCCAGGTAAAGTCTTAAGTTTATTTACCGACGTATTCTGTGATTTGCACTAGTCGCTGTCCTCACAGCTAGAGGAATTTCCTGATACAACGCCGACATCACCTTATCGGAATGAGTCATAGACCCAAGATTCCACACTCATTCTAAGAAAGCTTAGTAAATTCCTAAAAGAATTAATTAAACTATTCACAATAATAACACTTTATACATCTCTATCACTCTATAAAACAATCTATTTACAAAAATATGACAAACTTATTTAAATGCTTGTAATGCACTTTGCAATTTCAATAACATCTCATCCCATTCACCTTCTAATTCACTCAACACCGTAATGGCCCCACCAGCACCAATTCTCCAAAGATTCACCTCACTCGTATTCTCAACATCATTAGCATAATGGAATACAGACCGGATAATCACTGACCAATCAGAATCATCAGTTATACTCCAATATCCAACCACACCACTATATATACCTCTCCTCCCACCAGAAACAGCCTCCTGCATCGATTCAATATCTTGCAATAATTCAACAGACCTCTTCTTAGGCGCACCAGTCATAGAACCAGGTGGTAGTGAACTTCGTAAGATATCAATACCATGATATCCCCGACTAGCCAATTTTCCTTGAATGACACTCACGAGCTGAAATACAGTCTTATATTCTTCCACCTTCATTAATTGTGAAACACACACATGGTCAGTGAATTGATATAAGTCGTGCCTGATCAAATCTACAATCATCAAATTTTCTCCCATTTCTTTTGGGGTCTTGAGGATCTTGGTGGCGATTTCGAGATTGACATCATCAGTGTTTTTCACAGTACCTTTAATAGGTCTCAATTCTACTAATTTTGTATCTGGTTCATTAGTGTTGTCTTTCCAGGACAAAAATCTTTCCGGAGAAGAAGATATCAAACAACAATCATCAAATTCCATAAAACATGAAAATGGAGATGGGTTCTTGTGAAGGGTAAGGACCTTATAAATATCCCAAGGATTAATGTATGAAGGAAGATGAATTTTCAGTTGGGTGGTAAGACACAATTCATAAGAATTACCTGAATGTAAATAATCTTGACATTTATTAAATTGTTGCTCGTAGATCTCTTGACTTGGTAATTCAAACTTAATCACATCTGAATCTTCCTCTTTTGCTAAATATTTGACAGACGTGGCTACGTCATCTAAATTAATCTTGAGATTGGAGTCCAATAAATTATCAACCAAGGTGTTTCCCCACTCCGAATCATCTTTAGAATTAATAGAAATCACAAACCAATCTTTAGTAACATGGTCATATACAATCATTCTTTCGATATAGATAACCTTTAAATCTGGAGTACTCTTAGATCCACATATAGATTCCAATTTATCAATGACGATATGCTGTCCTTCTTCATAAGACACAATACCAAGATATCCTCCAAAAAATGGTAATTCACGAGAAGTAGGATATTCCGAAATCTTCAGTTTTATCACATCTCTGCTGACATATTTCTCCTGAATTCGACGCGCTAATACATTCCATGCAGTTTCATGCTCTTCAAGATCCACAATTTCCGAGCGAGTTGTCGATTTATACGTGGATAAATATACTCTATGCAAATCGTCAACAGAATGGGTAATGATTTCACTTTGATTTTCAATAGGTAACCCAATGATTGACCATTCACCTGGGAATGAGGCAGAATTTAATAATATGAAATTGGATTCACCTTCGTCAAGTTTATGAAAATGATCACATACATCAACTGGAGTGATGTCATGAGGTAAGGTGAATTTCTTGAAATAAATATGATCTAACTGGTTTGAAATCAACTTCCCACCTGCAAGTAAATAATCTTCATGAACCGCATGTCCATTTAACGAGACAGAGGGACTATTCCCATTCATGTTGACTAAGGATTCCGTTCTGAAATGTTCATTATATTCTTTGGCAAGCTTGGTAAATCTCTTGATCAATTCATTACCCTTGTCAGAACAAATAGATTCAGGATGATATTGAACACCATAAAATGGAAATACTCGATGTTTCATCGCCATCAAGATCTTCCTATCACTTCCATCATCCTGCAGCTCGTAACAATATGCCAAGGGTATAATCTCATCATTTAAATCTTCAACACATAAGGAATGATATCGGACACTTCCAAATCCGTCCAATCCTGCAAATAACTTATCATCACCCATTGGATGTATTTTATATATCTGTCCATGTCTGACATTATCCAATTCCATTACTTCATTGCCAAATTCATAACATAAACTTTGAAATCCCAAACAAATACCCAATATAGGAATAGGATATTCCTCTGCTTTTAGCCTTTTGATAAGCCAACTGATAATACCTACATCTTCTGCAATCGAAGGGTGTCCTGGTCCCGGTCCAATGACAACATAATCGAATTGTGGCAAGAAATGGTTGTAAAAATATTCATATTCAGAAGGTGTAAAAGAATCATTGTGGATGGTGGTTACTTCTTGATTAGCATTCTGTTTAAGTAAATGGGCTAAGTTATTAGTGAATGAATCATATGAATCAATTAGAAGAATCATATTTTATAAATTAATTTTGTGATCTTCTGAAGAACCAAATTGGTGATGAGCTCAGATCTCTGGGAAGGAATTGCGGTTTTAAAATTTTCTATTTTATTTTTTTTTGGGTTTTGACAGACAGGGCTTTCTTTTTTTTTTTTAGTTTATTTTTTTTTTTGCTTGTCATATAAATGTTTGGAGTGACCATGTGAAGAATTACCTAAGACGGATATCATCCCGACTCCTTATTGGGGGTTGACAAAGTACTTCTTCTCTTTAAGATATTCTAAGAAAGTCTTCACATCTGATTACTATGTATAAACAAATAGCGATACGTGAGAATTCTCAACAAAGGGTAGTGTCGCTTGCGGCACAATTCATTGGTCGCGACCCCCGGATTCGCAAAAAGAGGCTCAACGAGCGAGGAGGTGATGTGCCTACATTCAAACCCCTTTGATATCTGCCTACAGTTAGCCCAATGTCACTTACAGTCCATGTATATACACCATATCTCATACCTGATCCTTCTGGTTGTCATATGTGGTCTTTTCAATGTGTTTGACTCTAGCTTGTTGCTTTGCCATGTTTACAAATGTTCGAACAACAAAAAATATCTACTGCTTTGCGGCTAATGCATTCTAATTTCAAATTTGGCATGTTTTTATTCGCTACATTGACCACGCAAGGATCATCCAAAATGGTTTACATGTACATAAAATATGCTGCAGTATATTTATCTATAAACAAAGTAGTCTTCTAAAAATATTATAACAAATCTTCTTCTTCTTCTTCATCACCATCATCACCATCCTCGTCATCTGAATCTTCTTCATCACTAGAAACTACTTGACCCAACATTTTCAATCTCTTCTTGTACTTATTGTTCTTCTCATCCAAATCAGACATTAACAACATAAGATCATCAAGATCAGATCTAGGGACACTGTCGGATAATTTATCCTTTAATTTCTTAATTTCTTGTTCATGTCTATCTGTATCATGCTGTTGAATTAACTGTTGGGTTAATTGCTTATTCTCTGATCTCTCGTTGGCTAACAAAACTTGCATTTCATCATTTTCAAATCTAAGAGTATGTAATTCTTCATTAACCTTTTCATTCAACGATTCGAATTTTTCCAATCGGTTCTGTAAATCTTTATTCTCCTTCGCTACGTTTTGTAATTGTTCAATTTCAGAATTGGCTTGGTGAAGCTCCTCTTGTACAATGGACAATGCATGTCTTGTGTCAACCTCAGCAGCGGCTGATTCCTCATTCTTTGCTGATTGTGCATCTAACTCACGATACTCCTGTTGAATCTTTTCTAGTCTTTGGACCAACTCATGCTTCTCGGTTTCCAACACTTCAATCTGCTGATTAGCTTGCTCCAATTCATTTTCGAGACTTGCGAGTTTAGATGAAGATTCTTCTAATGAAGTATTGCTAGTAATAAGTTCCTGAATTCGCTCTTTTGTTTCCACCAACTCTCTCTCTAATTCATTTTTGGAAGTCTCAAGCTCGGCACATTCCGTTGCTTTCAACTCGACCGAGTTCTGCAATTCAGCTACATTTTCTGCTCCAACCTTCTCGGCCTCAGTTGATTCCTTTAATGTATCTAATTCAGATTCTAATTTCTTGATTATGTCTTGATAATCATTGGATTCCTCTGTTACTTTTGTCAACATTTGTTCAAATTTCTGAGCTTCATCTGATTTCAATTTCACCAATTCATCAATTTCAATCTTTTCCTTGGTTTTAGTTTCCAACTCTACTTGCAACTTTATCAACAAGGAAGACTTTTCATCCAATTCATTTTTCATATGTTCTAAAGATTCGACGGATTCATGATACTCAGCCTTTACCTTCTCAAGTTCACTTGTAATGTCTTCTATTTTCTCATTGCAAAGCACAACCTCATTTTCCTTTTCTGTTACCAATGAACTTAGTTGCTGTTTTTCTACAGTCAAAGATTCGACTTTTGCTTCTAATTCTTCGACATCAACTTCCAACTTACCTGAAAGTGCCTGTGAGCTCAAATTGTTTAATTCGACCAGTTTGGATTCAAGAAGATCTTTCACATGTACTAGCTCTTCCTCTTGTTTGGATATCTCTAAGACTAAATCTTCATTCTTCTTCTTCATTGTGTCCAATTCTTCACCCATATTTCTGAGTTCATTTTGCAATTGTTGAATCGTTTCATTCAATCCCTCAATCTCAGATTCCTTTGTCTCCACGCTATCATTGGTAGATTCCAATTCCAATTTTAATTCTTCAAGCTCGGAACTCTTTTCGTTTATTAAGTGTTCTCTCAGCTCAAGGTCCGATCTTAATTGCTTTATCTGTTCTTCTAATTCGGAGTTTTCATCCTGCCAAGTATCATGCTCTGATTTGTTGGACTCGAGCTTATCTTCCAACTCTCTAATCTTTTCAGCATACTCCTCAATAACACTATTCTCTGATCCAGATGCAATCACAGACCTTGCCTTTTCAATTTCGCGAGTCTTTTCATTCAACTGATTAGTAAAATCATTAATCAATTCAGTTTTTTGCTTACGCCACACCTCAGAATCATGATCATACCTCGTCCTCACTCGATTCAATTCTTCCATGAGAGTTTTCAAACTTTCATTCAAATTTGCACTTGAGCGTTCCATGTTTTCCATCTTGATAGACTTGGCAGAAAGGTTTTCGCTAGCAGTATATAATTCTTCTTCCAACAATTGATGAGCCTGTTCGAGAGCTGCGAAGTCATTAATAGATTGGGTCAATTCAGTGGATAATCTCAAAACTTCATCTTGAGCAGCAGATAATTCTTGAGATTTTGATTCAAAGTCAGTTTGAACTGATTGCAACAGTTCTTCTAATTCGGTTACTCTGGCTTCATTTTCTTTCAAAGAGGAGGCTAGACTGTTAATTTCTTCATTGAGTTTGGCAATCGTTGATTCTGCATTTTTGCGTTCTTTATCCAATGTTACAGACAAAGCCATCTTTTCAGAATGAAGGTCATATGCTCGGTCTTTTAAAGTTTTGATAACAGTATCATTTTCAGATCTCAACTCCTCTACTAACTCTTGCAAATCATTAATCGATTCCTCCAGACTTGATTTAAGGTTTTCCATTTGTTTCCCCATTTCCTGAATCTGATGTCTCTTATCTTCTTCCAAAGCCGCAATTGCAATGGCAACCTTTTTAAGTTCAGACTCTTTCTTTTCCAATTGAGCTTTTAACTCCTCTACCATAGTCAGCTTTTCAAAAAGTTCCGTCTCAAACTTATTTTTTTCCAATTTAAGTGCAGAAAGAGTTTCCAGTAAGGTTCCCATTTTATCATCAGCCTTTAAGAGATTCTCTAATTCAACAATACGATCTTCATACTCCTCAATCTGCAATTTCAAATCGAGATTCTTATCTGCTCTCTTTGCTAATTCATCTTGACTGGCGGAATATTCCGACGATAGCTTCGTCAATTCGCTTTGCAATTCGGATACCTTCAATTCGATTTCAGATTTCTCTCTCAGGTGAGCTTCCTTTAACTCTTTGATTTCATTAATCTTGGATATAACCTCTTCGGACAGCTCATTATTATTTGTAGAAGATTCCTTCTGTAATACATCTACATTCTTCCCATTGCTTGCACTTTCCATTTCGGATACCACCAGCGATCGATCTTCTCCATTTTGACTAGCGATTATAAGTTGGCTTTGGAGCCTATCAATTTCAGCTCTCAATTCAGCTATTGTAGTTTCAGATTCCTTCTTTAACAATTCAATATCACCAGCAGTCTTTTCAAGCTCAAGTTTCAATTCCTGGAATTTGTCTTCCAATTCCTGTTTTTCACTCGCAATATCGTCATTAACTTCTTGGATGTCGATAATCTCAAGTTTCAAATGAGCAATATCATTTTTGGCTGTCTGCTTGACCTCATCCAACTCGTTTTGAAGGTCGCTCTTCTCTTTATTCAGTTGTTCTAATTCTAATTGTAATTCCTTCAATTTCTTCTCAGCGTCTTCATCTAGTTTGGAACTAGTTGATAAAGTTGGTTCCACTGATTGGGATCTTGATCTTAATTCTTGAAATGCAACCGCAGCCGATCTCAATTTATCCATCAAATGTTCGTTATTAGCTTCCGAATCTGCAAGTTTTTCATTTAAATCGTTGATTTTAACTTCTGTGTCCTTGGTGAAATCATTCAATCTCGAATTAGCCTTTTCAATACGTGATTTGTATTCTTCATTTTCAGCTCTCAATCTTTGAATCTGGGTCTCATATGTCTTCTTGCTTTTATCTAAATCCCCCAGAGAATTTTTCACATCTCGTTCAATCTTTTTCATCTTTGCTTCAGCTTCATCCTTTTGTTTTTTGAGTTGAAACAAGTCTCTAGTCATGTTATTTATTCCATCTTCTAACTTTTTCTTGGCCAGCTCGGTTTCATCTAATTTCGCTTGTAAATGTTTAATCGAATCTTCAGAACTTGAAAGCTTCTTTCGAGCATCTTGTAATTCACGGAAATATTTTTGAGAAGCAACTTCATATTCCTTCTTAGATGATTCCATTGCCGCTAATGTTTCTGAAGTCACAGTGAAATTTTCATTTACAGAGGCATGTTCTTCTCTAGCTTTAATTAATTCAATTTCCATGTTTTGCAATTTATTCTGTAGTTCAGTAATCAAGGCATTCAATTCAGCAATTTTTGAGTTGAGGTCCGCATCATTATCTTTGGCATTTTGCTTCTCTTTTAACAAATCCTGGGTCAACTCGGTCACCTTACCATCCAACTCTTCAAAGAGGTCATATGAGATCTTGGCTCGAGGTTCCGCCAATGGATCATGGAATAAAGCCCTTTTGATCCGAGGGAAATTCTCCTTAATCAATCCAATGTAAATCAGATCAAAATACACATCTGGCAAGCCAGTGTCATCTTTCTTTCCTGAAAACATCAGCAAATCTTCAAATTGCTTAAACTCCAACAGGGTGATAAATTGTTTTATCTTCAATGAATAATTGTCTTTACCCAAGCTTTTATTTACAAGCAGGTACAAATCCATCCTTGACATTGGTGATTTGCTACTTGAGAACTCATATACTGTTCCAATCAAAATTGTTGCCATACCATGAATAATCACATCATTATTCCCATATGAAGTATCACTATTAGACAAAAAGGTCAAAATTGATTTAATATTACTCGAATCACTTAAAAAATCATTCACTGCGTCGAAATCTTCCCAGAGCCAAACTGTCAACAACATGAGATACCCAATTGCAATACGTTGTTGATCAGACTTTTTCTCCAAAGCAGCCACTAATAATCCTGAAATAGCTTGGATGCAAGTCATAACCTCTTCTCCCGATTCTTCATTTCCAGTTTTAACGCCGCGTGCTATTTCTTTGATGTCGTTGACTTCATCAGTTATTAAGCACATTAAGACGAGGGATGCAAACCAAACCTTATATGGATTTAAATGAACCTCTGCATCGTAATCCATTAATGTACGGAAAATGTTACCATACACAGTAGGATTGGAACGAACATTCTCATTATTTTCCACCGGAGGCGCTTCTTCTGGATGATCATGTTGCATTTGCGACTTTTTTTGAAGATTCTCAAAATAATCTGGGATGTTATAGGCGTTGATTTGATCATTTAAAAATGCCTGCTTCGATTCTTTATTATCTTTAAAATATGCTCTTAAACAACACGCAGCTCCCACCCGGATATCAAACGCATGAACTGAATTTATGTACAAACACCAATTAAGCAATGCAAATGGGACAGGAATCAATCCATCATATACGGCTTGGACACTAGGTAATGACGGATCAATATATGGAATATCGAATTGACTAAACTCATACTGAATATTTGGATTTCCACTAATTGCATCAGCAGCAGTTAATAGTGCTATCGATCTTATTCTATTATCCATAACGGGGGAGAATACCAATTTGAGTACCACATAATGAATTCCTTGTTGAAATAAGTTATTTTGATTGGCTACAACTAATTCGTTATCCTCTGAAACCAACAAGCGACATATTTCTAATGCAATTATCATATTTTGTAAACGTTGTTCGGTCCATATTATAGGTGGAGGAAATGGGAACCCATTTTCATCCATACCTTGGTTCTCATCTTGGATTGGAGATTCTTCTATAGGTTCACTTAGCAAAACAGCCAAACGGGAAACACATTTGGTTTCTAAAAAGAATTTCTGATTGGATGCATTAAATTGTAATAAATTGGTAATTAAAGTCAAACAATCTTGAACTAAAATTGATCCTCTAATTCCCCCTTCCTCTTCTATAACATCAAATAACTTTTCAAACGTATTTTCAAATGCGATTAATTTTTGAATATTGAAATTATCATTCGCAAGGGCCATGAGTAACAAGATGGCTTCATTTCTAACCGGTTCATTAGGATCATCTAATAAAGAACACATGGATGACATCGCCGTTGGAATATTCAAGAATGCATCTTTTATTCTGCTACCTCTCGTAGAAACTAATGATTCTAAAAGCTGGATTGTATACAATCGTAAATGATAATCATTTTCTAATAATTGATCAATAAGGACTTTAAGTATTTCTTGATCTTGAGTAAATTCATCAGCAATCCACATAGATAATTGATCAAGTGAAATGTCCTCCATAAGCAATGGTGAAGGATATTTCCCATTTTGGACACGTGATTGTTGTGATATCCATCCGGTAGTATTCATGACAATTTCTGTATGACTATCACCACTTGTTGATTCTTCTCCTCTTATAAATAAAATCAATATTGTTTCTAATATGCTTTTAATTATAGTTGCATTATCGGAATCTCGTTTCATAGTTGCAATCAATGGCCTTAATCCATATTCAGCTACTAACTCACGATATTGTCTACTAAAACTCTTTAAACCAAGAACTGCAGCTCGTCTATCAGCCGACAAAGATCCATGTTGAAGCCTATCGCAAAGGGTAGGGATTGCTTCTTCCACCAGCTGGGCTTGATTCAGCTGACCAAGAATGTTGTTGATGTAACCCATGGATTTCTTGTTGTTGAGATCGTGTCACTGTCGTATGTGATTGTGGATTGTCAACACCGTGTTGATTGTGTTGGTTGTAAAAAAAATACCGTTTTCTGTCGTTGAAGCCAACAGATGTCGTGAAAATTTCATTCGACGCGACGTTGACGTCTGAGACGCGACAAGCAACGGTGAAAGCCAAGGGATGGTAATTTGAAAGTTTTCTGTCCCTGTTTAGCCAGTACTATGTATGTTTTGATGTTCAACGTGTAGATGTTCCCAAAAGTATCTCCTTCCTATTTGAGAAATGGTTATAATATCAATTCTCTCTCAAGATTCACTATCCAAGATGAAGATAATATGCAGGAAATTTTAATTTTCTATTGTTCAAAGCAACTTGACTTTTTTCTTCTTAAGCACTGGTTCCAACCACGGGAGTACTCAAACCCCAATCTGAGTATACTCCAGTTCCTATATTATTCCTTATTTTCCCGGGATATTTCAATTTGTATTCACTCATATTTTTTACTGAAGGGATTAGCCCAACAGATTATAACTTACTATTTATACTACTGGCTGTACTCCAAAGAACGTATGTCAGCTTCACCTACAACACTCGAGAATCTATCAGCCGAATCAGAGTACGCTCTTAATCCTGAGTATCGTTATTCAGTTTACATAAACCCAAGGCCAGATCCAGAATCTAATATAGTTTTTCGGACACTTCCACCCGATTTCTGTAGGTATGAATTTTATGACCTTTCAAAAGATCAGTGTATAAAGGAATTTACTACAAAAATAATCATTGGTCAGCATTTTAGTTATCGATCCGAAATTAATGATCCAAAATTTTTTGAGGATTTTCGACAACTATTTGTTTTGCGTATTCTCCCAGATTGGCTCGCAAAGGTTTTCCAACTACCTAAATTAGGTGGATCTGACTATACCATAATAAGGGATTGGTTACGTTTTTTCGAAAAGCTTACAACCGATTTCGGATTTGAAGAGTTTTTGATTAGTCCCGATACCTTTGATTGCCGTCGAGTTGATCATGGCGTTAGTTACACAGAATGTCAAACACCGATGAGAGCCTCATACATGATTGACATCATTTGCATGGCGGTTGTTCAGTGTATGAAAGTAAAAGAGTTGCTTCCTGAAGAAATATATCCATCAGATGGACCAGTGACCTTTTTACATGTTTGGCATTATATTGTTCGTAATAAGGGGTGGGCACTGGAGCAATATCTAGCTGTGGTAAGAAAGAAAACTGCCAAACAAAGAAAGCGTATGCGTATAAAGAGGAGAGCTAGGAGAAAATGGTATTTTCCAGAAACTAGTGGCAAGAGATCCCGAAACTAACTGTTGAAGAAGAAGAATTGAGAAAGAATAATCCGAGGTCACATTTATATCGAACAAGAGACTATAGGGGACGAGCAGTCAACAATGCTACTTTCTACTTTTCCTGGAACATTGTGTGAGGTTGCAAAAGTAGGGGGATGATCGTTGTTTAACTTCATTGCATTAGGTAGGATTCTCCTTGACAATCAAATTACTATAAGCCCAGGTCCCGGTTCTGTCAAACATTTTAAATGTAAATTTAAGCTTCATAGAACAACGGCGCCAACTGGGTTTCTTTATTAGACGAGAAAAACAATCAAAAAACACATAGTTAAGTTAAGAATGGTGACATTTAGCAAATAGAATATCCAAATGATTTATGCAAATTAGGTAAACGCGGCGCGTCCTACAGGCGATATGCAGGAAATTTGATGTTTTTTTTGGCAACCAAAAATACCAAACCAAAAATCAAAACAAAATTATCAACCTCAATTCCTTCTTCAGGACAAATTGCAGAGGAGTAGTCAAATACCGATCTGAGATTATTGGAGATCCTCTATTATTTACTAGTTACTATCCCAAGGTACGGCAAATTTGTATAAACTCATATATTTTACTGAATCTAATTACAGATCATAACATATCTGTATAAACAACTTATCATACAACTAAGATATATGCCACCTACAGCAACCGAGAGTGGGTCTTCCAGCTCAAATCCAACTATAAATTCTGTGTATCCATATTCTGTAGACATAAACCCTAGACCAGATCCTGAATCCAATATAGTTTTCCGGACAATCCCACCACTTATATGCCGATATGTAATTCATAACCTTTCAAAAGAACAATACTTAAAGGAATTCACGACGAAAGTAGTCATTGGTCTGGATTTTGATTATGAAGCTGAAATTAATGATTCAGAGTTTTTTGAAGAAGTGCATGATGAAGTAGAAGAGAATATCCAGGATTGGCTATTATTGGTTAGTAAATTACCTAAATTAGGTACATCTAGATATACCATTATAATGAACTGGTTGAGTTTTTTCAAACGTCTTGGGACTTATTTCGGATTTACGGAGTATTTTTCTAATCGTGACACATTTGATTGTCGCAGAGTTGATCATGGTGATAGTTACAGGCAATGTGCAACCCCGAGAACAGCATACATGATTGAATTAGTTTGCAGTGCTGCTGTTGTGGTTCTGCTTTTCGAAAAGTTAATTCCCGAAGAAGTACATCCATCAGAAGGAGAAGTTACTATATTAGATATTTGGAATTATGTTGCAAGTCATGAAGAATGGGCAGAGGAGCGAGCTCTTGCTGCGGAACAAAGAAAATCTGCAAAACAAAAAAAAGCTGGCAAGCCAGCGAAGAGCAAGCCTGTAAAGAAGGCAGCTAAAAGTACTTGGCTATTTGTACAAAAACCGACTAAGATATCCAAGAAGGCATCATCAACGACCAAAGGAAAAGGTCCTAAATAAGGCAACGAATTTAGTATACCCTAGAAGATCTAGAAGAAGCCAATTCAAAATTGTTTTATTTTCGTCTCCTCGACTTCCTATATTCATATTTTGTACTATGCTTCCTTTTCACTCTCCCTCATCTATATAGCCATCGAATTGCTGCTCATATAATGTTTGTATGTTATTGTTTTCATCCTCTAATTTTATACCTATTTATTATATTGCTATGTGTTCTTTTGTACAAGACCCACAATCAAAAAAAAAGACTAATAAATTCATAAATAAAGATAAAGAGCTCGAAAACCAATGACGTCAATCAAAAATGATTTTATTCAATATTGCTTACATTGCAAGTTTGAGTTATATTTGGTTTCCCGTGGAATACAATTTAAACTTTCATATCTGGACGCCTTATAATTGTGCCGAATATTTGCCCCCAGGTAATTGATGACTATTTACTTTTGGGTATGACTGAAGAGATGACTTTTTGTAGTGACTGCAAAATTTCCGTATGCACCCGATTAAAGATGATAGCAAATTTACAAAAAAATAAAACGTTTTTCAATTTTTTGACAATACAACCGAAATTTAAAACCACAACCCAAAAGAGGCATCAGGCGATGGACCAAGCAACAACCAAAGAATTCATCACTGATATCTGTAACCAACTCCGTTTATTATTGTGGTAAACTTGCTCTAGCTTTTGATAAAATGTCAATTAATTCAAAAATCTGTCAAAAAAGCTGTCACTTCGCTTTTTTTAAGTCTGAAATCGCAAGGCAAAGCTGCATGAGGTCACCCAAACCCGATTTTGTCATTTTTTGGTTTATCTCTGATTGGTTTCGTTTACGATATCCAAGCAAAAATAGAAGAGACGAGTCATGTCATTTGAAAATGGAATGATCATCGAGGATGACGACTATAAAAGCCGTTAAGGAAAAAGAAATTAGGCAAATAATTTTTTGTCTCGTCAAACAGAAATTTATCGAGAGAAGTGAAAAGAAAGGATCGTATTAGTATGACATATTATTGCTTTTAGTTTGCCATGTGACAAACTAAATAAGATAAATTAACGCGGATATGGGTTTTCAAAGTATATGGCTTTCAGTGTATTGGGAGTTTTGATTTTTAGAATATTGGGGTTTGTGGAAAGATTCGGAGTTGTTTTACCACTTCTGTAATACGGTTGAGTGAAATGTGCCTTGTGCTATTTTTGTCACCATCGTCCAAAATACCAAAAAAATATCGAGAATTAGTAATAAAATGCACAAACTAGATTCTTGGAGGATTTACTAATTGTCTGTATCTTCTAGACTAGCTCTGACGACGATGCAGTTTAAATTATTTTCTTAGTGTCGTTCCAGCATCTCTATCTGTCGAGTATCTCCCAATACTGTGACAAGAGTCGTGAAACGTTCTATGACAAGCAAAAGGGTCCCCGGAAACAATACAATATTAGTACATCTACTGTTTTGTCTTGTTAAAGAATAACAATAGAATGAACAATGTGTAATGGTGCCTAGTTAGTTACCATATGAAGTTTTGTGTATCAAATGCCTTATTGTTTCTCCTATTTTAATCGTAAATATTATTTTTTTTTCGTTTGACAGTACTAAAGTCTACATTATCTCGATAACCACCTTCCCCCTAAAATTAGAAAGGATTAGTGGGGTATACCACACACATTTCGAGAATGAAATATGCTATAGGGGTAGTTTAAATACCACGTTATTTATTTAATGGGCTAAACTACATACGTTTTTTGGGTTTGTCACAACCGAATATGTTGCGTCAGAAAAGCAATTGTTGTGGTTTGTACCCGGCTTAGACCTCTTTCTCTCTATTGTTATTCTTGTTGTCATTGGATAAGACTGATCATTGTGTTAATAATGATGATGTAATCATATACTATCATCCCTTTCCGGATAAGAATCGGTACAATTATGCTAGGTTCATATAAAAATAGAATTTAAAGGTTTTACTTGTGTTCCTATTTGTAATCTTCATTTTACTCCACAGAAATAAAAAAAAATAATTTTAAATTTAAAAGCAAATTTATTTTTTGAATGCCGATAACTATCCTTTTTAGTTTGTTACATTTTCCTTTCTGAAAAATATTAAGAATATATAAAAAGGAATTTGAATCCTCGTTTCCAACTTCTTCTGGCCATTCTCTCTTTTCTGTTTCTCTCTTGATGTTTCTTTAGATATTGGTTTATCCATTATGGAGTTGTTATATATAGTCAAAGCGTTATTTAATGGTAGTAATAGTACATCTACTACACCTCAACAACTGAAAGGTAAAATAATAACGGGGAAACCTCAAGATTTATCACCTCACGTGTTTAACGATATCATAATTATAAAACAGCAGTTGAAACAATATGATAACCAATTTTATAATAAGTTATTTAAATTATTAGAAGCAAATCATTCAAAAGATCTTAAAGCTCTTCGAAGGAAATACAATAGATATACATCTACTCCACATGCTTCCACAGATATTGCACAATATCAATTAGAATTATTCAGATTATACAAATCACATTTGGACGATTATATCAATCTTTTAAACTTCTATAAGAATAACTATCACAATTCATTATATCATTCAAATAAACAACTATTAAGTCTAGCTGCTAATATGGAAATAGACGACGATGAAGCCCCAGATCATTTATTAGACCCCATTTCATTCAATCTCTTCCAAGATCCAGTTGTCACTCCTAGTGGTATTACATATGAGAAATGTCATTTGGTTAAGCATTTGAGACAAAAGGGAAATTATGATCCTTTGAGTAGACAACCATTGTTTGAAAATGAATTATATCCTAATTTGATCATTAAAGAAGGTGTAGAGCATTTTAAACAACTGCGTAGTAATGCTAGATGTGAAGTAGCCAAATAAGAGAGTGACTTGACTTGATTTCAAGATTTAGGTAGAAAGAATAAGTCAAGTTTAGCTTGTCGATATTTGTAAAGATAAAAAAGGCTTATTGATAGAATTAGTTTGATTGCTTTTCAAAGGTTGATTTTTAACTGATGATAACGAATGTATATGGTCCTTTTCGCTTCTGTATATGAAATCTATATAGATTGTGTGTATTTATTATTCAAATAAAAAGTTATGAATTTGATTCTATTAATTGAGGGCACGATGATAGAACAGCCAACCACTTTCGGTGCCGATATGGTCTAAAAGTCCCCTCAAAATTAGAGTGGCTTTTTAACATCCATAATGTCATATATTAAATAAAGTTTATGAATGGACCGACCTGGAGTTTCATTTAAGCCTCTAGCGAATCATTCTACATTCGGACCCTTTTGACTGTCATTCTCCACAATATGTTCGAATAGGCAGATTGAAGTCACTTGCCGCCTAATGACTATTTTGCAACCAATCTGTTCTAAACGACATTTTCCAAGTTCACGACATATATAAATGTGACACACGAAGTTCCTTTCAAGGTAGATACAGATATGCGAGACCATTTCACCAACTGCAAATACAAAAACCATCTGTAAGGCAGATGATATATTAGTAGAGATACTAGTAACATTAGTGTTAGAAGTGTATGCCCCAACCGTAATTATGGACAGTCAAGAGTTCCATTTTCCCCGGAGGTGCTCCGTCGTCATCTGGTAAAGAATAAAATATTCATACAACTTGATGTTACTTATCCTAAACAATCTCTAACTTTCTTTATCTTATTAGTAGCCACCTCCAATTAAATAAGCTGGAACGACCCACTGGTTTGCATTCTAGTATGTTGCAGCCATCTTAGAAATAACTTCCCTGCCCTACATTTATAAAACGACATTTACAAAATGTCGTGCACAAAACTTTTTTTTCATCGCTGGCCAAAATCTCATCGCAATTTATTCACCAAATAGATCAGATTTGTTGTAAAAAGGTACCAATTAAAACCCAAGGAGCAATGAAGAATTTAATTGTACTAAATAGGGGTCATATAACTCCAGAATCAAGAACATACCCAGACCTTCACATCATAGACGCTGTATTTGACACAGTCTCAGATTCAATCACATTTGTCCTTTCATCACCAGAATCACAAATTATTGAAGTTCAACAATTTCATAAAGATGGATCTATTGAAGTTTTAGCCAGTTTCCCAATCTCTTCGGAAACTTTCCCTGAATCTCAAGAGAATAAATTATTGAAATTTGTGCATTTTGTTGAAACTTGTCAATTAGTGTTTGTTTTCTCCCATGGAGATATAATTGTTGGAACTTATGATCTAAGCAGTGGAGATTATGAAAATACAATGATTGAGATTGTTGGGTCGATAGATATAGGAATATTAGCTGCTAATTGGTCAACTGATGAAGAAAGTTTGGCAATTGTAACTAGTGAATATAAATTATTAGTCTTGTCTCGATTATTTGAACCAATTGTGGAAAAAACATTAGATCCAAATGATATTAAGATTACTGATTCAAAACATGTTTCAGTGGGTTGGGGGAAGAAAGAGACCCAATTTAAGGGAAGAGGATTCAAAGCTAGAGAACGTGAAGCATTAAAACATGCCGGATTGAAAGATGATGACGAAGTATTGCATGATCCCACTGTTAATGAGATTGAACGTGGGGTTATTTCACCCATGGATAATGGATTAGTGAAGATTAGTTGGAGAGGAGATTCAGAATATTTTTCGGTCCTGACTATTGAAGCGGTATTGGTTGAGGATACTGGAGAAATGTATGATCGTAGAGTTATTAGAGTGTTTGATCGTCAAGGGGAATTACAAAGTGTTAACGAGGCAGTTGATGGATTGGAACATAATTTGAGTTGGAAACCCCAAGGAGCATTGATTGCATCTACACAACGTCATGAAGATGACGAGGATGGTGAACCGGTGCTTGATTTGGTTTTCTATGAAAAGAATGGGTTGAGACATGGACAATTCAATACTAGGTTAAACCCAGACGTAGAAGTTATTGAAGACTTGATTTGGTCATGTGACAGTGAAGTGTTGTTGTTTCAATTGAAAGATAGGGTTCAATTATGGACAAGTAAAAATTATCATTGGTATTTAAAACAAGAATTATTTGGTGATTCAATTACATTTGTCAAATTACATCCTGAAAAGCCATTAAATGTTATGATTGGATCTAACAGCGAGATTCAAATTATTGATTTATCTTCGAAAATAGTAAGGGGTCCAACACAATTAGGAAACGATATCGGGATGACTTTAGTCACTGATGGAAGCACAGCTAAGATCACTCCACTTTCAATAGCCAACGTGCCACCACCAATCAGTTTCAGAGAATTAGATATCCCAGGCAATATCACTGATTTGGCAATCAGTAAATCCAATGAGAAGTATGCTATCATCTCCAGTGAAAATGACGTTTATTTCAGTCAATTATCCATTGCAGACATGAAAAAGGGAAAACACCCTCAAATTATAAGTAAAATTTCCAGTGAGACATATATTCATTCATCACATGAAGTTGCAAAACAAGTTGCATTTATCCAAGATTCTTTCGTAGCAATTGCCGTAGATGCACCAATGTATTCCCGAGTCGTATTGTTTGATATTGAAGATATTACCAAACCTTCAATGAATGAATCAATTGACGTTGCGCCTAAGGTAATCTTATTGAAGAGTAGGTCTGATTTTGAAACTGTGATCATCGAGACTGTTGATGGGAAAGTTGTTCAATTGGATTCAAGATCGGATATTACTGAAGTAGCTAGATTTCCTCAGTTATGTCGTGAATTAGAAGTGACTATTTCTGAAGAGGGCGAAATGAAAGCATTTGGTATTTCTAGAAATGGGAAGTTGTTTTCTGGCGATGTTCAGGTTGCTAATGGAGTGACATCTATTGCTATTAGTGAATCACATTTGATGTTTACTTCTGTATCTTCAAAATTGTGTTTTATTCATTTGAATTCAACAGAAGAGAATTATGAAGTCTTCCAGAATCTATCTAATGAGAATATTGTCGATGAAAGAATTAGACAGATTGAAAGAGGTTCAATTATTGTCAATACTATGCCTACAAAATATTCGGTGGTGTTGGAGGCTCCTCGTGGGAATTTAGAAACTATTTGTCCTCGAATTATGGTTCTTTCTGCAATTAGAAAATTCATTAAGCTGAAAAATTATCATGATGCATTTGTTACTTGTCGTACTCATAGAATAGATTTAGATATTTTACATGATTATGATCCAGAATTGTTTTTTAATAATCTTGAATTGTTTGTTAAACAAATTAACAAGGTTGAGTATTTAGATTTGTTTGTTTCTTGCTTACATGAAGAAGATGCCACATTGACTAAGTATAAGGATACAATTGCCGATGGGGTAGCACAAATGGCGATCCAAGATCAACAACAGCAACCAGAGGATCATGCACTCAGTGTGAAGAAAATCATCAAGAATAAACCCGAAGAACACGTTAAGGAATTCAAAGATTCTAAAATCAATAGAATTTGTGAAGGTATTTTGTCTGTATTATTAAAACCAGAATATTTTGACAAATATTTGCAAACAATTCTTACTGCATATGCATGTGAGAAACCACCCAATTTGAAAGAAGCATTAGTTTTGATTGGAAATATGCCCGATCGTGAACAAGTGGAATCTGCCGTTACTCATTTATGTTTCTTACAAGATGTAAACAAATTATACAAGACTTGCTTGGGGTTATATGATGTTAAGCTAACTTTGGCAATTGCTCAACAATCTCCACAAATGGATCCAAAAGAATATTTACCATTCTTACAAAATTTACATATCCAACCAGAATTAAATAAGAAGTTCTTGATTGATGATTATTTGAAGAATTATGAATTGGCTTTACAATGGTTATTTGAACAAGGCGAAGAAGTATATGACAAATTTGATGAATATGTCGTTTTGCATGAGTTGTATAAACCAGCATTAAAGATTTACAATTATGATAAACGCAGACATAATGATATATTGAAATTGTTTGGAGAATACTTGCAAACTAAACAAGAATACTCCGAAGCTGGATTGATTTTTGAATATTTGTATGATTATGAAACTGCATTGGAGAATTATATCTTGGCTAAGAAATGGAAATTGGCATTAGCATTGGTTGAAAAAGGCTCAGATAATTCTAAATTAATAGATTCAGCTGATAGATTAGTGAATTCTTTAGTTGCTGATCATAAATACAGTGATGCCGCTGAAATTGAATATCATTTCTTAGGACATGTGGATGAGGCAATCAGATTGTATTGTAAGAATTATTGGTATGATCATGCAGTCATGTTAGCTTACAAGACCAATAGTGCGGCCATGATTGAATCAATTGTGGATGTTCAATTAGGAGAAGGGTTTGGTACTATTGCTGAATTATTAGCTGATTGTAAGGGGCAAATGAATTCCCAATTACGTAGACTTCGTGAATTAAGGGCCAAAAAACAAGAAGATCCTTATTCATTCTATGGAATTCCTAATGATAGTGAATTGGACACTCCTGATAATGTTTCTGTTGCTGCTAGTGAAACTTCAACCACACCTTCTTTTTTCACGAGGTATACTGGTAAGACCTCAGGTACTGCCAAGACGGGTGCCAGTAGAAGAACAACCAAGAATAGAAAGAGAGAAGAGAGAAAGAGGGCTAAAGGTAGAAAGGGAACTATTTACGAAGAAGAATACCTTATCAAATCTGTTGGGAGATTATTGGAGAGATTGGATCAAACACAACCAGATGCAACTAGATTGATTGAAGGGTTGATAAGAAGACAAATGAAGGAACAAGCATATCAAATCCAAAAGAATTGGATGGAATTGATTGACTTTATAAAAGACAATATTGATGAAATTCATAATATGAGTGAAAAAGATCGTGAAAGAATTGATGATAATGGAGATGTTTATTTGATTGATGAGATTCCAAAACCAAAAGTTAATGAATTCCCTAAATTTAATATTTTGGATTATTAAGTTGGGTATGTGTATCTATATCTATGTATTTCTATTTATATAATATCTCATTAGTTATTGTAATTGATATTCAAGACATAAATTTCGTAGACTTAGAATTGCATTTTTATTACCATCAGTAATTGCTTGTTTACGACATTTATTATAACACATCGGTTTAGATGGTAAATTGGTAGCTTGTCCCATTCCATATTCATCTCTATACGTACCATCTTTTAGTATTATTCTAACATGTGCTAAACATTTAGCAGAATAAGTTGATGTTTCTTGATTAAAATTACAATCTAACATTTCACAAGAAAGAATATTTGAACACCATCCATTGAATCCAAACACTTCATTGGCCAATTTATAAAATATACTTGATGACAAGCCGACAAGATTTTCACGTCTCCTACCACTTCCATAGCGTAAGGAATCGCGCGAAGTTTGGATTGCTTCGAGACGCGACTGTAGTGTCCCAATCTTCATTAATGCCCAATCACTACGAATCGCGTTTTCATCATCATCACCATCTGCATGGACATCTTCATCGGATAAAAATTGAGACATATCTGGAAAGAATTCTACAGATGATGATAAATTATTGCCTTCGTTATCAACATCACCATACTTAGAATCATAGTTGAATGCCATTTAAACCAAGTCCCATCATCCAACTGGTGGATTGAGTTAATTAGCTAGCTAGAAGAAAAAGACAGGCCAAAAAAAAGCGCGCACACTTTCCGTTTGTCACGACAAATGGTGTCTCCTTTTCATTAGATGAAGGAGTCAAAAGATTGAAAAGGACACTAATTGTTATAAATTCACAAATACAACAAATAATGAGCAAATCCCCAACGCGTGAACTTGATATACTACCTGGAGGTGCTATGTCAGGATATAAAGATGAGTGAAGATCAAACCAAATCAATGACGATAATTAACATCATCAAGAAGATCATCCAGGCAGTCGTGCAAAGACCAAAAATTAGACTATTCACTGGGTACCACTAGATTCTACTTATAGAACAAAAGAGTGATATAAAGTATATCATTGTAAACCTCTAACTCTAGCGAGTCAGGACCTATGTTTATATTCTTGAATAGCCAGATCCCGAATATATTGGATACTTGGTTCTATATCAACCCTTTATGCATGGTAATTCGAAGTTTGATGGAATCTGTTCAATATTGTGTCTTCTGGAACATGCAATGAGATTCCACGAATTCTCACTATATTCGAACAATCTTACTACTTTTAGTGTTGGTACCAATTATGTTCCACCCAGGGGTGGACGACTTCGTTCGATTGCAATTCAAATCATTCAACGTGTTATTTAACAAGGTAATAATGGTGATTTATTGTACCAACTTGCTTGTCCACTTTAGCATTACTTTCCTCGATTAAATAGACACCCACACTTTGAGTCCAACAAGATTTTCCAATTTCTGTTTTAGTTATTCATTTCTTTGGTTACATCGGAACTCTCGACCGTTCCAATCATCTTGTTGAAATAAATAAGTTACGAAGCGAATACTTAATGAACAAAGAAATAGAGCACGTGATAACAACACAGGGTAACACTCTTCTGAATACTAGACTGCACATCAAAATCAAAGTGAATAACGTCCATTAAATTGAACTATTTATAGTCTTACATGGTTAAGGAAGGTAATTAACACATTTAGTGAAGAAAGTTTTATCATATCGATTATACAAGTAAATTATATTAAGCACTCATCTCAACTTACTGGCAGTGTTCCTGCTCTCGAATTTTAATATGATTACAATAATTGGGCTGCAAATTACACATCTTCAATTCGGTTCCATTTCAATCTAAAACAAATTTATACAATGAATCCTACCAAATAAAGACTATGCCTTGAACTTGCCGAGAATCGGGTCGCCATATCGTAACCAGAGTCATGAAGTTTTACTAAAGAGAAGTTCTTGTTTAAAAATATTAAAATTATAAAATTTAAGAATTGAATAAATAAATAGCAATCTATTGCTTAAATCCCCTACCATTTTAACCTTCCCTCTCATCAATAAAGAACTATTTTCATATCCGTAGAATCGATATAGTCTTTCTTCGGATGTCAATACCATTGTTTGAACAAGACTAAAATAGAGACAAGCATTTGACTTCCCAAGCCACAAAACCACTGGCTGATCGACAATACTTAGCATAATCTTCCTTGTGGTTCACAGGTTTCATATTTGCTCTCTTGCAGCATGAAAATGCATTGGGATGGAAAATTCTTTTGTTTTCACTTTTGGAATTATCAGTTGGAAAGTCAGAATAGGCAGGGATTACCCTGAATGGAACACCCTGAAAGGCCGTTCCATGGACTTTTTGTGCAATTCTGATATTGTTTAGGATGGCTCTGTCTAAAGCATCTTTTGGAATATATTGTATGTCGTCTTCGTTTGTACTTAAAGTAGATTCTTTCAAAGGTGGGCTGATATACATATATCTGGATGATTTGTTTTCTTTACAACGTTTGATTCTCAATGCATGGATAAGACGTTTGGCTTTGTTGTAAGTATTAGATCTGTATGAAGTGAAGTTTTCTCTAGGAAACGTAAGTTCCTCTTCTTCTTTGTCCTCGTTCTGCATGGAAACCCATTTTCTATATATATTAGCAGTAGGAGGAGTAGTGGCAGTTGTAGCAGCAGGAGAAGGATCAGTAATGGTTGTAGGAGTAGCTGATTTTAAATCTACTTTAAAATTTCCGCAATCTAATGAAACGTCTCTTGACAAGACCCTGGACATATTTGTGATTTCATTGTCTCTATTGATTTTCAGCAGTTCCAAATGCCTCCTGGTTCTGGTGGAATCCAATTTATATTTGCTATTTTTAGCATAAGTAGGCATTTCATCAAATCGACCTTCATCTGCCAACCACATGGTGTCTATTTGGTTCCAGAGACGTACAGTTCTGGTCAAACAACCTTCTCCTGACGAGATCTTTTCTCTAGATAATTTAATTTGATGTTTTTCTTTGTCCTTGGTATCTATGTAAAACAATTTTCTATTGTCAATAACAACAGGAGAAGTAGGAATAGTAACAGGCCTATCAACAGTAGCGGTAAACACAGTTGGGGATTTGAGATCATTTGATGAATCCTGGGTTGTTTTCTTTTCCATTTGCTTGGAGATGATAGCATATTCTTCTTCATCGGACACAATTCTGTCGTTTCTAACAGAATGTGACTCGGCTTGAGGAGGTTTGGAATGGTTGTTGGAATTAGCAGGAACGACTTCGGAATAATTTGATGGTTGTGTAGAATAAATCGAACTTTGTGGTTCTGAGGTTGGTTTTTGGTGAATCTCTTGGCTAATTTTCCTCGCACCAGCTTGGAGCTTGTGGAATAAACCACGAACGTATTGTTTCTTTATTGGTTCGTCGAGATCATAAAACTCTGGAATGTTCAATAATTTGGCTTTTTGATTGTTCGATTTGTGGAATTTGGCTGAGAGCTTTGTGAACATAATTGGTTTATGAATTGTTTGTAATAAAGTGAAAAAGAAAGGAGTACAAATAAATAAATTCTGTGTTTTTTTTGCAATTGAGAATTTATACTTCCAAAAGTTGCAACCATTTTTTTTCGCCTAAGAATATTTTATGAATCAGTTTCTTACACGTGATGCGTAGAACTAGAACGCAAACTGTAGCTTGCTTCTTCTTCCCTACGTCAATCCATTAAGTGGGGCGATCTTGATTGGATATTTACCAGTATTAGTCTCTAATAAGCAACATATGATTCAGATAGATCATCCAAAGTTACATCAAGGATCTGTAAATTCTCACGGAATTATACTCTATGACAGTTTTTGTATTTGTTCAACCCTTTCAAAGTTGCGAGAGAAATAGTCAATCTATAAATTCTAAGATCTACTTTTGGTTATCACTATTTATCCCCTCCTTTGTCCAAGTCTATCATTTAACTAAATGATACCCTGTTCCCAGTAGTTTGAACGATTCTATTCTCTCTGAAGTTATGAGTATTACCCAAAAACTAAATTCAAAGTATGTCTGAGTTGGTGGGGGGGGGGTGTCAATGAGGCAATGTTCCAAAAGAAATGGGCCTATTCGTTGAAAAAGTTGCTTGCAAGAGTCCATTCTTTTATTTGTCTAAAGTTAAACCTCGCCTACAACTCTCTTTAGATTACACGTGGTAGCGCTGCACGGGCCAGTAAACGATTCTCTCTTAGTGTAGCCTGGAACCTTTTGTTGAGATAAATAATATGAAGCCAATGCTTTAGAAATAGAACGTGGTAGCAAAGTCGGTTAACACCCTTCTGAATACTGAAATCTGGATAACGTCCCTAAAGTTGAACTATTCTTAGTCTCATATAGTCAAGGAAAGCAATTAATACAATAACTGAACAAGATCATACATAAACTATACGATTATACTTGCAAATTATATAATCACACATTTCGACTTATTTGCCGCCCATCTAGAGGCTGGTCTCGAGAACCATCCCCAGTTGTGTCTCGCAGAATGGTGGCATATATATGACCTTCCTTGGATGATTCTTTCTCAACGGTGGAGTTTTGTCGGTCTCTTACCACCGGTTTCTCGAACGAACCATTTTCTTTTAGCCCTCCTCTTTTTACCCATACGTTTTAGGTCTTCTTGCCGAAAGAAAGCAACGAGTCGCTTTATAAAGAAGTCCCGGGTGAGGAATAATGGAGCAATATAGTTCCAAACATGGCATAGTGTTAATTGTCCTTCTGTTGGATATAGCTCTTCAGCAATCAAGTCATACTCAATCATGTAGTCAACAATCAAAGAACAAATGGAGTCAATATAGAACGAGGTTCTCATTGGCGTTTCTCCTTGTAAGTTATACACGTGATGATCAAGTCTACGACAATCAAATGTATCAGGGCTAGCTAAATACTCGTCGATACCCCGGTAGTAAGACGTAAAGTATTCTAAAAATCTTTTCCAACTTACTATTATAGTATAATCAACTTCGCCTAATCTGGGTAATTGAACAGCTAGAAATCCCCATTTCTCGAAATTATCATTGAAACTTTCACTGTGATTTCTAAAAAATTCTGGATCGTTAATTTCACTTAGATAATCAAAATTCCGGCCAAGGGCTATCTTGGTCCTGTATTCGTTTATATATTGTTCTTTTGAAAATTGAGTAACCTTGCCATAGTAGTCATATGGTGCCAGTGTCCGAAACACTATATTAGATTCGGGGTCTGGACTTGGGTTTATATACACTGAAAACGGATAATCTGGATTTATTGGGGTACGTAACCCGCTCTCGGGTCTTGTAAGTTTCTTGCCAACAATATAGCCCCAAACGTGACATAAAGTTAATGGTCCCTCTGGTGGATATGTTTCTTCTGGGATTAGCTCTTTCTTAACCATGTGGCGAAGAACCGCCTTACAAACGAAATCAATCATGATACTACAAGAGTACCCGCAAAGAGGGAGATTCATTAGCTGTATTACTAGTTGAGAGCGACAATCAAATGTATAGGGCCCATCTAAATACTCGTCGATTCCTTTGTAGAACGATTTAAAGTTTTCGAAAAATGTTTTCCAGCTTTCTATTACACTATCACTATCTTTGTCTAACTTAGATAATTTGTCAATATTTGATATCCAATCGTAAATACGATAATAGCCTAGCCGGAATACAAAAAAATTTGGATCATTAATTGCACTTACATAATCAAAATTCTGACCAATTTCTATCTTCGTCGTATATTCTTTTATATATTGCTCTTTTGAAATTTTCGTGGTCTCATACATATACTCATATGATGGTTGTGTTCGAAACCTTATCCTAGATTCAATATGCGGTCTTGTCTGTATGTAAACTGAATAAGGATAATTAGGATTTAGCCTGGGATCTGTTAGAGAAGGTAGCATAATTTTTATGGAATACGACAAGTTATTTGTATAGTTAAGCTATAATCTCTTCAGTTTTTTTTTTCTGAATACAGAATAATAATGGATGGACGATTTGAATAGAATCAGGGTGAATGTGAAACTTATCTCGTATGGAACCCTATCTTCAACAGTCTTTTGTTATGGTGACCAAAAAATAAATTATATAATTAAATTTCCTGCATATTGTTTATCGTTTCAATAGCGCAAATCTCTTCTGTGAACAACACATTTACAAATTGCATATTTAAAAATTAGTAGGAAGTTACATTCTCCGTTGGAAGTCACTTTTCTGAGCATGAAGTTAGTGTGGTCTACTTTTCTAGGTTCATAGTATGGAATTTTGGTGTAAAAATCCGTTTGCGCTCCCACCTACAATCCAGTCTACAAAAATTTACTCTACATTTCAAATCTTTAAAAGAAGCCAAACCATATTTATTGAAATATATTTATAAAGAAAAACTCTACTTAATTCAACGAAGTCAAATAACGATCAACTTGTTACTTTTAACAACCTTACATAATGTTGGTCCTTCGCATTTTGAATCGTAATGATGGACCAGAGGTGGTGGTAGGGGTCAACACTCTTGCAGCATCGTCAGTCTTAGATTTTTGAGCCTTAGCGTTAGTGTTTTGAGCAGCCATTGTAAATTTGTTGGTTTTGTTAGTGAAGAAAGAAAGAAAGAAAGAATAAAACATTCCAATTTGAAGAGAGTTTGAAGCCCCTTTTATAGTCGTCAGAAATGAGTTCCACGAATGTTCCAAACTATAGATTCCCAACAGTGTAATTTTTGACACCGTGTTAGACCTCGGACATTCCGTCTTTCCTGGTAATAAATCAAGTTGAAACATTGTCATCTTCTTGCAGACTAACTCACCTTGTTTTAAATAGATTGACCGTTTTTTCCTAATCTGGATTCGACAATGGCTGCAAAAAAAGAGAACGAATTAGGTCTCGGATATTCCGTCTTTCCTGGTAATAAATAAAGTAGAAACATTGTCAATTGTGTCATCTTGTTGCAAACTAACTCACCTTGTTTTAAAAAGATTGACCGTTTTTTCCTAATCTGGATTTGGCAATGGCTGCAAAAAAAAAGTATTTGAAACAATTTAAAGTGTCAATTTTTCACTCTAAAGTTTTGCAGTCTTTGCGGGGCCCCGCCTTTCCATTTTTTGAAAAAAATTCATGCTGGATCACCTGTTCATGAATTCGAACTGTAAGTATAATAAGGTACTTACTTTAAACATTTGAAGAGTTTTCTTTCTGTATGAGAGCTTACCCACATTTTGCCACATCCATGAGAACTATTTTTTTTCCAATCTCGTCTTTCCAACACTCCTACTAGTTTGGGAATAGATGTATCATGCAGAAATAGTAACTGTCGAATCCTGGTACCGCAACCAAGGGTAAATATTTCCTTATAAGGAATTGGCAATGGTTGTGTTGAAACCCTAATCAAGTTTCAGTCATGCGTGAGTACCTTCCGATGAGAGTTTCCTATTCTACTCCGCAGCGTATTTCTGTTTTATAATATTTGCATTGGTTTCATATGCCATGGCACTGTGGCTTTCAAACATTTTGGGAAGCACTGGAGCTGTAGTTGAAAAACCGGATATAACATTAGATGGCATTACTTTCCCATATACCTCCCGAACGCAGCTCTCGCTTAACCTCGTGTAGTGCTCTCCACCAGTTGCATTGCTTGGTTGTTTAACCTAGAGCAGTCCAGAGTTATATTTTATCTACAAGTTATTCTAATTAATAATTATTAAAAGTAACATACTAAAATATCTTATTCATATAAAATTCATATATAATTTAATCAATAAAGATAAACAACGATTATCTTCTTACTTACATATATCTTACATAATGTTACAGGAAGCGTAAAACTTAGCATTACTACCTGGTCTCCACCACCATCCCCAGTTGTCTCTTGCAGCATCGTCAGTCTTAGATTTTTGAGCCTTAGCGTTAGTGTTTTGAGCAGCCATTGTAAATTTGTTTGTTTTTGTTAGTGAAGAAAGAATCTTATTTTAGCTTAGTTAACTTTCCTTTAGGTTCCAGGAAAATATCAACCTTTTGATGACGTTGGAAACCAAGCAGATTTTCAAACTCATAAATTCAACAACGTTAACAGGTTGCAAGCTGTAGAAACCTAGTCACTACATGGACTCAGCAAAAAATGCAACATGTATAAGATTACATCAAACCCCATTATCGGTGCTGTGTGTATGAAAATAATTTCCCAATGCGACATAACCAATGGCTGCAAAACAACAAGAAATTAAGTGTCATTTTACTCTAATGATTTTGATAACACCTTTTCTTGGAATCGACGCTATGGCGTAAGCCCGTGGGCTCATTCTATGTGAATATGGGTTCATTTATGACTTTTGATGTCTGCCATGGATCCAAATTCAGTCGCGGGCGTCAAGGAAACATCGTATGCGTGCATGTTTCATTTACAAAATCGTCACCCGTTTTGCTGAATAATCAAATACCACGCTGCAAGTCTCCTCAAGGAAACATCGTTTGAGAATGGTTTAGTTCAAAAATTGCCTCAACTGGTTTGTTTTACAATCAAAATGCCGAGCTGCAAGCCTCAGTCGACGACCACATGGTTAAGGGATATTCAGTACTACGTGGTTCCAAATATGATAGACATCCTTTTTTTTGCACCACTGATCATATCATATTATAATTGAAATAGGAATTATGGTTTCTGTATATCAGCTGCTGTATGTGTTTCATATTATTACTGTGTGGCTAGAATACTGGGTGGCTAGAACTAGAAACGCAATGTAATGAAAGCCATGTACTCTCCCAGTGAAGGGGAAATAGGTTTGAACTTATTTGTCGCAGTTCAGAAATATTCGCGCTACAATAGGAAACTGGGAAATGGCGTACACTTCCCTTGTTCCCAGGTCTGTTGTCTCTCTATTAAATCTCTATAATTATTAATGTGCAAGCATGTGTCTATATACTCATTAGCCTATCTAATGTTTTAACAAATTTTCTTCCATCTTTGCTAATAAACCAACTCCGTCAAAGTATTCAACCCATTTATCTTCAACTTCAAAAGTATCTAACTCATTATTAAGTTCGAATAATTGGTTGATATATTTGTCATAATTAATCCATTCCCCTTTTTCTTCACATAAATAACTCCAACTTGCCTTATAAGCACCACCCAAGGCACAAGCATTTGGAATTTCAACTTTGTAATTACCATTGACTGGACCTAAAATAGAACCCATCTTGGAAATAATACTCAAGTTATTGGAAGTACCACCAACGTAATAACATCTGTTTGGTCTGGCGGTTAAAGATTGGAAAGTTTGTAGCTTACCATCAGTATATAATTCACCGTATTTATTAGTCAAATCGGAGTAAACTTTCTTTAAATTAACAGTTTCTGGTTCTGGAGAAGTAGTAGCAGAGTCACTAGATTTACTCAACATTGGACCAGCACGTAGTCTACAACTTAAAGTTTGGGATTCGATAATAGCACGATGTAGCAGTAGTTGTAATTTAGGTACTCAAAGATTAAGTGTACCTTGTTAGAACATGTTGTCTTCCAAGACAGCCCTTACGGTTTGTGCTGGAGCATGCGGGACAATTTCACCTAATGGGAAAAAGATACCTAATTTGTTATCAAATTTACCAGATTTTTCCAATATTTCATTGAATTTATCCCAAGACTTCTTGTCTTCGATATTGTATTTTTCATTAATTTCATCTCTGACTCTTTCTCTGGCTAAGGAACCGTTACAGTAACAAATCATACCCATGTAATGGTTTGGCATTGTTGGATGTTTGAATAAATGGTATTGGGATGATGGTTCGTAGTTGTTGGTTATAAGTAAAACGGTTGTGGAAGTACCTAAAGATAATAAACAATCATTTGGTTGTAATGGTAAGGATAAGATGGTGGCTAAATTATCACCGGTGAATGAATAAATTTTACAGTCGGCGCTGAATCCGTACCTTTCAGTGAAATAGCTAGAAATCTTACCTGAAGCATTGTATGTGATTGGTTTTATTTCTCCTAATTTTGCTTTAATATCATCAAGAGCAGCCTTGTATTTAGGATCATCTTTGGAGATGTTATCAACTTTAGGATGGACACCAGCAGCTAAAGCTAATAACTCTTCGTTAAATTCACCCTTCTTTAAATCGTAAAGGTTCATACCACAAGCATCAGATTCTTCTAATCCATCGATTTCACCTAATAAAACACTGGTAACGAAGGAAGAAACTAAGGAGATTCTAGAAGTTTGTGCGTATTTGTCAACATGGGATCTAGTGGAGAATTTTCTGATTTGTAAACCAGTAAATCTTAAATGATCTCTTGAACCAGTAATTTCCGCTAATTCTTCACGTCCAATAGCTTCAACGAAAGCTTTACCCTCTGGATTAGTAGAATGATCTTGCCAGTTTGGTGACTTGTCCCAAGAAAAGGCGTTTTTCAATTGTGTGGATAATTCACCTTCAGAGTTTATAACAAAGTTATTACTGCTTCGAAGAACCCTGGTCTTTTGCCTTGGTACAACAACGCAAGAACCGGAGATTCCTACAACTTTGTCAAATGGGAAATTATCGGCTTTCATTTGTTCAAATACATGATTAATGGAGTCTAACCACATACCAACTGGCGATACGACTTCACCACCTTCATTTGCTAAAACACCCTTGTGAACAGGTATAAAAAGAAACTTCCGCCGTAGTTTAAGTTGCAACTTTCAGAAATTTCGTCCCAAATTTTCATTGGTGACGATGATTTTTAATTGTTGAGTAGAGAGATCAAATCCCAAGAATAAGGATTCTGATTCTAAATAATCAGTAGTCATGATATGTGTATTATAGTTATCAGTTGTTACAGAAAGCAAGAAGAACCTTAAAAAAACTTAAAAAAAAAAACCAAAAATGGGAAAACTAAATACTATTTATAAAAAACGGATGACGCCTCCCCAAGGAAGCGTATAAGCTTGTCTAATGGGGAGGGGCGGTTTGCTGTTGATGTAAGTCCATCTTTGTGCGTTAATGTGGAGGAAAAATATTATTTTTTTTTTCAATTGAATTTGAAGGTCATACCGAGACCGTTATTTTAATTAAAAGAAATTCACATTTATTTCTAATATTTAACTTGTAACCATTCAATTGGAGGTTTTGAATTAAACCACCAATTGGGACTTACTATTAAAAGTAAGATTATTACTTGAATACCAAAAGCATAGCAAAGATTAAGTAAAGAATCTGTGGCTACACCAATTGTTAAGGACACCAATATATTTATTATGGAAGCCACACTAATAATTTGATCAACAATGAAAACTAAACCTTATCAATAACCTTTAAGATATTTAACAACATTTAGGTAACGTGTAGGTATATATGTGTATATGTGTATCTATCCTAATGAACTATTAACTAGAAAAGTTCAAACCCACCTAGTCACTCTTCTTAATTTGTTTTTGAGTGGAATTACCTTCCTTTATAGACAGGGGTGTGTTTTTTTTTTCGCTGTCACTAAAATAAACTGCTGGCAGTAAAAAGCAGAATAGCACTTCTGAATTTGACCTTCTTCTGAATAATTTGACAAATGTACACGACCCCCTACCATTAACACTTATTAGTTACTTACTAACACAATAAGACCTTTGTGTGATGTGGGCCGTTATACTGTTGCAAAATTAGAAGCGGGAACTCGCTTAATGAACTAACAATAGTTTCCAAATTTAGAATATTTAATGAACCAAAGCATGGAGTTTATCGCCATGCGATTTTAGTACATGAAGGAAAACTATCTCTTGGAAGGGCCATTGTTCACCACTTTTGTTAGGAAACCAAGATCCAACCTTATATCCAAACTTTTTTTAGTTAAGAAAAAAAGCCAATCTGGTGAAGAATGGCCCTATTCTCTAAAAAACGAAGTGACAGTCTTCTTTTTTTTATTTTAGTCCCTTATATACTGGCAATTTGACTATAAGCCCTTGAATACTGACAAATTGACTATAAGAAATGACACCTGTATAGATTTTAGAAGATTTGTTGAAAATGGAACTGCCTCTACTGAGGTTACAAGATTAGAACGAAGAAAAGCATGGCTGTTACAGATACAGTACTTAATTAAATATTAAAATCCCGTAGTATAAACAATTACTAAATATTTCGAAACTCTTTTCTCAAAACTTCTCATAATTAATTTTATTCTCAAATTTGTTCGGTGGTAATTTTTCAAATTTATTGCTGCCACTTTTTTAACCAATATTAAAACAATACTCACATTCCCAACACACAACTATCCATAACAAGAAGTCTTACATTAGCACATATCTCAACAATATTGTCGTTTTCTTTTTGATATCACTCAATACTGGGATTAAATTTTTTGGCATATTTTAGTTGGTTTTATTCTCAAGTTTCAATTTGCAGAGTGATAAATTCGTATCATTCAATTCAACTTATTTGAAGTAAACACTTGGTGGAAGAACGGCTCTTTATATAACCGTAGAATATGACCTAATACAAAATCTTGTCAATTTGGTCTAGATAGAATTATTGGCAGCTTCATATTAGGATAATCCAATAGTAGATCCAATGCTGTCTCCTGCATATTAGAACAACTTCAACAATAAAGGTGGGGACTGAAAATTCAACCTAAATATCACTCCTTTGTATGCTTGCTTTGGGTACGTGAATCTATCGTGGGCTAGCTAAATTTGATGTTTATGAGGTTCAAGTTTCCTTACACAGAAGCCCAGTGATATGAAGGCAAAGTCTCAAATTCATATTTGTTGATAGTCCAATGAGCAACCAGAGCAATCTTCAACCAAACTCCCCAGGTGAATTATTATTAGCAAGCTTGCCTGATGATGTGTTGCTTGATATATTATACTATTTGAATCAAATTGACACTATTCTGCTAAGTTTAACATGCTTGCGGTTCAAAGAGGTAACTCGAGCAAGGTTGTACTCTAGAATATATGTTTACAGAGGAAGCAAACTCATTCCCCGAAGTTATTATGTCAAGAACTATACGGATTTTACACAAATTAGTTGGCATACATTCTCCCGAATGTTGGAAGATAAAGAATGTCTTGCATCATGCAAAATGGTATACTTTGTGAATGACGATGTCTTAGACGTACCTCTCTTGGACAGGATATCTGATAAATTCCGAGAATGTATGATTGTGATTGAAAGAATTCGGAAATCCGAGGTCCAACGTTGGATATTAAGACAGCCCGATTCTCCACTTATATCCATCCACTGTATATCCAGTCCCACTACTAAAGTTGATCCTGTGAGATTATACATAAAGAATTTAACAATCTCAATTTCCTCGGAGATGAACTTACCCTATGAGTTAAGTAAGTATCCTAATTTGGCGTATCTATTCATTGAGAAATTGCAAAATTTACAGGGCCTCCCACAAATCTCCGTTACGGGTCTTAGAATCAGCGAACTTCGGGAATTCAACATTGATGACTTTTGCGGTTGTTTTGATATATCAAGACTCACCTCCCTTGATCTTCTGAACGTCCTGCAAGAGATAATTCCAATGGCACCACGTTTCAAAAGTCTTCGCAAGCTATACATAAGCAACTACCCACAAATTATGTCCGAGTTTGCTGAGGCTCTTCCACAAAACTCATTAGTACACTTAACTATTCCTCCTTCAATGATTCCTTCATTTCTTCCGGTCGCTCTCCGCCATAGTCTATCCTTGAGATGTATTACTTCTAGATCCAGAGCTTCTTTCATTGTTCCGGGTGACTCATCACAGGTAAGGAAGTTATTCCACCAGTTTGAATCGCACCTTGATATGTTTCCTAAAATTCAATACGTCATCTGGAAACATGTTGCGTTACAAGTTACGCGTGACGTCACTGGAAATGCTTTAGGATTCGCTCCTGTTGATTTTCACCCCCTTTACTTCCCTTATTAGTTTGTACATTCTGATAACTTCCGTTTGCTTGC